TTTTCAATTGTAATGAAATCTAAAGTTAAATATGTTTGAACAGATAGAACAAAGGTGTGTATCCTGGGGTATTTAATTATTAATATCTGATCATCCTGGTTTTTATTTATTTCTTTTTTCCTGCCATAAATTGTTTTAAAGCACTAGTTGGTAATTCATAAGTAATAGAAAGAGCATCGAAACACGAGGCTATTTGATTTGTACGAGGGGGCGTAGCCCCCGAGTATTAAACAGATTGCCGAGTGTTTTGATGTTCTTTCTCTTTTGTATCATAGTCAAACATAAAAACTCGTTCCCTGTTGTCCCAGAAAAAGAGTTACCAATGAACGAGCATCTGAACATGACTTTCCCTTTCTCTGCCGTCACAATAAGTAACCCCCAGCAAAAACGATCCAATCAATGGGCATGTAACTATAATACCTGCACTCTAGATAACGCACTGTGCATGTAAATGTATACGATTTTTAACTCTGACACATTTTCAACAGAAAGGTCCCCAAACTATGATACAAATGTAGTATAGAAAACGGTGATTATTCGTTATATCTAAGTATAATAACTCAGATTTTACCACTACACCTAAGTAAAGAATATAAAATGACTATGTTTTGGGAATTTTGGTTGGACCTGTTACATTTTATTGCTGGATTAGGTTTGAACTAAGGGGAGTAACTCTGTTCATAATTTTAGAGAGAAGTAAATAAGAGTTACTGGAAATTGTAATTCTAACTGATAGTATTAAAAGGAAAGTTTGTATTTCCCTAACAACAACAACAACAACAGCAGCAGCAGCAACACAAATAGATTCAAACAAAATACAGTTTCTAAATATCGTTTTCAGAAAATGCGCATATTTAGAATAGTTCCATATTCATACCTAAATATGTAAATCAACAAGGGCAAAATTTAAGAAAAAATATGACTATAGCAGCTTTCGTACTGAGAAAATAAAGCAAAAAGCGTTGAAGCGCGTGAAGAAATCTTATCTTATCTTATGGTCTATTTTGTCCATAAACATAATCTGTCATGCATTATACGCAGCAAAACTTAACCGTTATACTGCTGGTTATACTACCCATCCGGCCACTTTATTCAATTTCAATTTTATTTACAATAACACTCAGTTTGTATATTATACAAAATCATGAGCAAATCAAATATGTAAACATATAAAAGAAATATACACCACGAGCACTGTTCGTTCCCTATTCTACCTATCCGTTCCCCTTGATCACTGCCAGCACTGTTCGCTATTCAGTTAGTATATCCTAAAAGATTAACAAGCTCATTTTAGCGCGGACAGGGTTAATTGTCGTGTTGTTTTTGTTTTATCCTGTCAAAAACAGTAAAGAATTGTTGACAAATGTAAAGGATTATACCGGTAAATGTTTTGAAGCTCTCGGAAAATTCGCAACAAGTATATAAAAATGAATGATAATTATATCAAGCATAATATGATCTAAAATAGTTTTTTTTAATACGACGTGAAACAGTAAATTACAGTGTACATATATTGTTTTAGAGAAGAAAAAAATGAATATTCTGACAATTTCACAGACATTTCTTAAATATAGAAAAATACATATGATGAATTCATTCGTTCAAGCATGAGAAAATACAAATATGTAATAAGTACGCAATTTACAAGTGACTTAAATCCATCTAAATATGAGTCGGGGTAATGGTTATGCAAGCCAGATACGCCTATCATATTGTATCGAATATTTAAACAATTGATAGCATGTCGCAATTAAGAATGGTGTTTTATGGCGCCATAAAAAGCTACCGAAAATATAGATGTTTGGGGAATTTATCAGTTGACACTTAAAACTGGAATGAGTATTTACTACGATATGTTTTTGTTCATGCTTATATTTTTCCATTCCATATGTCTCACTAATTTTACAAAGTAAATCTGTCCTTATTTCGGCACTATAATATCATAATCACCACCATCATCATCATCATCATCATCAGCAGCAGCAGCAGCAGCAGCAGCAGCAGCAGCAGCAGCAAAATCACAGGAGTGCTATATTCGGAAATAGCTATATCCATCATAACAGTCCTTTTCATATATTGAAAGCATTCCTAAAGAACGTCACAAATATAAACTTTATTCGTATATGTTAATAATAATCATCATCGAGCTTGTGAATAAACTTTTCCTGTTCACTTTTCTGCACTGTACTTGAAAGTTTTCGGAGTTCGTTTAGAATTGAATGTATTTCTCTCGATTCATGATATCGTTTATGTGCTCGTGTCGCCGTATGATGAGGCACCCCCTTTGTTCGTCGTCGCTCTTCACTCTCGTCTACCAAGTCGTTATGGATAGGCACAAACCCATTTGGATATGTCGAATTTAGCTGCAGGGCAGATCTGTTACTAGGAAGTAAGCACTTCCTGTCTGATTCGCGGTCTTTCAAAATCGGGGGCAAAGTAATTTTTAAGTGTTGATCCAAATTTTTTGTGCTTCCGTGAGAAATATTGTGTTCTCTACCCAAGGAATGTAGTTTGGAGTTAAGCGGACGAATATGTTGTGCTTTTGAAGTTTCTTTTATCCCATTCTTATGTCTTGTCAACTTTTTGTGTGTGTCTTGTTCATAATTGTAAGATTCACAAATGTCATTGCTCACGCAATTTCGCTTAGATCTTTTCTGATAAATTTCTAGATATCTCGCACCGAGAAATTGCTGGAAGTCGTCTGCGTTTATAGAACGTCGTGGAATACTTTTCATGGATTCAAATTTCGCCATTTTTTCCTGAATCACTCGTAAAGTATCATCTTTATCGCTTGCGTCCATTTCATCACTCCCTGTGCATGATTTTAACTGAAATTCTTGCTCAGATTTTATGGAATTATTGACGGGAGACAGTTGTCCATTTCTCCTCAAGTTACCGGCGCTAACATCACGTTCTGATGGTCCAATAATTATGTCACTATTTTCCATATCTTTATCCGCGTCAGCTTCTTCCTTGTTCTCTATGTGAGGAACCAGTCTTTGAATTAATTCACGACGTATTGAAGTCAACTCTTGCATATAATCAACGACAGATGAATTTCTACGCCAATGTCCCGGTGTGGGTTCTGTCGGCATAAAGTCGTGAGTCAGCGTTGGCAAGCTTACCCGACGATGTCCTGTTTCCTGTATCTCGGATTTAAAGTCATTTTCAACTAAACGACTCAAACTTTGTAGGGTTTCGTACCTGTGTTCACTCATGTGTGAACGCTCTCTTTTCAACGACGGTCTTTTTTCATTGTATCTTGGTGAATCATTTTTGTCTCCCATTTTTTTTAAAAAAAAAAAGGATCTGAAGAAATTTTAGTTCAAAATGTTCGTGACATTTAAATCCAGTTTTGATACATGCACACAACAGACGCGACTTACCAAATGCTTACAAAATGTAACCCAAATGCTTTAATAAAATGTTGTCTTACATTAAATGAAAACACTTTATACTTGTAGAAGCAATTTTGATTAAATTATGTATAATATTATTTTGTTTTTCACGTCAAGCATGTCACACTATAATATACCATTGCTTATTTATCCCAATAATTACCAAATTTTGGATACATGTACATATATAACCAGTAAAGTCGCGTCATACACAACTGCCACTGTCATTTATTACTGTTGTATTGTTACCATTTCCTTTCCAAAATAATTGCAAAAGAGTTTATAACACGTCTGAATTAAAATTATCTCAAAACCTTCAGATCTGTATAAGTACAACTTGATACTTGAACATGGTATACTTGTACTACTTTTTTAACGGTAAAGTCCCATATACTTCCAACGCATGTCCGTTTTAATATGGCCAAAAAAACATCGCAGACAGGTGCAGAGCATTGCCATTCATATAAACATGGGTAAATGTAAACCAATTTTCACTTTACATGTCATGAAACGTATAATTTTGCACTTAAAAAGTTGAATAAAGAAACACTGTGACTATTCTATTCTTGTGTAAATGCCTCCACAAAACGTTAAATCAGTCGTAAGTGCAGATAAAAAGACAGCCGGTATATTGTTTTTTACAAGAAATTGGAGAAGTGTCGTAATTATACCATAATTATCTATTTTTTTAATGAATATGTCGATATGATTCCTTAGTCGTTTTGAGAAGTGATTGTACACAAATTTGCAAAATTGCTTATAATTCGTCAAAAGTTAAATTTACAAGTAGCCGTTAAAGAAAGAAAATGGAACGCTTATTTACTTCCCGTACAACCGAAAAAAGGGACAACAGTTGAAATAGCCGACAAGATACGTGTTTTATACATGAAGTGTGAAATATCTAGAGATAAAATGCCCTTATTTTATATTTTCTCACAAGTCTTGAATTATGCACACGCACGCGTACCCCCGCACGCAAGTAAACGCCTTAAAAAGTAACTAAAAATATCCTTCTTGCGGATAAACTGGTCCTGTTTCTTGATTTGTTTTTTTCAACGGGCAAATCAATTACAAGGAAACACGTTTTCCACTTAATTAACTAGTTAGTTAAGAGATTAACTAGTTACGTAAATAGTTAACCTCTTAAATAACAAGTTAGTTAAAAGGTTAACTAGTAAAGTAACTAGTTAACCTCTTAATATTAAGCTGGCAAAATAATAAAAGGATGGTAGTGGTAGGCACTAATAGCATGCATTTATTTCCCGTTATGATCTTTTATTTATTGAAAAATTAACTAGTTACGTTACTAGTTAACCACATAACTAACTAGTTAATTAAGAGGTTGGTTAGTTAGTTATATGGTTATCTGGTGGCAGAAATATGCCACCATATTTATAGCCCATTTATTTATAGATAAAAAAGTAATTGCCGAGTTATTAAAGAAAAAAAAAACAACTTACCTTACCACGCGACATGCTTCAATACAAAACAGTAAAATGTATTAACTTAACTTTTAGGAGTTCAATTATATTGAGTTTACTGTCGAGCATTAAGCAAGGCGGAAAATATAACAAAGTACAAGCTGAAGGTAAAGTAAAGTGATGCATGAATAAGATGTAAGGTAAAACGTGGAAGTAAGGGAAGTAAGAAAACTTTACCACAAAGACACTAATGTTAAATTAGCTTAAATGAGTATACATGTAGATCTAAATACATGTAATGATAACAGGTAAAACCATCAAACCTTGACCCATATTTTGTTGTGCATTTGAACATCGGACTTTAATAATTTACGTATAAATCACATAAACAAAATGCCGATTTCAATAAAGAAGGAACACTTTGGGAAGACTAAAAACGGAAAAGATGTAAATAAGTAAGTTAATGTATTATTTTTGTGGTGATTTGTATTCGTTTTTATTTTCATTTAAGTGCAATAAGGTCAAGAAAACTTTATGCTGGGCATGAGTCATCGCATTTCCTCACAATGTTATACATGTATTTATGTTTCGTAAAGCCAAACTTATATATTACACTCTTCAAAGTGTTTCAGTTTAACGTGTCACAAATCAAAGTAACATGGGTTATTTGTATTAAAACTTGCGTCATATTTTATAGCTCTTTATAGTCATTTCAGTATGAGATAAATATATCACATGATATAGTATCCAAACAACAACAACAACAACAACAACAACAACAACAACAACAACAACAACAACAACAACAACATATTTACACAATTGTTTTAAACAAACAAACAAACCAACCAACAAACAAACAAACAATTTCTTGACCTACTGTCCATCTTAAACTCAAACTCAAATAATTTTATTGCATTAAACATACATGTATAGATGAGACTTAAATAAATAAATAAATATACAATACATTTGTATATGTTTATAGCACAAACATGCAACATATCTACATTTACATGTATTTTTGCTAAATTAAAATAAAGGTTTACATTGACTTTATATATCTATAATATTACTTTATACCTGGAAAATCGATTAACTGATAATAGGTATATTGTTTTTATTTATATCTGTTAAATGCAAATATTTACTTAATATCTAATTAATTTATTCAATTTATGTGTACATTTAGTTGATGTTTGTTGAATCTATTAACTGCAATTACTTTATATTTGTTAAATTTATAAACTTTATGTTTACATATATCATTTCTGTTAAATCTCTTAACTTTAGGTATACATTTGAAGGCGGGAAAACTGTTGTATCGGTCCTTGATTTCGGCTGTGCCGTCTCCAACATTCTCGTACCTGACCGGAAAGGGAAATTGGCAGATATAAGTCTTGGATATGACGATGTTGCAGGTAAAATGTATAGTGTGAAGGCTGACATAATATTCTGTTCTAGTTAGAACAATAAAAGCAACATTATTTTCTTATTTATTTTCGGAATTGTGGTGCATTTTAGGGGAGGCTGGAGGATTTCCCTTGTAAAGGAAGTGGCAGGAGAGGTTTGGGATTGTGGTTGACGACGCACGCAGCTTGCTGATTGGGTTATGTGCCTGCAAACTCTTTTCTGCATTTTGTTCAAAACTTTTAAGCTATAAATGCAGATAATGAATTACTACTGTATACGGCAATTAAAAAGTTCAGGCAATTAGATACAAACTGAATAATTCAGGTAATGAGATTGTTTAATCTAAATTTTGATATACAATTATGTATAATCTAAATTCAAGATATAATTACAAAAGTATCTATATTTCAGGCTATGAGAAGAATTTTCCATACATTGGAGTCGCAGTTGGACGTGTGGCAGGGCGAATAGCTGGAGGGAAATTTACACTAGACGGGAAGGAATATAAACTTGACATTAATAATGGACCTAACAATATTCATGGAGGGATCACAGGATTAAGCAGGGTAAGTTTGACCTGTGCCGGATCTTACAATATTCATGGTTGGAGAAGGTTAAGTTTGATCTGTACCGGACCTAACATATTTATGGTGGTAGCAGGGTAAATTTGATCTGTTACGGACCTAACAATATCAAAGGTGGGGACAGGGTAAGTTTGACCTGTACCGGACTTAACTTATTCATGGTTGGAGCATGGTATTTGATCTGTACCGGACTTAAAAACATTCATGGTGGGAGCAGGTTAATTTTGACCTGTACCGGACCTAACTTATTCAGGGTGGGAGCAGGTTAATTTTGACCTGTACCGGACCTAACTTATTCATAGTGGGAGCAGGGTAAGTTTGACCTGTACCGGACCTAACTTATTCATAGTGGGAGCAGGGTAAGTTTGACCTGTACCGAATCTTACATTATTTAATGATGGGATCAGGGTAAGTTTGACCTACATGTAGTACGCGTTGCTAACTTTTAGGTCTCATAATATTTACAATACTTGTCAGATTTGCGATTAGCATCTACAAGTGAGGTTAAAAGGTTTTGTACTTTATCAGGACTATTGTGTATATACCGTAGGGAAGAAATGGACTGTAAATAGTTACAAATAAAGTGTCATATTTTGTTGATAAAACATATTATTAAACATACATGTATTTAAAGTACGTTTTACTTCTTTATGGATTCTTTTTTAAAAACTATTTAGCTATATTGTTTGAAAATAAATTTTCAAAGAGTTGAAATTGTATTCTATTGCAAAGGATGGTGATATAGATGTTATTACGTAACAGTCCCAAACCGTTTGAAAACCAGTCCCATAAATTATCTTGTTTTTAATGAAGATAAAGTATCAGGTTCAAGACTGATATATAGATCAAAGGTCATCAATAGCATTATAACTGTCATTTTCTTAGAGGCTCTGGAAAGCAGAAATTCAGGGAGACAAACTCAAACTTAAATACGTCAGTCCGGATGGTGAGGAAGGATTTCCAGGGGAGGTTACTACAGAGATAATGTATTCACTGACTCAGGAGGGTGCTCTTACAATAGACTACACAGCCACAACGACGAAACCGTGTCCGGTTAATCTAACCAATCACTCATACTTCAATCTAAAGGGTCATGTATGTTGAAATATTTTAAATAAAATAAATTAATTAGACAGTTTAACGGTTATTTGATACAGAAAATAGTTTAAATGAATCTGGAAACAATGTTATTTGAAATTAAATACATAACATTCTTGGAATCTTGTCACGGGCAAAGATTGTTCACTTATAGGCAGAGAGAATGTGTCAGCAGAAAAATAGCTCAGTCGGTAGAGCCTAGGTACGGTATGCCAACGGTCCCGGGATTTAGTCCCGGCCAGACTGCACAATTTTTCTTGCCCTGTAAGATATATGTAACGTTTTACTTTTTGTATAAAATGCCATCATATCAAAACTGATTATAGTATTAAACATACCTGTTTGTTACTAAAAGGATGATGATGACGTCATGGATCATGTTGTACAAATCAATGCAGATAGTTGTGTACCTTTAGATGACGACCTTATTCCAACAGGTTTGTGAAAATAAGATAAAACATTATAATATGATAATAATGAGATAATTATATTATAAAACTATGTGACCAAGTGGTTAAGGTCGCTTAATTATCCCTCAACGATGTGGGTTCGAATTCCTCCACGAACTTTATTTAAAATATCTCATCTAATGATGATCACAGAGCTCTATCAAGCTGGATTGTTCTTTTCAGGTGGGGTTGAACTTATATATTTCATGGAGGAGCGCTTTCCATCAATAAAGATGGAGGTGACTTAAACTCAACGAAATGGATTAGAAAATACTTCTACTTGTTTTCATTTAATCACTATCTTGTTTCATGATTTCCATGTTGTGTATAAAAGTCAAATCAATCAGAAATACTGCAGTACACATATTGAAATTACAATGTATATTAAATTGCATATGTAACTTAAGTACCGTAGTTTTTTTTTCCGCTAACATGTAGCGTTATTCTTTTATTCGTTCATAGGCGAGTTACCCGATGTTTCTGGAACGCCTAATGATCTGAGGTCACCGGTCAGACTAGGTGATAGAGAAAGTGAAGTTAGAAAAGGAAACATTGACTTAACTTATTGTGTTGGTGACGAAGGTGAACTCAAATATGTATCAAGGTATGACCAACATTGATAATTAATATTGGTTTGCAAGAATAAGTGTACACCTTTAGTAGATACTGAAATATTATCAAGAATTCTAATATAAAATACTAATGTTAAGCTAAACAAATCAAACAGTAAAAACCACAACAACAAAAACAACAACAAAAACAAGCGACGACAACAACAACAAATACTGAGTTACAAAAGAAAATCAATATTATGTATCACCAAAATTATTTCCAAATAAGGCCGTACAGCCTAATAATGCCGTACAGCATGGGCGACTTCTAGTTGACTTGTAAATTTGGTAAAAACCAAAAATTTTTGTAGAACATCGATGCCAAAATTTTAAAAGGAAAAACTAATTATAACACTTAATAATCTGACGTTTTATAAATTTGGAGAATTTGTCACAGTTACGACTTACAAAAATATGTTTCTATTCTTATGTCAGCGACGATCTTTTAACATGACACTGTGCAAACTTTGTAAAGTACTTGTACTAAATTTGTTTCTATTCTAATGTCAGCGACGACCGTAATTACATGCTCTGTGAAAATTTTACGTTGTGTTTAATTGTGAATTTTGATTCCTTGTTTAGGAATAGCGTTTTCTGTTTAACTTTGATCTGAATTTTTTTCTAAAACAATTATGTTATAGGATATCACACCCACCAACTGGTAGATATATCGACACTCACACCACCGAGCCTGGTTTACAATTCTACACAGCCAAGTACATGACAGATGCCGTTGGTAAAGGTGGTAAAGAGTACAAGCCTTTCGCCTCCTTCTGTCTTGAGACACAGCGTTATCCTGACAGTGTCAATCACGTGAGTACTGCTTGTACTTCAACCATTTATCTTTGTTATATTCTTTAATACTACAAATCATTATCATTATCATCATCGTCATCATCATCATTGTCATAGTACTCGTCAACAACAGCATCGTCATCATTATTGTTAATACCTGCACCACCAGAGTACCAACAAAAACAACAATAAATAATAACACCATTATCATCGTCGTTATCATCATCATCGTTATCGTCATTATCATTGTCATAACAACAAAAATAACAATGTCATTATAATCGTCGTCGTCGTTATCATCATTATTATCACTATTACTAATAACAACAACATATTATTCCAAATAATCAACAACAAAAACAAAGGCAGCAGCAGCACCACCACCATGCACCACTGCCACCGCAAACAACAACAACAACACCAACAACAACACCAACAACAACAACAACAACAATATTATCAGCTTTATCACCAAAATCGTCATTTAAATCTTTTACTATTTACATGTATGATTTGGTAATAATCATTGTATAGGAAACAAAAGGTAAAAGGTATTTATACGAAAGGATTAAGATTTATTTTAGGGTTTCAAAGCATTGTTTCCCTTATATTATCCAGTAAAACTTTGTAAACTTCTATATAAAAAAACTTATTCATCATCCATTTAGGTGTACAAGTATTATAAATTTGTTTTTCAAATAATAATAGCACGGGTGTTATAGATACAGTATGTTTATGCGTTTTTTTTTCAGTCTAATTTTCCCAACACTATTCTACGACCAGGATATACTTACAGACAGACAACTGTTTTCACTTTCGGTGTTTTAAAAGGATAGACAGCAACAAATGAACAGGACGGCTGTTTGAATATAAACCTTGCCAGATGTTTAGCTTTTCATATTTTTTGAAAAATAAAATATGTATATGGTATAGTTGACGTTTGTGATATTTGAGATATTGATCTATATGATACATTGTAACGTAAAAATTGTTAAAGAATATACTTCTGTTAATCTCGTTCGAGGAAATTAACTATTCATTTTGTAATGAATTGGTTTAAAATCGAATACAATCGATGCTGACAGACGCCAAACAAACGCAACAGATTATTTTCCGTGCCGGTCAATCGGTAATTGAACCTAATATATAATATTTCAAATGTGACTTTCACAGCTGAATTTCCAGGTTGTTTGACACAGTTCGAGTTTCAATGTGACATATTTTATGGAATTTTAATATTTAATATCTATATGATTAATTGGTAACATGTTTTACATTGTAACAAAACCAGTTGTTGGGGAAATCGGTAAGAGTCAATGTGACATAAGGATCGGTATGTTTACAAGTGGGAAATTATTTTATGGGTCTCGCACCAACACTATGAAAGCCATTTTGAGACTTTCCAGCTTAACTCATGGACGAAGACATCAGGTGCTCGTCCTTGCATTATCCGCATTATCCCGGGCATGAAAAAGCTCCTGAGTAGAACCATCGACGTGCCATAAGCTAGTCATGTGGAAGGATCCAAAATTCTAAACTACATTCAGGGGAACAAAGAAAATGGCATTCTATAGTTACTAAAGGAGACATATGTCATTACATTTTGAAGGGACATTTTGCTTTTGATCCCGTAATACTAAATATTTACATATAATATATGCATTTATTCCACACCTTATAAACTATAACCAATGAACTTTTAGCGTTTGAACTACGTGATGTTCCAATTAAAATTATTGGATCCAATATTATCAATTTAGCCTCGTTTCCATTTCCAGAAACCAATTAATCCGTATTAAAAGCATATCGTACCCAATATAGCCTCTATTTATTTTCAGAATCCAAAATATTAATATCAAGTGCATATCGTAATCCATCTAGCCTCTTTTTCAATTCTCAAGAGTATCAAATCCTTATTGTACTTGAATTACTGTCAAAATATATAAAATCGAGATGTCAAATAAATCATTATACATTTTTGAGAACAATACTGGTTATAATGGACGAATACACAGCTGCAAAACTGTATCAGACTCGGCTAGCACCTCGTCCAATATAGGTTTGCCAGCTGTGTACCCGTCCAATATAGTTAAATAATATATCATAGCCCCATACAATATGAAACCAGTGTCATTGCGCTTAGCAATGAATGGAGATCAATTTCACGTTATGTTTAATTTAGATTTGTTTTATGACATGCTATGGCTAACACCGATTTCACATATAGACTGAATAATGATAGTTTCAATCCATAGACAAAATCTTTTGAGTGTTTGGTTACTTTTTGTTTAGGTAATATTTTTAAAAATCGGTGTTTGCCTGGATGTAATCAACAGAAAAGAGAAGTGTTTTATGTGCTAAAAGTCGTACTGAAATATGAAATCTGCGTTTTCAATTTTCATGAATTATTGAATGTTAAATTTGTATCAATGGCCTCGAATGTTTCAATGAAAGCTGTGAGCTACTTTCATAAAATATTTGTGCTACGCCAGCATTTATCTGTTAACTTGTAAATGATATGTATTTACGTATAAACTTGTGAATATGTCCGGTGAGCGAATCGAAAACTTTTCAAGTATGAAAGTCGCTTTTTTCACATTTATTAATGTAACCAACCAACCAACCATCAAACAAACAAATGAATAAATAAGGTTTTTGTTGTTAAAAGAATATGTGCTATGCAATAATTGTAAAACTATCGTATCTGCTAAAGATGTTATATCTAGCACGCCCGACCACCATCCACCCGGCCCCCGAAATTAAGTTTAAATGGACGATTATAATGCATAGATCTCTGACCTGTCTAATTCTAACTCTCAGATTAGTGGATACAATAATAATGTCACCACAGCATATTTCCTTATAACAAAAGTGCACATGTCAACGTTTGTGGTTAAATGTATTGTTATTCAAATAAAAAGTCAGAGTAGGGATCTAACATATTAGACATTCATTATATTTAGAAATATGACGGACCAGTACATAGATATACATTTTAAACAGGCCAACATTTAATAAGGTGAAGCAATCTCTATGGAAAAGGTATACATGTAACATTATGGAAATCATATCCAAGAAAATGATAGAGGCAGGTTATTTTAAACAAGATATTTTTAAAGTTCAAAACAGTTACAAATCTTTTTTGATACACGATTTCAAAATGTCAGGTCTTCAATTGAACACAAAGAATATACGTCCAGACCTTTTGAAACAGACTTCACGATTCAAACCTATACATGCGCAGAACATCTGCTGTCCCTCCTCACTGCATAGATCCCTGGCCTGTCTAATTTCACGGGGGAGGAAGTGTTACACGAAGGATGGAGTTCTTATGATAACTTGTTTGGAGTTCTTATGATAACTGTCACGGAGTTCCTGGAAAACGTTACGGATTTCTGTGGAAAACTTTTCTATATACTTGGAGAACTCGCGTAAAAAATGGTTATTTTTAACTTTAAATGGGGAGTTTGAGGTGCTAAATTTAACTTTGATAATTAAGCTTGCTGTACATATTGTATTTTGTTTCAGAAAGAATCTTTTAGTCCATATTTTGTCGCCTTTTTTAAAAATATCTGGTAGTTTTGAGAAAAAATACCAAATTACTTGCTAATTCGTACATATTGACCTTTCCATTTGTGATCTTCTTCGTTGCTATACTTAATTACCTAATTATAGTGGAGAGCTGCAAACATAAAGCCAAGGCTAATAAATTTATACCCGATTTTTCAAATGTTACGGAGTTCTTGCGATAACTCAAAATATGTCCTGGAGTTCTTATGATAACTTTTGTTACTGCCAGTGTGTTTTTGTGCTTAATCACGGCACGTTTAAGCGTATTTTATTAGTCAATAAGTGTGTAAATCATTATGAAGCATAGTACGCTTATCATTTGCACAAAAATTTGGTTATATAACGTTGGTTTTGATCGTGTTTTTCATCAAGAGATATTTTTCTTACCTCCGTTTCTTGTGTTTTTGTGTTTGTTTTGGTCTTTGTGTGTGTGTGTTTTTATTTTATTGGAATGACTGTAAACATACTTGATGTAGAGCATTTACTTTATACAGGTTAAAAATACGCTTTGAATTTAATACTCAAGCATGATTTCGTCATTATATACATTATTCCTGGCAGTTTTAGAGAACATTAAGAAACTATGCTATCGATATCGGTATGCATGTAAATGGTTTTCAGCAAAATAGGAGGTAGTATGCACTACCTTTATCTAAATGTAATGAGGTGGGTGTCGTCTTTATGTATTCAACGGGTATTTCAATTTCTAAAAGGTATCAGTTTTTGTCATAGAAAAGTATAAAGTTCTATGACAATGATATGACGATAGAAAGTAAGTCTTCAATAAGATATGTGAGTCACCGTAAGGTTCATGCCGTTTATCGACCTTGTTCCTTTCTCTATTAAATCCAATGTACTATCACGTGACGTACAGCCATCTCCATATTTCGGAAAATTACTGCATACATTTTTCTTATCAAAGTTGTGGAAATTTTGCAACAACTTTTGCTGTAATTGATTACAAAAATATATTGTCGAACTTCTTGCGCTCGAACCCGTAGGGCACGTGCAAATCTGTCGAAGAGATCGGAAGTAATCGGTTGATTTTTTATGCATAAAAAGAGTGCATGGGTGTGAAGGGTATCCCGGTTATATACGATACATAGTATATAATGATACAATTTACTTAGCCGCTTCTTGAGGGAAGCCCAACTACTTACTGTCTGCTTTAGAAAGGCGTTTGCTTAAAACAAGTCATGTAACTGAGAAAAAAGTGTAAGTTTTAAAAAAATTTTCCTTGGCGATTTAAGCCATGTTACTGCTGAATACAGGTGACCGCTGATTCAGGTTTTCCGAAGATTTTTGTTTGTTTGTTTGTTTCATTTTACGCCTTTTCCCAACAGTATTTCAGTCATATGGGCGGGTAGTTTCCTAACCATCGTTCCTGGAGAGTTACACCAGTACTAGACTACCTTCTTCCGTGCTAAATTACCAAAGCATCTCCCGTGGATCGAACCAACGCCAGAGAGGTAACTGGGTTAGAACTCATCGACTCAAACCCCTCGACCACGGAGGCGGTCGTTCCTGAAGATAGCTTAGCACCTGTTTATCTTATGTAGACTGTACACCAAAGCAGTTTCATGTCTTCTCGAGATATATTGAATGATCGTGTTATAATTTTGCCACATGGCAACAATGTTGCATTTGCGGAAACTTATGAAATAAAACTTTTGTTGACGAACAGTATACGCAGAAACATTTAGTGCATTCGTTGGGTTTTATAATGTCAATATGATTTCGCACAAATTTAATTAGGAACTAAAACACGATCAAAAACAACTTTATATAACCAAATTTTTGTGCAAATGATAAACGTACTATGCTTCATAATGATTTACACACTTATTTACTAATAAAGTACGCTTTAATGTGCCGTAATTAAGCACAAGAAACACACTGGCAGTAACAAAGGTTATCATAAGAACTCCAGGACATATTTTGAGTTATCACAAGAACTCCGTAACATTTGAAAAATCGGGTATACATTTATTTGCCCGGGCTTTATGTTTGCAGCTCTCCACTATAATTAGATGATTATGTATAGCAACGAATAAGATCACAAATGGAAAGGTCAATATGTACGAATTATAAAGTAATTTGGTAATTTTTCTCAAAACTACCAGATTTTTTTTAAACGGCGACGAAATATGGACTAAAAGATTCTTTCTGAAACAAAATACAATATGTAGGGCAAGCTTAATTATTAAAGTTAAATTTAGCACCTCAAACTCCCCATTTAAAGTTAAAAATAACCATTTTTTACACGAGTTCTCCAAGTATCTAGAAAAGTTTTCCACAGAAAATCCGTAACGTTTTCCAGGAACTCCGTGACAGTTATCATAAGAACTCCACCCTTCGTGTAACACTTCCTCCCCCGTGAATTTTAATTATAAGATTAAAGAATACAATAACATTTTCACCACAACAGTTTGTTAACAAAAGAGCACATGTCAATGTTTGTGGTTAAATCTATTGTTATTCAAATAAAAGGTCAGAGTAGGGATTTATCCCTTGACCCCACACCACCGCCAATGTCGGCTAGAATTTTGTTCGTCAGCATGTCAAAATTCAACAACAACCTTTACACAATATACATGTTCATCATTTTTTTTGATGTCGAAGGTGAGTATTAAGGCAGAAAAATGAGCGGTGGAGCGGAACTCAAAATATTTGACAAAAGCTCTAACCTGGTTTTTGCGGAATACAACCATCTAACTTAAAGGTAATTGATGGAAAAAATTTAAAGCACGAGCGTGTAAAATTTCAAGTTAGCCTGACTTGTATTATCAAAGGTATCACCTAATTCCGGGAATTTATCAAATGCCCTTTGTATTGCTCGAAAATGAAAAATTTACCTATTGGTGAAATTAAACACCTTTCAATTAATCATTTGTCAATGTCTTTTAATTACAAGTGTAACTAAATCGATTGTTTCACTTTTAAAATGAAACTATGGAAAATGGATAGCCTACAATTGTAGCTTCAAAGTAGCTTCATTAATAAATTAAATTTAGGATATTTAACAACAAATTATTAGAGATTTTAGAATTCATCGCGGACGCTAACTAGTAAATTTAAGTATAGGCTTTAGATGTTTAAATTGGATAGTTATTTTTTTTTTTTTTTTTTTTTTTTTTTTTTTTTTTTTTTTTTTTTTTTTTTTTTTTTTTTTTTTTTTTTTTTTTTTTTTTTTTTTTTTTTTTTTTTTTTTTTTTTTTTTTTTTTTTTTTTTTTTTTTTTTTTTTTTTTTTTTTTTTTTTTTTTTTTTTTTTTTTTTTTTTTTTTTTTTTTTATTTTTTTTTTTTTTTTTTTTTTTTTTTTTTTTTTTTTTTTTTTTTTTTTTATTAGAAATTTAAAACGTGAATATGTCACACTTTTTTCTTTATATTTTTATCATTTTTATAACTTTGAATTGTGCTGACTTGTCGGCAGATTTCATTGTAAGCCGCTGGATACAATGCCCAAAGTTGTCTCAACAATCTATGAAATTCGTCGGCATTTCTGTTAAAGAATGTGTTGATGAATGTTCCAAACGAAGTTCGTGTCGATCTGTGATCTTCAGTTATTCGCTGAATCTGTGTGAAGTACACCTAGAGGATGTAACACCCGACGAAAATGCTGGCGTCGGTGGATCTTGCAGTTTTATTACAAGAAATGATATGCAAATGACAGAGGTTAGGACAATTGTTTTTTTTGTATTGAGTACTTTGTCGATATTGACATAAAAGTGCGTGCAGAAAGGTTAGGGACAAATTTGATGGTCCATAAAAACACACATAGGTAAAAGGAAATCATGGTTGAAATGAGCAATGATTAATCTATAAAATATAATTAGTGGTGATATGTTATGAATGCTTTCAAGAACGTCACTTGTATCAATATATGTTTCATAAAAGCAATTTGAGGTAATTATAATTTAGTTTTTGGTCTCCGGCCAAAAAAACAACAAAAAAACGACATGTAGGTAGGCATTATATTTAGCTTACATATATTGTAAAGAAAAGATTTTTAAATATCGGAATGGAATAAAACATATGGATGTAGGTACTTATATTCGAAAACAGAACTCGTTTTTGTGTACCTGTCCTTGTGATCAGTAGCAACTAATATTTTGTAACCTCTTGCAAGAGCTAAAACATGTAGGGGTGAATGCGATTCATATCCCAACTTATGCGCTTAAATAGACATTGACTTAGCTATGATAAATGACCGTGCATTTGTTTATGACACAAAAAAGTAAAGAAAATGAATTTAATTGAATACTACGAGTACAAAACGATACTTACGGTAGTCAAAAATATTGATTTGTGGTGTAAGTTCTTTTCGTAAAGAAAAAACAAAATCATATTGATAAAATGTTTGATAACACTTGTAGGTAAAATTTGAACCAACAGAACATGGACTTTAAAAGATAAAATAACTAACGCTTCAAACAGATATATATAAACGAACGGACTTAGATTATGTATGTTTGTTTGTTCATTTATAAAGACACCACCCTTTGTTTATTTAGGACGAAGCGGACAATGGGAAGCCGGGCCATGTCTGTAATGCACCAGGACAATGTCAGAAAGGTGAGGCGTTATGTTAATAATAATAATAATAATAATTGACTTATGAATATGTTTTTATCCTTGAAAAGATTTTTGGAATGTATCCCATCTTTATATATGACTGTAACGACAATCAAATAAAAACGGCTTTCACAATTATAAAAGACTGGCAAAGTTTTATTCCTGAAATAAGTCAAATAAATTCAAGGGATAGGAAGTGTTACACAACACTAGTTATGTATTTTCTGGTTATTTTTAATACACAATTCATTTTACAAACGAATCTCTCCTACAACAAAGAAAAAATATCGACGCAACTGTAATTCTATTCTTGTTTCTTTAACAAGCGAAAATGGGAGGTAAAATTTAATTGCCTATTTATTAAGTTTTTCTGGTACTTTTCTTACCCGGCGTATGTAACGGAAAGAGCTAGTTCACAAATTTACAATACTTTTTCAGTATTTACAATATTTTACAGTTTTTACTCGCTGGTGCAATTTGTGTGTGGTAAAACGAGTGTTATGGTTAATACGTTTGAAGTTCATCTACAACACAAAATTGTTTAATTAAACATGCTATACCCACAAGTTGACAATTACTATGTTCTCAAAAAACAATCTTTTCCAACTGTAAGACAAATATTTTCTTTCATATAAATAATACGAAGTTGAGATTGCTTTTGATCCCCATGGAGTCAAGGTCAAGGACACTGTTACTTAAAATAGAAACATGTTTTCCAGACAATAATAAGAGTTAGGAATCAAATTTGGTATATAGCAAGCTTATATGGAGACTCCGATTGGGATTGCCTTTGAACGCTGTGGTCAAAGTCAAGGTCACAATTACTAAAAGAAGATAAATGATTACCAGACAATAGTTAGAAATGAGTTATTGTAATCAAAAATGGTATACAGTAAACTTATATTAACACCAATGTTTGGATTGTTTTTGGAATGGTTTCCGAGTGAAAACTAGAGTAAGAAATGAGATATTGTAAACAGACTTGATACATAGCAAGCTTATATGAAGATGAAAGTAACTAAAATAGAAAACTTGTTTTGGATGATAACTGGAGTTAGCAATGAGATAATGCTTTCAATTTGCTAACAGCAAGCTTTTTGAAGATCACAGTTGTGATTGCTTACGGACCCCCTGGGGCAAGGTCACTGTTACTAAAATAAAAAAAAATAGTTTCCGGACGATAACTAGAGTTAGAAATTAAATACTGTAAAATAACTTGGTATATAGCAAACTCATTTAAAGATCCCGATTGGGATTGCTTAAGGAACCCCTGGGGTTAAGGTCACTGTTACTAAAAATGGAAAAATTGTTTCCCAGTGATAAATAATCATATACAGGTCTAATTCAAATGTGGCTATATTTTCCTACATATTTTTCTCACTTTTTCTGTATCTGTCTATCCTTCTTGTTTTACCAAGGTACTGGTTATTTAAATGATTATACTCTTTTAACAAGGCAATTATTGGTCATTTTTATTGGTACACAGATGAAAAGGTCGAGTTAAAATTTTGCCTCAGACCACTTATTTTTCAAGAAATTAAGATAGCGTGTAAGGGTATAAATCACCTTTAGTGATAGTTCTAATTCTCTCTTATTAAACTTATCGTCTGCTTTCTTCTTTGACAAAAAATATCATAAAAAATAGTCATCATAATGCGGAATATTACGGACATATCCCTTGCGTTTTTTTATATATTATCTGTTAACTGAAAATTTAACAAGTTATATAGATAACCACTTAATGTGTTAGATAATAATAAGAAACGCAAGGGACATGTCCGAAACATTCCGCATTATCTATGAAATGATTTTTTTCTAGTGATACAGATAATTATCTGATACTTCAGTTAACAAACACCAAAGTTTTATAGATAAACAGATAATTATCTATTATTTAATTGGTAAGTCTTGGCAGATCTGGGCACTTTTTAGTGTTTTGGAAGTTAGATACTTATTCGTTATCTGTCTAACAGAAACAAATCTAATTACTAGTAGTCGTTTTAACACAAAAACTAACTAGCTAGTCAGATAGTTAAAGCGATAATTATATGGTTAACTGTTGGCTGAAATATGCTACCATAAATATAACATGTATTAAATATTGGAAAAGTTTAACTCACGTTAATCTCAGTCATTTGCATGGGCTTATTTTTTTATTTTTGACCCCTACGTGCATCATCGCAGCACGAATAAGAAAGAAAATTAATAGCGACATTTTTGTAAGCTAGCAGAAAAGTATACACGAATGAAATTGATAAGTGATTGACAAGTTTTGATACACACAATAACACAATAAGGAGATGTAAAAGACTCATTGATTAAGATTGTAAAATATTTCCTTGTAAACCGATTCAGATATGGACAATTGATGGTTTATAAACAAAAAAATATATAGTATTTATCATATTTTTACAGAATGTGACACATTTACAATAGCAAACGGAAAGGTATTCGGTAATAGGAGATATAGAGGCGCAAAAGTTGCTTTCGTTTGTAATCAAGGATTCATTGAAGAAAACGGGAGAACAAGCGCAATATGTCAGGAAATCGGAGAATGGAGCGAGAAACCATTTTGTAAACCTATATTGTCAACAGCATTTCCGGCCTTACCTAATGATATAACAACAACATCCCCTCCAAAAACAGTGACGTCACATTCTGAAGCATCATTCTCTACACATTCAACAATATGCAATAACAATATCAGATCTTGCAAAGTTATCTCCTGGAATAACAACATAATCTCCTGGAATAACTACATCATCGCCTGGAACAACATCATCATCTCCTGGAACAACGATTCCTTGAACAACAGACTCCCAATCAGTAATATAAATACCACTTTCTGGAACGACAAACTCATGTCTTGGATCAACAATATCACCACCTGGAACAATAGCCTCACTACTTGGAACCACAACATCTCTTCCTGGACCATTGCTTCACTTCCTAAGACAACATCGTCCTTTGATGAAACAACTATTTCACTTCCTGAAACATCACATTCTGGAATATCATCTGCATCAACAACATCACAGAAACAAATAACAATATCAACTCCTGAAAGAACATCTTCACCTCTTGGAACAATAACCTCGCCACTAAAAACAATCACCTCAACTTCTAAACCAACATCTTCACGTCCTGGTATAATAACCTCCGCTTCAAAGACAACATTTTCACCTACTATCTTAAGAACATCAACATTAGGAACAATAACACCAGCTTCAGAGAAAACATTATCATCTACTGGAACAACATTTCCTCCTGAAACAACAACCTCACCATCTAAAACACCCACATCATTGTCGGGACCAACAGCCTTACAATCTAAATCATCAGCCTCACCTCCAGAAACAAATACATTAGCTTCAGAGAAAATATCATCAACTCCAAAAACATCAACCTCGTCTCCAGGAACAATAACACCAGTTTCAGAGATGTTATCTTCATCATCTGAAACATCAACCTCAAATCCGGGAATAATAACTTCAACTTTTGAAAAAACATCGTCATCTGCTGGAACAACAATCTCACCTCCAGAAACAGTAACACAAACTCCTGAAACAGCAACATTGCCTTATCATTCAACAACCCCGACGTCTAAAACATCAACATCTTTCCCTGAAACAGCAACCTCACCATCTGAATCGTCGATATCACCTCCAGGAACAATAATCCACTCTTCAACGAAAACTTCGTCATCTTCTGGAACAACAACCTCACCTACAGTGACAATGACCTCAGCATCTGAAACAACATCGTCATCACCTATAACAACAACAGCACATCCTGAAGCATCACTTGCATCTCCTGAAACAATAACATCACTTAAACAAACAACAATCTCAACATTTGAAAGAACATCTTCACGTCCAGGTTCAACGACCTCACCTTCTCAAACATCAACATCTCCACCTGAAACAACAACCTCACCATCTAAAACATCAACCTCAACGTCAGAAACGATAACATCAGCTTCAGAGAAAACATCGTCATCTTCCGGAAGAACAACATCACCACTAAAAACATCAACCTCACCTCCAGTGACAATGACCTCAGCATCTGAAACAACATCGTCATCACCTAAAACAACAACAGCACATCCTGAAGCATCACTTGCATCTCCTGAAACAATAACATCACTTAAACAAACAACAATCTCAACATTTGATAGAACATCTTCACGTCCTGGTTCAACGACCTCACCTTCTCAAACATCAACATCTCCACCTGAAACAACAACCTCACCATCTAAAACATCAACCTCAACGTCAGAAACGATAACATCAGCTTCAGGGAAAACATCGTCATCTTCCGGAAGAACAACATCACCACTAAAAACATCAACCTCACCTCCAGAAACAAATACATATGCTTTAGAAAAAACACCAACAACTCTGAAAACATCAACCTCGTCTCCAGGAACAATAACACCATTATCTTCATCAACCTCAAGTTCAGGAATAATAACCTCAGCTTCTCAACAAGCATCGTCATCTGCTGGAACAACAATCTCATCTCCAGAAACAGTAACCCCAATTCCTGAAACAGCAATATCGTCTTATTATATAACAACCCCGACATCTAAACCATCAACATCTCCTCCTGAAACAACAGCCTCACCATCTAAAACATCAACCACATCGTCAGAAATAATGACATCAGCTTCAGAGATGCTATCTTCATCATCTGAAACATCAAGCTCAAGTCGAGAAATCATTACCTCAGCTTTTGAAAAAACATTTTCATCTGCTGGAACAACAATCTCACCTCCAGAAACAGTAACACAAACTCCTGAAACAACAAAATCGCCTTATTATACAACAACTCCGACGTCTGAAACATCAGCATCTTCCCCTGAAACAATCTCAACATCTAAATCATCGATCTCACCTCCAGGAACAAATAACTACTCTTCAGAGACAACTTGGTCATCTTCTGGAACAACAAACTCACCTTCAAGAACAATAACTCCAGTATCTGAAACAACAATATCGCCGTCTCCTAAAACAGCACATCTTGGAACATCATCACCTACACCCCTTGGAACAACAACATCAACTATCGAAACAATTATCTCAATTAGTGAAACAAAACCTTCATTTCCTGGAGCAGCAACCTCACCATCAGAAATAACAATGTCTCCTTCTGGAACAAAAACATCATCTCCTGGATCAACTTTATCATCCCCGAGTACAACATCTCCTACACCAACAGCATCGTGGAACAAAAAACTCAACTCCTGGATCATGAACATAATGTCTTGGAACAATAACATTATCTCCTGGATCGAAAAGATCATCTTGTGGCACAAAAACATAAACTCCTGGGCCAACATCACCTCCTTGAACAACGACCTCAACTACTTGAAAAACAACCTCATCAACTGGAACAAAAACATCAACGACTGGCAAAGCAATCTGACTTCATGGAACAACAACATAAACGGTTGGAACAAAAACATAATCTCCTTGAACAATAACCTTACCACCTGGAACAACAGATTTCTATAATTGAACCATGAACGTCTTGAAATAATAGCTTCATCACCTTAGAGAACATCGTCATTTCATAGAGCAATCAAATCTCTTGGAACCAAGCAGAACAACAACCTTTCCACTTCAACAACAAGTTAATCTCTTTGAACAAGAGCAAGCATTCTTACCTCCTCTAAACCTTCAGTGTCTTGTCATATAAGACGTCGTCAGAGGCGACAGTGTCAGTCTCTGGAACAACATCATTTTTTAACATAATACCACCTTTACCTTTTTCGTTTAATTACTTTACAACCTCGGATAACAATTTCATTTCAAGCAAATTGGTCACCTCTTGAAAACGCGTCACATGTAAGAACAGCAACACAACTTCCTAGAACAACTTTTTAACCTGCTTGTACAACTGCCAAGAATTGTTCCTCACTGAAGAAATATAATGTAGCTGCAATAGAACTGCAATAACTATACTTCCTACCACAGCAACTGCACCCTTCTTCTTAATCAACAAACCCCATCTTATCACCTGTTTTTTTTTTTTGGTTTTACGTCACATCGACACAGTACAGGTCATATCGCGACGTTCCAGCTTTACTGGTGGAGGAAGACCTCAGGTGCCCCTCCGTGCAGTATTTCAGGCACGAACGGGCACCTGAGTAGAACCACCGACGTTCCGTAAGCTAGCTTGATAGCTTCCTCACATGAAAAATTCCAAAATCCCTGTCAGGATTCGAACCCACAGCGGTGAGGGGCAAGTGGTTTGAAGTCAACGACCTTAACCACTCGGCCACGGACGCTCCTACTTATCACCTGTAACAACAGCAACATTTAAGGGGAGCGGTGACCTAGTGGTTAAGGCGTCTGCCTCTCAACCCAGGGATCATGGGCTCGAGTCCTAATCGAGCCACGACCATGTTTCTTCATATGATACCAGTACCGGTCGGTTCCAGGGAGCGGACTCGGAAGTTGCAAGAACGAACTTGTTTCGCAATCGAGTTTAAAGCATCACCCTTGTGATACGTTTGGTTTATCCTCTGTATAGCAAGCAACATGATTTGCAGTGAGATTGTTTTAAAATTGTATAAGCTTATGTAAGTTACTGTATAGTTTCTAAGGAAGAGATTTATTCTGTGTATTACTAGTATGTGACTTTTGATTTAGTTATTAATGTACAAGTTTTACTATTCTATCTTTTCTGTTCTCTTTTATACGGATACGTTTAGTAGAGTAAAAAAACGAGAAACTGCATGCTTAAAGTGTATATAAGCTTTATAGTTAAATATTTGAAACTATGATTTGACATTGATATTTTTGATAAGCCTACCTTGAATAAGTATTACATTTTAACATGCAATTACTACATTTAAACATGCATTTACAACAAAAACTTTTGTGACTTTTAATTGATATCTATGCATATAATTTTTTGTGCACATTTTGGTATAGATTCTTTCTGTTCTCGTTTGTTCCGATACGGAGCTTTATAGTTCAGTAGAGTGAACAAACGTAACAAAAAGAGTAAATATTTTGAAATAAGTGATAAGTATATCTAAAACACAGGTCAGTAAAGGTTAATTAGTTACTTATCCTCTTTATTTTTAGCTACAAAATCGGTTTTGAAATTTGTGTCAAACTTTGAAATATTATCATTAAAAGTTAGTTCTCATCAACCATTTATCATTGTGTACTGATTTTGATTAGGGAAAATAATACAAATATTGTAAAAATTCACCATTTTATACCTTAAGTAACGATAATTGTACTTTTTATATTGAATCTTTTACTTATAATATCGAAATCTTAAACAATGAGATAGATAACAATTGCAATTCCACACCTCTTATATCATATGTTTTATTTTTGAAACTGCACTTTCCATTTTGCATTGTTCAGAGCATTATCAATACAAAACTGTATGGTGTTGCATAAGTTTTCAACATTCACAATATAGGAAACAAATCGAAACATGACCGAAGTATTTTGTTAAATGATGAAACTATAGGTAATGTGTATACTGCTGTTGCCTCAATTCATGCTAAATTTAAAGATCCTGTAACACAATTTCTTCATGGTTTTATTTCATAAATATGATGCTCAAATTAAGATTTGTCAATATTGTAAGTTCCAATAAGCATTATTTATAAAGATATTACCCAATTTAACATTTCATGTAAATAAAGGGAGGTAATTAGAAATTCATTTTCTATAAATTCTAAGTCAAATTTTCCAATAAGAAATGAATGCATGTAATATATTGATTAAATATAATGTACAGAAATATTTGCAGTACACATTTTACATATTCTGCGATGTTTGAAAATTGTTTTATTTGCATAATTATATACATACAATATTGTTTGCAAGTATGGTATACTCACAGTAACTACGGAACTACTACTTCGTCACTTCTGCGGACCAGCTGCCGATGTCCTGACTAATGCCGAGGGGAGTGGCCCTACAAAGTAGGCTGAGACGACGAGGATGGTGTACTAGGGTGCGTGAGCCCCTAGTACAGATAGACGGCTTGTAAGGCAGGCCTATAGCTGGCACCAACAGCCCTTTTCAGGGCTAAACACCTTTCCTATTGTCACAGGTTACTGTACATTTAGGTTCTCATTGACCGCCGTACAGTGACCTACTTTTCGGCTCAAAATTCATATCTTTGGCTAATACTCCGTGGAAATTGCATGGAGGTAAATTATCACCATTTTGTGCTTCAAAATTAACTCTTTAAGGACATGACTGGTGACATGTCCGGGGTCCGTACTCGACAGCGCAAGCTGCATTTTGTGCCCGAAAGGGCGGATGGACCCTCATTAAGCTTTAACTACATACGTATACACACAGTGACAATATCAATCACAAAACATACAGGATCTTTAAAGCAAAGTAAGAACATAGGCTGGTTTTACTATTATTTCTTAACGAATTAAGTCCAATTTTATTTTCCTGCTTTACCTGTAAACTTTACTTTCTTGTTTTCTAGATAGAATGTTAGAGGGATTTAATCATTCCCAAACAATAAAAAACATTGTTGGCTTATGTTTGTAGATGACATTGGATTAATACAATGTACATGTACTTGGTATTGTTTATGGGTTGCACAATCTGTTTCATTTTCAAATTAAATGTAAATATTGTTTACATGAAAATATTGGTGTTTGAAGGGGTGGTCGGATGGAAGACCCTAGAGATATGGTTTAATGCTAATTGTTCAATTGAAATACTAGCAGTTGGAGTAAAGACCTATTTCCCGAGTCGTTTGTCTTTATACATGATGTCAGAAAATTATGGCTATTAACGGTAAAAGGGTACTTGTACAGCTCCTAAATTCATCATAAAATAAGCTGAATAAAACATTTTTTAAAAGATTTTTGTAATCTAAAGTTTGCTTTTATTTTATTTATGGTGAACATATAAATGGTATTAAATCCATAACGGTGTATGTCTGTAAGAGGGTTTTACAGTATACACAATTGTTTGTAATGCTGCAATTCTGGGTAACAAAGAGAGATAGCCAATGTGCATTAATGCTGCTGACCGTTGCATCAAATTTTGGTTACGTTTATTGCGTTTGCTTCATAACTACGCTTATGCCATAATATGCAATGTTACTTTGATAGAATTGGCCATAAAGTCAGTACCTATATATATGTATATACTCGTATATGTGTGTGTGTGTGTGTGCGTGTGTGTGTGCGTGTGTGTGTGTGTGTGTGTGTGTGTGTGTGTGTGTGTGTATTTGGGTATGTATGGGGAAAACAGTACGTTGCCGATGGCGAATTGTTAAGATATAAGTGCATTGCCTAGACAAGTATGGTATGCACATGTTGAGAAAAACAAAATAACTAAAATTTCATTATGTAAACTATAATACTGATCTCATCACGGAATAATATGTAATTACCATTGATGTTTAAAAAAGAAAATGTTTAGCTTCGTTTTGAAGCTCTAGTCATACATAAATAATTGAACATTATATGAGCCGCGTCACGACAAAACCAACATAATGCGTTTGCGACCAGCATGGATGCAGACAAGCCTGTGCATCCGCGCAGGCTGATCAGGATCCATGCTGTTCGCTATCAGTTTCTCTACTTGTAATAGAGTTTGTAAGCGAACAGCATGGATCCTGATCAGACTTCGCGGATGCGCAGGCTGGTCTGGATCCATGCTGGTCGCAAACACATTACGTTGGTTTTGTCGTGACGCGGCTCAAATGTCGAAGATGAGTTATTACTTATCCTTTGTACACAAATATTTGCATGAAGTATTTCTACCTGTCAAAACTTTGAAGTACCAACCTTATAGTCTTGTTACAGTTTTGTTGTAAAAATCAGGAAAATGAAACAATGAAAACAACAATGTAATAACTGTCGAAAGTTTGGCAATTTATATGTATCACGCATTTAAAACAAGATACTCGTACATGTATTGATCTGTGTATATGTAATTATATATGAAATTATGTACAATGTTTGAATGCTATTCAATTGTATGTTTAATGTGTCTTATTAACCTTGTGATGATTATAATGTATTTTTGTATATGCTCACTGCTCTGTATTCTATATATTATGTTGCCATGTATTCTGTTTAGTGTATGGTGATTGTAAGCAATATAATAAAGAATTGATTTGAATATCATCCTTAGTATCATTTGTATTGATTGCCATTATGTAGCATTAAATAAACATTTGCTTCACTTGATTCTCTGAAAATGATATTATTATTATTAGCATTATACGCCAAACGAATGCACCAGCATTATCATGCATTTGAATGTTTGCTTGTTCGATTGATCGGGTTTTACGCCACACCGACACAGTATAGTTCATATGTCGACGTTCCATATACACTGGTGGAGGAAGACCTCAGGTGTCCTTCCATGCATTATTTAAGGCAAGAACGGGCATCTGAGTAGAACCACCAACGTTCCGTAAGCTAGCTGGATAGCTTCTTCTCATGAAAGAATCCAAAGTCCCTACCGGGATTTGAACCCACAGTGATGACGAGCAAGTGGTTTGAAGTCAACAACCATAACCACTTGGCCATGGATGCCCCTTTAACACAAGCTCCTCAATAATAATCACTTATAGCCTTTTATTTAAATAATTTATTGGTGACTTGAGCACGCATATCAAAGAATTCAATAGTGTTTTTTAATAGGCAATTGCTGTCTTGCAGCATCAAACCAGTATTCCGAATCCAAAGCCCCTGTCGGGATTCGAACTCACAGCGGTGAAGGGCAAGTTGTTTGATGTCAACGACCTTGACTAATTTGTCACGGACACTCCTATTCTGAATGCAACTAATAATATAAATCACAATAGAACAAAACAGATTTCATAAAGAAAGCCCAAAACGACAAAATAGAAAATGATTCATGCAAGGTTTAATTGAGCATGTTCATGGTCGTAGGCTATTGTCCTCGCACCCTTTTACCGCCAGTGTACATATATTAGTAATTGTTTGAATTAATAAACATCCGCAGATGTGTATATTTTGTCAAGAAACAGGTACACAAACTTTACAGACGAGCATCTAATGTTACACATACAGCACAACAGTTATAATACATAACTATCATAAAGCAAGGTACTGTTATGTTAATTAAGTTTCTCAAATATGTTGTCATTAAGGTGGCGACAATCTGGCCTAAATCTCTCATTGTTTTGTCTTTCGTCAGGCATAATTGCACTTCGTTTCTTATGAAGCAATTTTCATGACCAGATTCTTCTTTAATAAATATCAAAATGAAAAGAAGCATATGACTTTATAATTGTTTGTTATTCTGGAATCACGGGATTATTTCATTATAAAGAGCTTTCGGCATGAAATGACTTTTAAAAAATGTCTTCACAAATATATAAATGAATATCCTTATTACATGTTAATTGATTGTACCTCAGTCGGTGTTTTTTCATATCATGGTTTATATAAATGTATATTAATTTAATTTAATTAACTCATTCAACATTTGATGTGACTGATAAAATGTAACGCTCCCATAACATAGGAAATAACACAAACATTTGCTTTTCTCCTCTTTTTATTGCGATATTTTTTGATATATCGAATGATAAAAGATTGAATATCCTAAACATTTTGGTTACAATGAATAAACATGTACCTCAAATAATAATAATAATAATAATAATAATATAATTAAAGATACATTCATTTTCGAAAATTAATGATAAATATATGGCACAGAGCTACAAAAGATAAAAGTTAGTGATGTATACCTACTTTTTTAAACAAGTTTAACTGAATAATAACAAATTAGAGCAATATCAAATTCTGAGTAAATCATAATATCTGTCAACGTCTGTCTAAGGACGAAAGTCCAACGTATGAAACTAGAGATCATCAAGGAAGAGTAACTAAATACATTATTTAAGTCACCACTAAAAGCGCATGTTCAACAGACTTTCTAATGTTGTGATTTATTGAATGATCCCGGATTAGAGGTCATCCGTTGCAGATGAAACCGTGTATAGATAGATATACAAACCAGTACATAATACTTGAGTTTGATGCCTATTTTTTTAAGGTTATTGATATCGATTTCTGCCTGCACATGATTATCTACCTTATCAGACGGTGTTACCCTGCGATCCAGTTCCTGCTTTTGAAAGATGTAAAGAAACTATAACCAGTTTTAATGTTTCAAGCAGCCGTGAGTAAAGTGCATTTTCTTAAAGAAAATATTAAATTAATATTTATTATGTCAAGTATAAAACATTTGTCTACACATCATCGGCCTTTAAATATTTGTTGACTACTTCATCGTACGAGGGTGGGGGTGCTTCAGTCTGATTCTCTAAAGTGCATTCGCTATCATTTTCATTTTCTCGGTTAACAAATCGTGATGCATGTACATGGTCGTCTCCAGATCTGTTATCGTAAGATCTACCAGAGCGGTGTTCCTCTTCCTCAGTTGTTCGATAACTACCTTCGTCTGGTCTACGTGGACGACTTCTATCACCGTCAGGTCGTCGTGGACGATGTCTCTCATCATCCGGTCTACGCGGACGCTCTCTGTCGTCATTAGGTCGTCGTGGACGATGTCTCTCATCATCCGGTCTACGCGGACGCTCTCTGCCGTCATTAGGTCGTCGTGGACGATATCTGTCATCATCCGGTCTACGCGGACGTTCTCTGCCGTCATTGGGTCGTCGTGGACTATGTCGATCTTCGGGAGATCTTCGTGGACTGTTTTTATCTTCATAATGTCTTACGAAATGATCTCTTTCTTGTTCATTTCTTTGAGGTAATCGTCTATTCCTTTGAGTTCTTATATCTACATGATTGGCGTTGTCTTCATGTGGTGGAGCACTTGGTTGTATTGGACGTTCTCTTTCATTTTCAGAAAAATAATCGTGTCTCTCCCTTCTATTTTCATCATGTCTATTATTTCTATTATTTTCATATCCGTCTAGTTCTCTTGCTTGATCTCTGCTCTCATTAGTCCGTTCTTCTATCATTTCCCGCTCTATCTCAGCCCTAGCATTGTTTCTATAGTACTCATAACGTCTCTGGCGGACCGTCTTATAACCGAAAGCTTTTGTATTACAACAAAATAAACACATAATCACAATCGTCAGAATCAAAAGTAAAGCTGACAAAACAAGAGTTAACACAGAATATGTAAGTTTTTTACTAGTTTCTTCTTTACATAAGTTTATAGATGATTTTCCAGGATTCTGTTTTTCTTGCAAACATGTCACCGTTCCCCATATTCCAGATATTCCCATGGCCATCAATATACCACAAACACAGAAACTGAACCAGACCATCAAACAAATTAACTGCAATTAAAACAACAATAATGTATGAGTAGATTTGAGATACACATGCATGCATTAGCAAGGTCCTGGAATAGGAAGACCAAATGAAGTAATGTTAATGTGAACTTTATGTTATTCCGTAATCTGTACATTTAAGTTTGCACTCCGGATCGCCTTAAATATGGTCCAAATGTTAGGAAATTAGCAAACAAAATAGCTCTTGTCATCTGCTGTTTCATTTGATTCTTATAAAAATCCCAAATTCACCCCAAAAGCAAAGGTTACAAAGCAAGTTTCAATTGATGGGTAATGAAACACGTTGTTGTAGAAAGTTTTAAAAGATGATGATACCATGTCAGATCATATTATACTAAAATTGGAATGACCAGTCCAAGAAGTACACTAAAAGGGACATTGTATCTGGAAAGTCTTAATTTATATGAATTAAAATCAATACTCAAGAGAATCTTCTCAGCTACATTTATGATATAAAGTCATAAGTACCCCATTATAATAATTCATCTGTAGCGGACGGGTCGTTGATACAGAAAAAGTCAACATACTCAAATATAACTTACATTACATTTAAACAGTCCACTCATCTTGGTCCCAGTTTTTGTTTTCCTCCCTTCTATCCACATACAAAATGGACAGATTGTCAATAATAGTGACTGTAAAACATACATCTATAATTTCATCGCAATTTCATTTAGTAAAATATTTCGTGCTTGAATTAGCTGTTTTAATGTTTTACAAACAAAATTATAATGTTTAAGTTATATTTATTTAACTATCTTATATAGTTCAAATGCAACTTGAAAAAAAACACTATGAAGCCTGAACATGAAACTTGTTTAATTTCAAATGATAATTATACAAATGTCAACAATTGTAATTCAAATGTATACCATTCCGCCGGCAATAACACCTCCTCCTAGTATGTATAGAATGTCATCGGAATTCAGAATTGCAAGTACTCCTACAACAATCGCGAATATCGAAACCAGTACCATCAAAATTGAACAATTGCACATCACTTGCAACCTCTTTCCTCTTGTAATCGCTAAAACATCTGCAATTGACGTCAAAAATGTGAAGAAAAAAAGAGTTTGTGGAACAACTGAAGTAAACCAACAATCAATGAAAATTATTTGAAACAAATGTTTTAATGCTATGTCACCTAATATAAACACTTGAGAGGAGTGTGTGAAAATGTTTCAAGACATATTAAACTGCTATTGATAATAAAAGATTTATTCGTTTGTTTGGTCTGGATAAATTTGAAAGTTATTCTTAATAGTGAAAAAAGTAGGAAGATGTGTATAAGTTCTTGTAAGTCTGACAATATTCCAACTATAATTGTTGGTAAAGTTAGCTATCTGAATATTCTATAGTTATCGAACATTTACTACAAAAATTATATCAAATGTTAATATAATATGTTTTAGAAATAACCTATATTTCCGTACCTCTTTCCACATTGTCTGAATTCATTTGCATATTTTGATCATCACTTGTGTCAGTTATCTCAGTGGAGTATGCTGAAGTAACCCTGTCTAAATCAGTGTCCATATTCATTCAATTACCTTAAGAAACGAAACAAAACTGTTTATAATAGTACATCATATATCATGTAGTATCAAACGTTCAAACTTCTCGCACTTCAATGGTATTCAATTTTATTGTTTCTGCAATTAAACCTTAATAATTATATAGTATAATCTTTAATGTTATAGAAATAAAAACAGGTGGCGAAAAATTAAAACATGAATAAATATGCTAATTTCACTACAAAACAATGTTACGTATGTAGACTTTAATTTTGTTAATATCGTCTATTATTGTATGAGGTGAATATAACATTAGCAAGGTCTTCATGCCATTATGTACAATAAAGATGCTTTCCCCAAATTGCTAGAATAGACGCCTTGCAGAATGTAAGGTCAATTTCAGGTCACTCATGTTTTATTTAGTGGAGGCAGAAAGCTGTTTACTGATAAGCCTCCAGAACAAGTTTAAAGAGAAGTTATTTAACAATAATCATACTTTAATTGTTAAAATAAGCAATTTTTATTAGCAAAATATATCTAACATGTTTCAGACATTTGTGAATTATTTGATGTTTGATGTTTTTGTTTGTTGGTATATTTAAGGTTTGTTTAATGTAAAAAATAAGGATATTACTTAATGGTGAATAAAATAGTTAAAGATTAAAAAACTAATGAAATATCAAAAATGAAATATTCTAATGAAATAATTTTCATAAAATTCGAAAATGGTAACATTATGATATTTACATCTCACGGTCGGCTCTTAACATAGAATATTTCTTTTATTGAAAACACATGAAAACTGTGCATAAACAGAATAAAATGTTGCGGAACAAAATATTATGCTACTACTTTAAAAACGTTTTTAACAAAACAAAACATACTTATTTCATAAAGGCATTCTTATTCAAATTTATGGATGCTCGAATAGGCAAAACACAGAAAACACAATGTCATAACTTAGATTCCTAAATACTTATTGTGGAGAAGGGATGCATGGACAAAAGCTATAAAAAGATTGGAACAAGAAAATTAAAGCCGTGGCAACGACACAAATAATTCTTTGTATTCATTTTACGTTTTATAATGTGACCAATTGTTTTGCTTCATGATTTTTTTAATGCTTCATAACATAAATGATTATTAAGTAACTGATGGGCCTAATAATTTCTTCATTTCACACAGTAAGCAAAAATTGAAGTTTAGCCTTTATTTTTTAACAGGCTTTTCTGCAGAAATCGAACTATTTCAAATGACTAGATTATGCATTTCCTGTATAATTTAGATAGATGTTACACAAATATAATTATGCATTTAAGCCAGTCTGTTGTTTTCATTTTTTCTGTATTCTGGTATTTTTAATTTAATATTGGTAGTTTTTAATTATAGTTTTGAAACTGAGTTTATGCCTGAGGTTAAAAATAAATTAAAGATGATTTAAAATAAATCAATGAAAATTTAGGTTGCATTGATTTGATCATATTTTTTCTTAATTAGTTAAGCATTGTAAGGTATGTTCTTTGTACACTGTCTCTTGCTTGCCAACACTTGTAAGTTTCTCATTATAGAACTGGCTGCACATGTCCAAACACTAGTACATAATTATAATAATGATGATGATGATGACTTTATTTAAAGAGGCAACATAATTTGACACATTCAGGATTCCTTTTGAGTTTCTATCAAAATGTACATATAGTATACAGTTTCAATCAAATGATTTATATAAAGATACATATTTGTTTATCTGGTACATGTATTAAAAAGATTTTTCATATATTCAGAGAGAAGAGTGTTTAGGGTCAGTTAAATATTTAAATGGCCTTTTTATAACTTACTCTCAGAGAATTTTATAAATACAGTTTAATTCGGAAAATAACTTATCAATGGGTCCATTGAATGCCAGTATCTGTAGCTTACTAGCCAAGATTTTTTATTGTCCAATAATAATGGATCAGAAGTGTTTTGTCTGCAGAAAAGGATAGTTTATCAAAGTAAAAGACTAAATTTACAGACATAAAATATTAAGAGTAAAACCCAAAGAAATGGTCATTTTTGAGCATGTGTAGACTCTTTTCCATGAATTTAGGCTATTAGCAGACAGCTTTCTGCCTCCAGAGATAACCTGTGGTCAGTAATGATATGCAGCGTTCTATTTTTAGTAATTTTGAAAGGGGTCTATTAGAATATCTGTCAGCAACAGCTGGAATTATAATGTTTTAAGGTAATATATTTCAAAAGCCGTAAATCAAAAAATAGCTGTAAAATAGGAACACTTATAACCTGTAAATTTTGAATCTGCAGTCAAGATCAATCAATTAATCAATCCTGAAATTAGGTAACAGATACGATTAACAATACAATATTAAAACGAAATAGTCATGCTAAATGCATGTTTACCTTTTTAAGATGACACAACACGAATAAGATTTATCCTACAGTAGATTTATTTCTCGTATATTATTAATACATGGCTGTTCTTTTGACATGTATATGCCGTTCACAAATATATATCTATAGGTGAAATGCATATGTAGTAAACAAATACACGTTTAAATATGTTTGACGTTCAAAAAAGTAGGGTATAACATTAACCTAAATATCTAATTTTAGTAAATGAAAACATAGTTGTAGGTCACATAATTATACCTTAATATTGATAGGTATGGATTAACTGTCCAGGTTTATGGCTTTGATTTTAAAAAAGGTGAAACTTCCCAAGGAGGATAAAGCAATTTAGCATTTTAATTATGAAAGATATAAATATATTACCTGTATTTACCTTGGCTGCGTTAAATCCTTCGTACGCAAAATATAGTCACGCTCTGTTTATTCTAGTAAGATGATGATTCACGAACGATCAGCGAATGCATTGAATCAATATTGTTATGTAACCATTTGAGTCTCTGACAAGAAATTATTAATAAACAATTTGCATGTAAAGCCAAAAAATATGATAAAATTTTTAGAAAAGGAGATACAATTTAAATTTCGATTTAAATTTTCTAAATCAAAATGAATACATCAATTTTGGGACAAGTTTTTATTGATAAAAAGAAAAAATTTTTTAAAAGACCCCTCAAAAAAAAAACTTTTACACGAAATCCAAAATAGATTTTAAATCGTTTAGGAAAAAACTCCTATATCAAAAGCCTACATATTGAAAATTTATTCATGAAAAGAAACGAAAATAGGTCAAGCGCATTATCTTTAATTAAAAAATATACAACTGTTAACTACCACAATATATTTTATGTGACCAGTTAAATAGCTTTTTACGAAGAGCATTAGTGCCAGGTGTATGTTTTTATTAACTCGAAATTTCGAGTTACTAACTCGAAATTTCGACTTTCGAGATAGTAACTCGAAATTTCGACTTACTAACTCGAAATTTCGAGTTAATAAAAAAAACATACACCTGGAACTAATGCTCTTCCGTACTTAACGGAAACAAAACTGACTAGTCTAGAATAATAATTAGTAAAAGTGGCAGGAGCATTAGCGACAGATGTGGTGGAGAGGGGCGGGTTGAAGGTACGAGTATAAGTGGTTGAAAAAAATATCAGGGTAAATAACAATAATATACAATGTTAAAATATAAACATGATTTGGATGTATGTTGTAAAATAACATTTACTTCCAAAACTTGTTTCTATTTCAGAGCTTTATCTCATGTTTTCGAGAGTTTTCATATAGACATATAGGCAAAATTAAAACTGCTCAATAGAATTTCTTTTAACTTGGCATGTTGTTAGAATATGAAAACAGAAACATTTTAAGCGAAAAAAAGTGTGGTCACCGTTCTCGTTTTTTGATTTCACAAACAAATAAATTGCACCAGCCGAATCGTGTTTTCCGTCTACATTAAAAGAATGGAACAAATCACCTATCAAATTAAATGAAATACATACTGACCCATTGGTCCACTTTAAGTCTTTGCCGAATCAGGGCAGTTTTAAAGGCAACCTGCTTGTATATTACGTAGACAGGAAATAACAAGTATGTCATACACGACTCCGGACTCTTTTGCTAAAATATATCGTTTTATTGCTCCATTGACATTGTAATAAAATTGAGACAATAGATCACTATTTCTATAAATGTCAAGATATGGTGACATCGGACAAAATCCGTTTGATACAATTTTGAAAATAACATCCCTTTCTTGTTTGGAACAAAAGCAAAATCAAGTGAGACCATAATTTTGCGTTTTATAAATGTATCAAACTAAGTAGCAGGTTTGAAACATATATATTTCGAACTCAGCAAACTCGAAATCTCAAAAACCAGCCTAACCTATTCTTTATACTTTTCTTTAAGTTAACGTTATAGTAAATTCCCTTTTATCATTTTTATATTAATTATAATTAATTTGTAAAGAAATATATTATTACAAACAGTTTAATTGATCTTAAAATCAGTTATTTTAAAACTTTCTTGTATCATATTATTGTGCCATACACGTGTTTACAATAAACTGATCTTTTTGTTGTAAACGTAAAATCAACTTGGAGAAGAACTTTATCAGATTTGATATTTTTGTTAATCATTTCCACAGTGTATATAATTGATTGTATGTATATCATGTGTTGGGTATTTTCTAGAATAAAATATGTTTAAACTAACAGTTACTGGATTTCACGTTTTTGCCTTATTTTATACGTATACACTCTCCGATGTGTAATGGTTGTATGGATTTTGGGCACTTGTCATCATGCTATTTCTTTCATGATATAGATCTTATTTGGAAATTTGATCTTTGATTAGCGTTCGGTCTAGTATCCGGAGGTTCAGAAGTCAAAGAAACTTAAGAATTGCGTTTGGAAATTGCCACTGGATAATGGAGTACGCATTACACTATTCTTTTTATGATAAGTAAAGGTTATTTCCAGTTTTCCGATTAAGAACTTTATTCATATATAGATTTGACATTAATTATAAATAAGATGGAGGTACAATATTTAGTAAATAAAACATTTTGCTTTCTTCCTTTATTGAGTTTATTTCAACATTGTTTTTCAAAGCATATAACAATAAAACATAGAATGGTAATACTATAATATAAGATATATAATGCATATTAACTGTGTATGATAAATAAATGGCATAGAACAGTTATTTTATGAGAAGTTATCGATAAAGATTTTAACAATCTAGATTGTGAAGAAACAAAGTCATAGCAACATGCAAACTGGAATGTTATCTCATTCTATCGTCAAATGCCGAATGACAAAGGTTCAAACAATTACAGCTTAAGATCATCTAGGGAGACCAAGTTCACATATGTTTATTCATAGTAACAAACGACAACCAACCATTGATTCCTATTAAAAAAGACTTTACAATGCTATGAATACTGCATCGTTCCAGATTCATAGACTTACGAAACCGATACACGAGACATTGGTTTGGTGCCTCTTTTTAAAGGTAAAAAGTACTTTTAGTTGGATGCGGATGCGCAGGCTGGTCTGGATCCATGCTGGTCGCAAACCCATTATGTTGGTTTTGTCGTGACGCGTGTCATTTATCTACACGTCATCGGCTTTGACATATTTGTTGACTACTTCTTCGTAAGACGGAAGAGCAGATTCACTCTGATTTTGTTTATCTCCACTGTCAACATATCGTGATGCTTGACTATAGTCAACTCGAGGTTTGTTTGAATCATGCTGGTTCAGATTCAGATTGTCACTATTTATTCTTTCAGAACGGTGCACGTCTTTATCAGCTGTACGTGGTTGATGGGTATCCTCTTCAAGTCTACTTGGGCTATGTCGATTTTCATGTGATATTGGTGAACGGAACCTATCTTCCATAGGTCTTACGAAATGATCTATGCCTTGTATTATTCCTCTAGGTGGCCGTCTATCCTCTTGAATTCTGCTATCTCTGTTGCTGGGGTTGTCTCCTAGTGGTGGAGCACTTGGCTTTATAGGGTGGTCTCTTTCATGTTCAGTCAAAGAGTCGTGTCTCTCCCTTCTATTCTCTTCAGAATTGTCAATTGTATTACTATTATAACCGCCTAGTCCTCTTGCTGTATCTCTGTTCTCATTAGACCGTTCTTCTATCATTTCCCGCTGTATATTGGCTCTATTAATATATCTATAGGACTCGTAATTTCTCTGCCTGGCCGTCTTTATGCCGAGAGCTTTTGTATAATAATATAATAAACATATAATCACATTCGCTAGAATTAAAAGTAAAGCTGACAAAATAAAAGTTAAGACAGAAAATGTCAGTTTTTCACTTGTCTCTTTTTTACATCTTTCTCCAGGCTTTTCCCGGTTACATTCCACCATTCCCCATATTCCAGACATTCCTATGGCAATCAAAATAGCGCAAAGGCAGAGACAGTACCAAATTATCAAGCAGAAAACCTGCAATTTAAAACAATAATGTTTGAATAACTTTGATATGCATTATACATATTTTATGTTCTGAGATACAAATATAAATCAGCTATTGCATTGAAACGTCATGTCGTATACAAGTTGACCTGGTATTATATCAAATCAAAACTTGAACGCAAATGATCCGTCCTTGAACAACTCTCGTAATTTGGAGCGTGAATCAAGAAACATGTAAATGCCATTGTAGTTCATGTAAGTTACTCTTTAGTCTCGTCTCGCTCGTGAATCAAATTCACATATAGGTTTTAATTGCGCAAAATTTGGAACCTTCAAAAATGCAAAAGTGCCTGTTACAATTTCAGGAAATTTGATACATGGATAGAAGACCATGCACTGAATATACACAATATATTATTTTGTTCCGATTTTGAGAAAAGGAATTGCAATGCAAACACTGGATCCTGTAATAATTAAAAAACTGTTTGGAATACTTTAATGAATCTTGAATAGATGGAAATATAGAGAATATGTATATTACTTTATTTTGTTCAAATAATGAGAAAAATAATCGGCAAGGTTATAATTATAAACTTTGAATATTTCAAACATTGTGATGACAATGTAATACACTCTCGAAGCCCTACAGATAACCACTTGTAACATATTAAATGTTTTGCACTCTAAAGACCAATTAAAATTTCCAAAAGTCTTCAATTCCTTGTGAAACATTTCATTGATACTAAACGACACTTTATTGGAGTTACTGCTAGTTTACACAATACATTCTATAACTCCTTTTGTTCATTTGTTTACAAAAATGTGTCGCTCCCCTAAATTGTACTGAAAAATGTTTCAAATTTTTAATTCTTTTAAATTATCTTTTAGTTAAATTTGAGCTTTAACAAGACAAAAACAGCTTCAAGACTATCGGTAGATCGCAGCAAGGTGTATTTGTAAGGATATCTTTTTATTAGATAATTAATGCTTATAAAAATCATATAAAGTAACAGCTTTCACTGTCTTATTACATAAATGTTATTGTGATTTTATTGTGAATACATGTAAAGCAGAAAGGACTATTTTATAGACAAATATTAACAGGCGCAAGAACAAACAACTTACATTAAACATTAGCAGTCCACTCAAGTTATTGCCAGTTTTTGTTCTCCTTCCTTTCTTGTACATACAAAATGGACAAATCGTCAAAAATATTGCCTGCAAAAACAAAAATCTGTAGCTTCGTAACAATTCTAATGCCACAAATTAATAAACAAAAACTGATAGAAGTAATCTCAGAATTATTGTAACCAAGTGAAATATATTGTCCTTATAATTTTAGTTGTATCATTTTACATTGGTGGCAAAGCATTCACCAAATTTGCTTTATCTAGAGAACGCGTGTCAACAAATGTTTCCACCCTGTTATTCTCTAGTTGCCCCAAAGTATAGGTCCCCCAGCAGGGTTTGACTCAACGGAAAATAGATAGAACATTCAATACAGCAGTCATAACGATTCAGTAAGTTTAGTTTATTTTACAGGTACATACAATTATTGTACATTCATGGGTATATTTCTCACTTGTATTTCGTAAATAAATCTTAAAATCCTACATCTTCAAGGGCGTCCATAGGACATGATTAGTTTAGAAATGATTGTTGTGGAAAAATGGTAATGTAAGATAGGAAGAAAAAAAAACTGGGCATAATTTTGGGAACGCAGCAATCCAAACATATTGACTGCACTGTATACCCGAGGTATGTAATAATGTTACGTTTCAAATATAAATCATACAAATGTATGTTCTGGTGAATCAAGTATGTACCATTCCACCGGCAATAGCACCTCCACCCATACTGTAAGGAAATTTGCCATTTGAGTTTAGGATTGCCAGTATTCCTACAACGATCGCGAATATTGATACAAATATCGTCAAAATTGAGCAATAGCACATCGCCCGCAGTCGCTTTTCTCTTCTGAGGGCTAAAATATCATCTGAAAAGAAGTTTAAAAATATAGTAAATCGTTCTTTGCAACAGTTTGACTTGAACTTTTAGAATAATCGATTTTTATGGAATAACTTGAAAAATAATATTATTTTATATTTAACTTAGTTAACCATATTATGAAAGTAAAAGTTAAAAGTCTGACAATATTTTAATCTTTATAACTTATAAATCATCAATTTGAATATTCCTTAGTTAGCTGACAAAAAATTACAAAAATTATAAAGTTTGTATTCAATATTTTGTAAAGGAATATACAGAATATATAAATTACCTCCTTCTCCACCTCTTTCATCCATTTGTATATTCTGATCATCACCTAGTTCGGTCATCTCAGTCGAATTTGTCGTAGATACCTTCTCTTTTTCAGCAGTAGTGTCCGATATCCATCCGAATATACTTCTAATAGCATAACATAATTCAATGAGTTTTGAGTTAACATTAAAATAACATACAAATATATCACAATATTTTGTATTTACTATTATTAACAACTAATAAGTATGAAATATCGAAGTTTTAAAATAGAAAGTGGCGGATTTATTGACGGCGATAAAATTAAATGCTATGTGGATGATCTGAGCTTCAGACCGTTTAAAAGGACAACTGATTTAATTAAAGCGGAAGAAAATTGGTAAGTTTAAGTGTTCTAAAAGGTGGTCTTTGAAAAGAACATGTATAATTATGCTTTGTATAATTATGCTTTTTCCAGTAACTTAAATCTGACACATTTTCGATTTGAAACCAGAAAACATATTATGTCAGATCAATCAATCAATCAATCAATCAATCAATCAATCAATCAATCAATCAATCAATCAATCAATCAATCATACAATCAACCAACCAACCAACCAATCAATCCGTCAATAGAACGTACCCTTAATTATTAATATACATAAAAAAATCATGATAAACGTATGTTTCAAAACAGAAGATAACATAAGATCGTATTTGATTACCGTGCAGTATAAATGAATATATACATCTATATATAGTACTTTTTAGTATGTTTTGACATTTGAACATGTGTTACATTACCGCCAAAACATGCACTTCCTTTAAACGTGGTAAATAACAATGATACATAGTGAAGTTGGAGGACACAACACTTTTTGTATTAAACCAAAAATAAATATAGAAATTATGAAATAATTGTTTATTGATCTGGTATCCTTGTAGATTGAAAGACGATGAGTAGATATTGTATAACTTGTTGAAATATTTCTCGTGAGTGGTATAGCAATAAATCAATAAAGAATGTTATAAAATAAAGATATAAATATAAATACCTGTGTTTATCTTGATAACGTGAATTTCGTCTTATGCACAATATAGTCACGCACGATCTGTTTATGCCAGTAAATTTCGAAATGTAAACGAGTTTGTTTACTTGGATATTAAAGCTCGCCACACCACCACGATGCATGTTATCTCGTGTAAACAATACCAAGGCGTATAGTGTATTTTGAGAACCAGATTTAACTTAAATTTCTACAAACAAAGTGAATCACAGATTTACTATTTAAATTTCTAGAGTTTAAATTTTAATTCAATGTTTAGTTCATTAAATATGTTTTCGGTATTATGGTCTGTAGAGAAACTATATGCGGACACACTTCTTCTAGTACAATGGGTTATCTTTTTGGTAATAGCATCTGGAATTATCTATTCATTAGTAACAAGTTCATTCAGGAGTTCACTTAATGTTTCATGGAATTATTACCTTGTCATTTAATTAATTAAGAAAAAATATAGATTTCAAATTTTATATCGATGATCATGATTAAGAATATCAAAGTAACACTTGTGTGTCAGATTAACATTTGAGCCGCGTCACTACAAAACCAACATAATGCGTTTGCGACCAGCATGGATCTAGACCAGCCTGCGCATCCGCGCAGTCTGATCAGGATCCACGCTGTTCGCTATCAGTTTCTGTACTTGTAAAAAAGTTTGTAAGCGAACAGCATGGATCCTGATCGGACTGCGCAGGCTGGTCTGGAATCATGATGGTCGCAAACCCATTATGTTGGTTTTGTCGTGACGCCGCTCATTTGATTTCAGTAGCACATTATTGAGTATAAATTACTGTGAATGGGTATAGAAGACAAATACAGGTATAAATGTTATAAAGTAAGACTCATAAGCATTTTAAAATTAAATATATGATATGAGAGAAAACCCTATCATTATTACATTTTAATTTTGTATGAATTATGATCTTTTACCGGTGATTACATTTTCGTGTTAAATTTTCAAAACGAAAAATTTGTGTTACTTCCTTTCTCGAGTAAAATCATTGATTACAGGATTTATGTACATTATATAGAAAATTTTCAAAACAAGATTATTCACCTTCTTAAGAAAAATGTAAAAGAAAAACAACAAACAAACACATGATAGGACAACACATATAAAATTCATTCGTTTATTGGTATCATCTAATATTGCCTAAAAATGTCTACCGCTTTTAACACTTAAAGCTGCACGCCTCTAGATGAGCCAAACTATTTCAAGAAAATTAATATAGAGAAAAATGTACTAACATTTAATGAAAGGTAAAGACATTCAAATCCAAGTTTTGTTTTTCATGTTATGTACGGTTTAAGACTGATTTTGCAGTATTTTATTACCATATTTCTAATGCGTTACTTACGCAGTAATGGCTATTTTTGCATATGTTGACGACTTCTTGGTAATTTTCTTGGATTGAAAGTGCCGATTGCAATATGTAAATTGCTTTATTTGTTTACCTCACAATATTTTAGAGCTGCTTTATTTATTTATTTTTGTGCTGCTTTAATGTGTAATTCAAAATTTCGCTGTCTAAAATGGGCGATGTAAGACTTTAGACATTTATAAAAAAGAATTGTTGTTGTATTATTGAATCTACAGCATGATTTTGTTGTATATGCGACAGGTATTTCTGAAATAGGTTTTTGGAGTCACCTGAACATATAAACCACAGTGCTAACTTCATATGGTTCCAGTTTAGCTTGTTGTTTTTTTTTATATTTTCGCGAATTGGTAATTTTTTATTGTCAAATTAACTAATCTATTAAATATTACATGTAAAAAATTTCAATACGACAGACGCAGACTGATTTTAAATGAAATAGAACAGTTTTGTGACAATGACAGTGTGACAATTTATTAATTTTATTTATCTTTATGTTCATATATATGCATAAAAAATATGAAAAAAAAAACAACAACAACAACAAAAAAAAAAACGATTTAAACAATAAATGTCAAATACTCGTGGAAAATAAACCATATTGAAAGCAGTTTATTATTTATTTTTAAACTTTTAGAAATCATTCGCTTATTTCTTTTTTTCAGTGAAGGTTTTCCCCATTTTAGTTATCCAATATAAATGCATTTATAATTTGAATATATATAATATACATAATATGAGCATAAATAAATTCATAGCAAGGCAGTAAGATGTTTATAAAAAGGCTATCTCCATTATTCTAGGTTAAAAATAAACAGAAGAAAAACACATTCATATGAACTATCTCACTATAGTATGCTCTTTAATATGACTATCAGCTATTAAAGATTGCGAATATTCTTGGATTCTAATAAAAATAATCAGACACATCATTAGCTTTTATGACTAAATGAAGGAAGGACTAATACAACTTGTGGACATATCAAATAAAAAGAGATGTTTCTGTTCGTAGAAAATCATTTTATTTAAGGATTGGGCTAAAGTAAATAGTACAAAGAATAAAAACGTGGAGTTGGGTCATCAGTATGAAAAAGCTGTAAGAAGGAAGTAATCAAACACAACTCCGGTTAAATTTTCAGTAAATGACCTTATTTATTTGTAAGCATATAAAATAAATAAATCAAACACAATATTAGGAATAACAAAAGTAAATAAATAAAATAATTGCAAAAAATAAATGAACACATAAAAAGCCAATTACACAGTTACTTATACCAAGTTAACATGTGGAGGTTTATTTTAGAAAATGGCGTAATGAAAGGACTTATAAAAGTCTATATGAGCCGCATCATGACAAAAAACAATATAGTGCGTTTGCGACCAGCATGGATCCAGACTAGCCTGCGCATCCGCGCAGTCTGATCAGGATCCTTGTTGTTCGCCTACAAACCCTATTACAAGCAGAGAAACTGAAAGCGAACAGCATGGATCCTAATCAGACTACGCGGATGCATAGGCTGGTCTGGATCCATGCTGGTCGCAAACGCACTATGTTGGTTTTGTCATGACGCGGCTCATATATCCCCAGCATTTTAAACGTTTTTGTTGACTATTTCTTCGTAGGAAGGAGGAGGTTCTTCATTCTTATCTCTTCCATCAACATATCTTGATACATGTCCATGGTCGTCAATGGTTCTGTTTAAATTCGGGTTGTTCACTCTGTCGTCATAGGGTATATCAGGACGAGGCCTCTCATGGGTACGTTGTTCTACTAATTCCCGCTGGACTTCGGCCCTAATCACATTTCTATAATAATCAAATTCTCTCTGCCGTTCATTCTTAATGCCGAATGCTCCAGTGTTACAACAAAATAAACAAATAATAACAATCGTTAGAATTAGAAGCAAAGCTGACAAAATAAGCGTTAACACAGAAAATGTTAGATTTGCATTAGTCTTTTGGCTACACGAGTTTATCGACCATTGTCCAGGGCTCTGTGTTTCTTGTATACATTCGATCATTCCCCATATTCCAGACATCCCCATCGCAACCAAAATACCACATAAGCAAAAGCAAAACCAGATCACCAGACTGATTGTCTGCAATAAAACAAAAATAATGTATTTATAAACTTGATATAAATATATCAGTAAGGTTTTGAATTATGAAGATCCCATGAAAAACACTGCCAATAAACCAATGAAAACAAGACTTCTTTAAATATCGCTTTCTGTAAACCGGTTTAAATAATTATATAATACCAAAGACTAGAAATATGAATTGTGCAAATAAAGTCCATCAAAAAGGGGATTTTTTGTATGATAACAAAACTACTTTTATATTTAGCATCATTATATATCTTATTTTGCCAGAAAAAAATATGAGTAAGATAATGTTAAGGATTTCCTGCTTAAGGCAAGTAAAACTAAAAAAAGAAGTTAAACATTTTTTTGATAAAGGAAAATATACATTGTAAATTGATTCGCTATGCATGTACCTACATATTTGCGTTTTGGCGTTACAAAATGAACTTGCATACAACTTTTTGAAGTATATCATTATCAATTTTTCTTCTTGAGAAAAACTATAACTTACACAACAATTGAACAGTCCACTCATTTTGGTTCCAGTTTTTGTTTTCTTTCCTTCCATGTACATACAAAATGGACAAATGGTCATTGAGAGTGCCTGTGAAATACACAAAATATTACGCCGTCATATAAGTTAGTAAAACACACATTGCGTTATTTACGTATACTTAACTATTGTGTAAAAATGTTATGTTAAAAAATGTATAAATTCTATCATTACCATAGATTGGCAACTTCACTGATGTGCCCATGCTATATTAAGAGACCACAGAAATGTTTGATGTGTAAAAATAACCAAGTAAAATCAATAGAAAATAAGTTGAATGATAACAATAATGATTTTGGTAACGCAAACAATCCAAAAAACACTTTTTGACCGAGTCATAAAATATTGGGATGATTTAATATTACCATTACACCGGCGATAGCACTTCCTCCTAGGCTGTATGGGAATTTGCCCCCTGAGTACAGAATGGCCAGTATTCCTACAACACTTGCAATCAACGACACTAACGCCGTCAAAATTGAACATTTGCTCATCATATTCAATCGTTTTTCTCTAATGATGGCTAAATCATCTGAAAATAACATTTGGAAAAAAATAATAATGAATCAAATCTGCTGTACTTATCGATACTTATTGAATTAACTTGCAATATATTATTTTAGGAGCCATTATACAACATTTATTGAAAACTATTTATGAAAATTTAAGACCTGTAATTACGCATACAGTCCATCCATTCGGATGATAAGTGAACTTGTTAAACTTGATTGATAAGTTTGAATTTTACAGTGCAAATAGAAGAAAAATATGTGTTGATTCTTCAACTTTAATAATCACCATTACTTATTAGTTACTAATTTGAATATTGCTCTATTATTGCGCAAAAATTGTTATGTATTCATGCAGAATGTTTTTAATGTTAACAAGTTACACGTATCATCACCTCTTTCCACATCGCGTGTATCCATCTGCATATTTTGGTTATCACCTACGCCCGTAGTCTCACTCCGGTAAGCCATTATCCCATCTTTCATAGTAGCATTGCCCGCAGATGCCATTGATATTCATTCGATTGCTCTCTTAGAACCAAAGCAAGAGAAAAAAATGTTTAAGAAGTTCGAAATTTCTACATGTACGAGGTTATTATAATTATAGTGTTGAGTTCAGTAGTGAAGTCTATTGGACGAGTACATATAGCTGTCACATCTGAATAGGACGAAGCGCTAGTCAAGTCTAATATAGGTTTCGCAGTTGTGTTGTTCTAGTCCAGTACAATCAGTATTGTTCTCAAAAATGTGTATTGACCTCTTTATTTCACTTTTTTGTCATTTTGACAGAATTCAGTTACTTAAAGTACAAAATGAAATTGATATAAATTTCTGACTCTGAAATGTGCCGTATGTAAAGATGAAATATTCCAATTACTATATAACTGATAACGAATGAAAACAGGAACGGTTTAATAAATAGCTCTATCAATCAAACTATAAATCATTGATTCATCAATTAATCAATCAATCGATCAATTAATCAATCAATTAATCAATCAATCAATCAATTAGTTAATGTATTAGATGTTTTATTGACGATATTTTAAAAGTCATCTAAAACTTCATATTATTAAACCGTTGTAACAAACAAAACTTAAAGAAAAGTGGTTAATTAAAACAGACCTATGTCAGAAACGGAAAGTGGTTGGGTTCAGAAAACCCTACATATTTTGTCAGTAATCGATGGGGAATCTTAATATTTTCAATTATGAGTATTTACATATAATTCTGGACACTTGTTGGACTGTGGGGAAGTTTACTTTCCGGATTTGGAAATATAACATTTTAAGTGTTTTCTTAATTAAAGTGTTTTCAAACATAAGAAAAAAACTATTAATATTTAACCGGTCAGACAAAAGAAAAGAAAAATACAAAAAAGAAATTAAAAAAAGTTTGCCCAAAATTGGACTTGAAGCTACGTTCCCTGAAAACCTTTATTGAATACTCTTCGGAAAAGAGGTTAAGCATTAGTCATCTAATTAATACATTCAGTCAATCAATAGTACGAAATCGTAATATGAAATCGTTACAGGTTTTATTCGCGTGATGAAAATATAAACAAAAATAACTGTGATAAAAGTATGTTTGCATAGTAGTTAATTGCAACTTACTTTTTACCTACAGTATATAATATCTAGACCGTATAAATTTCACTACATGTAATATATGTTTTTAATTTATGTTCAACGTCATGAATCAATGCTTGTATGCAGACTAAAGAGCATTACTTACAAGGCACTCCCCCAAACACATTTTCAATTTAAAGTGGAAAATAATCATATATAGGTTATATTACTGTATTCATTAGTCTAAAAAATATCATATTCAAGTTTTGTACAAGATGCAGAGCAGATATTGAAAAAGTAAACCCTCAAGAGAATGGATATAGAAATGTATTAAAGAAATAAGTATGATGTAAATCATTTACCTTTTTAATTGGTTGCATAAAATCCTTTTTTACACTATACACAGTGCCGATCGTCACGGCCTAGTTATACAAGTGAGCTTCTGATCGATCAATATTATGAATTGTTGCATTGCTAGAAGTTAAAAATAGATCACATGCAGAGTCAAATTTATCATTTTTGGAAGCGCGTAGCTCTCTGTGTAATAGAAAAAGCATCGAAACACGAGGCTGTTTGATCAGATTGCCGAGTGTTCTTTCTCAAAACACGTTCCGTGTCGTCACAATATTAGACCCCATCTAGATTAAAGAAGAAGTAACCAATGTACGATCGAGCATCTGAGCATGACTTTTATGTCGTTATCTCTTTCCTTGTCGTCAAAATAAGTAAACCCCAGAAAAAATGAGCCAATCAACGAGCATGCTCTGTGCATGTATGGTATACGATTTAACTCTGACACGTTTTCAATAGTAAAGTCTCCAAATTATGATACAACTACTTGTAATCTATAAAGCATCCTCAAAACACATTCGTACTCGTTACGTGTATACACTTCATTTGCGCCCTGTATTTAGTTCTTTCTTTATTTTTCAAACTTGTATTTCTACAGCCTTGTCATTTTGGTATATTATTATATATACCCACTTTTAAATGAACACACATGTTTCGATTGTTACATTCATAAGTAATCATGCGACTAAGCCAGATCGTGTACTTTATATGCTTTGCACCTGACACATACAGTCATTCAAAGTAAGTATTTCTTATTATTCTGTTATCATCAGCTAATTTTTAAGCATCACAAGTATCTTTGAAAATTAAAGACATGAATAGAAAATATTCAATAGCTACAATTTTTACTTTGGTAAACTGTGTATAAGTTCCAGTGATCTCTTTATTCAGAAAGTGCTTCTTAAACCATACTGAGGTTGAAAATGTACCTCTACAAACAGGACATAAATTACAAATTTCCACTTTCATTTTACCAAGTTGCTGTTCCTCCCTACTCCAATCTCATTAAAATCAGATCATCGTTTTCGCTCACGTTACTCTTTGCCTTCCTAGCGACGGGTAGTGGATCGACAGTTCGGATATGATTTTAATAAGATTGTTCCTTCTTTCTGAAACTTTTCATATAATTATTATGCACATTTTCTAGAATGTTGACCGAAATATCATTTAGCCATCTTGTCTTTTCGTCATCATTCATTAATGAGATCATGTAAAGTTTTGATTTCAAATCATTTTCCGTTTCCACACACATAACTTATCAACTTTTTAAGCATCAGGTACATCTTCTGTTGGCGAGATCTGAAACACAAAACTTCCATTTTCTATTTCTTTCTTAACGCAGGTATCTTATTTCTTCTCCTTTTTTTTTCAACATTAAAGCTATAATCCACAAATATCTATTTAATTAAAAGAGATACGTTAGAAGAAAACTTTACTCTTAGCCTTAAATTAACAACAGTACATTTAGATTACAAGTTCAAGCATCACTGATGTTGACCTTATTATAATATTTTATCGGAGAGAATTTTATTTAAATGAAATTCTGGCTTTTGATATATAGACATTTTTGTTTTGTTTATAGGATGACATCGTCTCTGTAATTTGCAATAAAACATATTTATTTACCTAAATTTTTGTGTCACATCTTTATGTCCACTAACATCCCGTCGACTTATTAATTATTATTTAATTTCTCAGCTGTATTATAGACTGAAAATGTAACCACATATAATATAGACCCTAGAATATCACAGGCATGCATTACTTGACCTGAATTCCATATGGGGAAAACAATATTATTGATGTTAAAAAGTTGAATTCAATACCTTATGGTAGTACATGTATATTCCTAATATTGTACTGAAATATATGAGGGTACGTATACTTGTATTACATTCAAAACAAAACCACTGGTTCTATTATTGCATTATTGAACCAAACTAGTACTGGCACTGATACTATACCCCTGGTTCTAATGCATCCCTAATTGTTATATTTCTCCATTGAATATTCTTTATTTATCATTGAGAGAAACAACTTGTTTTCTTTGTATAATTTAAATTGTATAGGCATCTATTAGCTACTCGGTTTGATTATAAATCTGGTATCAGCTATGTTCAAATTCTAACATTAATATCAAAATTACACAATTATTATCTGACAAGATCAGCCAGTATGCCAGTGTGTGGACAATCTTTAAAATAACTATCACAATTTATTAGATTTAATCTATAGTTTAATTAAGACATTCTTAGCAGGAAAATGGTCAACTCAGTGTCAAAATTGGTGGGATAGAGTAGCATTCCCATGCACTTTTCAAATATTTTGAGTCTAAACAATGAGTTAGTACCATGTATTGTTAGGTAAATGTTACTATTATTATCATGTTTCATAGTTATAAAAATGAACCATTATTTTGAAGCAATAAAGGTAATTGGTCAAATTTAATCATATAATTATGTGCATGTTCAGTTGATACAGTATCTTTATTTAGAGTATATTCCCTCTGTATGCAGAAGATGACAGGTAAAAGATAACTGTAAAACAGTGTGTGTTCTAAAAAGTTAAAAACAAGCTATGGAAATATTGTAGAAATCCTGAAGGAAAAGTGTGCATACCTGATATAAACCTCTGATAACGCCTTAATATAGTGACACTCTACCTAGAAACTAAGGCGTATCTGCTATATGTTTTCCTTCAAGGGTAATGATATAAAACATTTAATTGACAAAAACTTCTTCTGATGTTACTCAGTTACCGATTTATTTTTCATTTGCCAATGCACACAAACATGTATTACTTACATGTGTAAATTTAACGTCCCCGCGAGGATTTTGATATTATTGGAAGTTTCAATAGGCTTGGACTGACTTATCACATTTTCTTCTTAAAGGTCAAATTATCGCCAAAATGTTTCTTTAAAAATAAAATAAAAATGACAATACCTGAAGATGTTCTTGATTTGCTTTGCTAAATGCTGTCTTCTCTTTTGTGCTAGAATATATATTTTGAATTGACCGGAATCCATCCTCGTAAAGTCGTGTTATTTTAGAAATGAATAAATTCTAGGTGTTATTTACCAGTAAGACACACGTATCCTAGCTAACAAGTTAATATATATGGTTCGTGCGTTTTCACAAGATATCTACATTTTCTTACAAAGAAACCTTACCAGTATAAAAGTAACAGTTTTTTTAAAGAGAGGCTTTATTCGCAGATTCAAAGACAGTGCACTAATATATGTTTTGAATATTTGGCTATATTTGTTGTAATAACTATACTTATCTTACTTCACAATCAAACAAATGAACTTTAAACATTACATACAAAACGACTATATGACTTTTTTGTATTAATTTGAAACATACTTTTAATTCTGTAATTAATTCATATTAATTTGAATGTGTTTTCATAAACATGTATTATATGTATCATTAAATATTGTAATGCTATTCAATTTACACCAATCATGTTGTTACTTTCACATAAAATGAGTCTTTCGGTCAGTAATTTGTATTTAATGTCTTCAGGAAGGTCTTCAAATAAATCATAACATTCTGATTTTTCAACATCTTCATCAGCAGCTGTAATGTAGCATGTTCTTGCAGTCCGACTTAAACCCATTAGTCTAACAGACAAATTCATATTAAGTCTAAGTCTTCCACTAAAAACACCGTAACCAAACTTGCAAACACTTGAGATAGCTTCATCGGTGATCTCTGCGTATCTACATTCAAGAGCTTTATGCAAGATTAAAAGGCAATTAGCAGCGTATTTCCGAAGATCATTGGCAGTAGTGTACTCGGAATTAGTGCCTTTGACGCTCATGCGTAACCAATCCCACATGACATTTTTACATCTCGTGATAAAAATTGCCACTTGATATTCTTCCGCTATCAACGCTAAACTTAAAACATTGCTACCTGAAATGAAATTTGCAAATTGAAATATAATCTTAATGTGAATCTGATAGAGGAGCAAACTGATTTAATATATCATGCTAACTTCAAAACAGCAAAACAAATAATGGCTGGGCGACTCTAGCAAAGGCAATAGAGACAAGAAGAAAAAATAAATAATCGTATTTTGTCTTGTCTGTTGGCTAGCAACAATATGCCGCTTGACATGCGTGCAGCGGACAATGTCAAAATTTGTTTCGAACAACAACTCTTTCTAAATGTTGTTAAAACTAAGTAGGATTGTTTCTGGCATAAAAGGTTTGTAAAATTGTTCGAAGAATTCCATTCCATTAACTCTGGTTGCGATGGCAACCAAACAACCAAAAGAAAAAACTTCTTCTCCAAACATCAAGGGCTAAAGCTAACATATTTGATATGTAACGTTTTCTAGTCAACCTCTACCAAGTTTGTTGAATTATAGCTTTAAGATCAAAGTTCAGGTGCATGGTTTTCACTTATATGTATGTAGAGAAATCCTTAAAACCTGCAAGGACTTGAGCTTAGATATTTGGTATGTAACAATGTCCGGTAGGTATGTATAAAGTTTGTTTAAGAAACAGCCCTGATCTCGACATTTACCCTGCATGCTCCGGGGGTCATAGGGTTTCTTTATGTGTGTATAGTCAAAACAATTCTTCTCCTGAAACTTCACAAGCTAAAACTTGCCATGAAATATTGTAAAGTTGACCTCTTTCAACTTTCAAGTTTGCGAAAATTATATCATTTGAAAGATATCAGAAAATCTAGATTTTAATGCTGGGAAATACATATTTGTATTTTCAGCTGCAGACAACATTTAAATACACAGTTGCAGACGAAGAATTGAATTGATCCAGTGACCTACTTTATTAATTGAGAGGTACAATATTGAAATTTGAACTACAAGCACAGTTTCAAATTTGATTTATTTTATATCAATTCACCTAGATTTGTATCCAGTACAGCTATGGAATTTGGACCATACCCAGAACTTTAGGGGCTGATTCAAACATTGATATCAATTGAACTACTTTATTACCGACTGACGTACTTTTTATCTCACCTGAGAATTATATGTCTTGTTTAGACTGCGTTTCTAAGGTGAGCGATATGGGGCCTTTTGACCCTCGTGTATATATATATCCATAAGGTCACAAAGGAGCAAATTGATTTAATAGCATAGCAACTTCAACTCACGTGAGATTTCCTTTTGAACCGCCGGATGTAGACACAGCAAAAATTCTTTAAAGTCGTCATATTTCTTTCCAGCTAACTTCACTTCACGTTCTTTCTTCTCTATAAAATTATGATCAAACATAGCTTTGAATACTGGAGAAGCATATGTCAGTAGGTTTTCAGAGACGAATAGTATTTTTCCATCATCAAACAATAGTTTTAATCTCGTCTGTGCAATGTCCTGTCTCGGTAAAGCATTTGGGTATCACATCCTCTCCATTTTCTTCTGCCATATTTTCAACGTTTGATCCTCCTAATAATAATATCCGTTCGACAAATAAATTTGATTACATGTACGACTAGTTTAAATATTTGCAATCATTAAATCAATATATTGGGCGCGTTAAAGCTATCGTCTGTGTAACTTCCTGTTCTGGTTCATTTGAGAGTTGTTATATCGTCTCCATTTTCTTTTTCCATAATTCCAACTTTTAATTGATCTTCTATCAATATATTATTTCAACAAATATATATTGATGGTAAATGTAGATCGATTATATTACAAATGTAGATTGTTTGATATCAGTTTATCAATATATATTGGGCGGTTGTACATAGGGGACAAATACGAGTTCAATTTACAAACGTCATAAAAGTGTTATAGAACTAGTAGTAGCAGTTAGTGGTAGCCACTAGTGTTGGTGAAAGTGATGGTGGTATTAGTAGTCCTTTTAAGTATTTGTAATGAAACTAAAATATGTCAGAGGGATGATACTTTTACCTGTTGTGTGTATATAAAAAAGGGTTATAAGAGTTTATATGTGTATGCACCAGCTTGATCCTACGTGCGGGATATTTTACCAGGGACTAGCTTGTATCAACTATTACCCCAGGTTGATTCTCTGGGTTAATTTCATTTATGACTGGGTTATAATTACCACACCTCAAATACCTTAGCCTGAACTGTTTTCTTAGAAGCGCATGGTAACAAATCATAAATGCAAATTAAAATGATATTGGTTTGATTCTAAAAACTGATCGTGTGCTTCTCCAATGTAGAATTATAGTGAAGTGATTATTTGAAGTCGCCTACGTAACTAGCCTCGTCGAAATTGGAAAAACATCTACTACATGTTAATCTTATTTATCTCGCTGTCGATACGTTTAATGTGGTTTTTTTAAACAAATGATAATAATCTGAAAAATAAAGAAATGTTTTATAGATTTTAGGACACTATAAGACCATTTTGATAACATAGATACACTTTGAACTACTCTATATATCACCTTGGTTCGGGTCATATTCTTCCTGCCCTGTGTAATTCTGATTGCAATAATGACACTATATCAAGCACCTAGGCAAGATGGACATAATATGTAAATTAATAACACAAAATTTTAAAGATAAAACATTTACAAGTATTCATATATACATGGAGAAATTAGTATGTAATATATTTTATCTTTCTAGTGGTAGTATATCTACAATGCTTTGTGAAATTTGATGAACAAGATGAACAATATGCGCCTTTTCAAGTTTTAAATTTAAGTGAAGGAAATATTATTTAACACATTACAAATTTTATGCTTCATTTTATTTTCATTCAATTATCTGACAAGTTTCTGTTGAAGTACAAATGTATATAATATGCCCTGATTCGGTATCTTTTGTATTTTACCATACCGATCAATAATGAGATTTTAATTATGTCTCTACCTAACAGTCTTGCATGTTATCATTTTGTCGACATTTCTTTTTAGCACATTGTTATCGCATTTGTCATTTACGTTCCGCATGAAAAGTCAAAACATAATACACGAATATTATGTAGTCTTTGAAATGTTACTTGTTTTATATGATACAGCATATTTTTTTAAAGCTCAATAGTTTATAGTGAATATGGACTATGTTTAATTGTATCAAGAAGTGGGCGTTTTTTAAAAATATTTTCAAGAGAGGGAAATGTTTACTAACAATGTTTTTAGCGTTGCGTTCAGCAACTACAATTAAAATCAGTCAGCCCATCACAAAAATGAAATAATCTGTATGCTAGTAAAACAAATTCCAAACGTCGTGCGCTGTTTTTTTCTTTGCCATCGATATCCAATGTAAAAAAACGGAGGGTATTTTTTTTTTATTTTTACCCTGTCCAAAGATGTCGGGTATGACTTTATTTAACGAGATAGCTCATTAAACCAACACTTAAATAGTCAATGAGGTTCTCATTTAAGAACAAAATAATTTACATTCATGCAAACAATGAAAATACAAAGAAGTGATTTTGTGCTTCTAGCCGTTAGAACTTAATGTGTATGACTTGTCAACAGTTAAATGTTTTATGTATTTGGGTGTTCTTAGTTTGTTTTCTTGTAGCGCAATTAACATGTGTATCATAATAACACATAGTCACTCACGCATGCACTTGTCAAACTTTTCTATGAACAGTTGTGAAGTTCTTGTGTTCAACTGCTGAAATATCCGCTAAAATCCGCTTTATCCTGCGAAGTTCATTAACAATTTTTTCTATGTCGCCGTGTATTTTTGCGCTTAAATAATCGCTCACGACTTTAAGAACATGCGCTAAGGATTCACAATGGCTTTTTGCAAATTCTGGGGACTTTGGGACCGACAAGTATTCACTTGTGAGTATGAGGTTAGCACTTGAAACAAAGTTCGGCAGGTTTTTGACAATTGAACTTTACAGATAAAAAGTTAAGAACTGCAATAACACATTCGTTAACCGTTGGTTCAAGGCTTTTGCTGTCGCAAATCTCTAATGTGATGAAAAATGCCAGTTTTAAGGTAAAAAGGAACTAATATGACCTGCAAATGCCCGCCATTTATTTGCTCTAAAACAAATTTCAAAACCATATAGGCTTGTCTGTGATTTGTGTGTTGTTCTTTGCATGATGCTCAATTCTGTGTCATACGTAGATATCTCCAACCTTTACATTCGTCCCTTTTTCCTGGTTTAGGAAACAGAAATACTTTATGAGTGCACTTAAAATTTAGTTCGTTGTTTGGTGAATCTGGCTCAAGTTCCAGAAATCGGATGGAAATCTAATTCAATTTCCAGTCCAGGCTCTATTGGAGTTCTATCCGACTTAAAGTGGTTTGTGTTCTGTGTCTGGATTCATGTGACTAAAACATTTTCTCCAATTCATTTCCCTCTCAGCCAGTGGAATGTGGTAAAGTCGTTTTTGTTTGAGACTTTGTAGTTTAAAATAAACTTGCATTCTTTCAAAGTTGTGTCTCCCTCTATTAAACACATTCTGATACCATTCAGATTCTTCTGCATCGTTAGGCATCCAAAGAAAATTTAACTTTTTTGTGATGTATGTCTTCCAGTTCGAGTTCAGAGTTTCCTACATATTTTTGTAACTTAAGCGTTCCAGTACCCTTTTGGATAGAACAGTATTCGCACCCTTTGGAAGGTGAACAAATTCTTTTTTTGCATTCATTTTTAATATTATCAAATAACTTTTTATTAAAACTGTCTAGCACTGTTTCACTTTTTATCTCTTTGCTTTCTAACTCCTTAGTATTACAAAATACCTGCGCGCATCCCTTCTAAATTGCAAATGTGTGCAGGGTCCGTGCCAAGAAAAGCCGGTTCTCTTGAGGTGAAACTGCAAGGTAATCGAAACTCGATACCACTTGTAGTTATTCTCGTTTGTTCCGTCATACTCACCCGCATTGATCAACTCTAGATATCGCGAAATCGTCATTAATTTTCTTGTAGTGGTGTAACAAAGCGTTTTTATTTAAGCTCTGACAGAGCTACAGAGATATCTTTTACTTGTTCATTTTCATAATTCACACAACATTTAGAAATCAAATTTTTCAACAAAAAATGTTCCATTGTGAACAGGTAAAACGCCAATGTTTTCAACGTTTTTATGCGTGAATTTCACAAACGTTTAAGAAAATCTATCTTCATGCAAACATCACTAATAACGTAAACTGATATATCAATAGACCTCTTGTTTGTAAATCTACCGAAATAAACCGAATAAATAATTAAGTTTCGTATTTCCGTCTATATACAATGTATCAAGAAATTGTTGTTGTTGTTTTCTAAATAAGTGTGGCAATCGAGTAGTTTTATACACTCATATATTGATAAATGCGAATTATTTACATGTTTAAAGTTTAGGCGATGTCTCTTCATTGTATTCCATATGTATTCATGATTTTTTACTTATCCGGGGTTTTAACACCCTTTTATTGAAAAGTCATCAATCCTGACCAGCTTTAATTTATAAACAAAACAGAGGTTGATATGCTAGACTTCCTGAAGAATCTTTCAGAATTATAAATAATTGTTCCGTGAGTATTTTGTGGGTTTTAATAAAATCACCTCTAAAGTGTCTATCTTTCAAACTACACGTGTTCAACTGTTTTAAACGATCTTCATTATCCAAGCTTGATAGTTCAGGAACAATAAACTTCCGAACTCACTCCAAACATTGATATCTTTGACATAGTATCATCCCTGATTGAAGAGCATGCTATATACTATAATATTAAAAGTCTAACGTATGTAAATCAGTATTTTAAAAAAAATCACGCATCAGTAAACACCACAGGTGCTTGAAACAATTTTTTTAAAGTTTTATATGGGCTATATACTATTATATCTTTATATATATAGACCGGTTATGTAAAATAATTGATTATGTGACTAGCGCCTGTGGTAAACACTACTGGCTATACCTACTTTTATGAAACGGATTTCATTTTTGTTTATATCTTCGATCACAATATGCTGATCTTTGCAAAAAATATCTTACACGCTATTATCACGCATGGCGTACATTGCAGAAATTTACAAATTTATTCTTGTCTGAATCCCAAATAGTTATTAGAAATATTTCTAAATATTTGTATTCTGTAAATATAATTAGAAAGTAGTTTTTACAAAATTTCAAACAAGTTCTATTATGAACTCAGTTGTATTTTTTACAATGGTTTGTACTTTAATTTATGTATGCTCATTGAAAAAGCCATGTTTATTATTTCGATAGATAAGTCGTACATATGCTTTAAACATAATAGTACAATTCTGCCCATCCGAAATGTCCAATATATGGTCCGAAATGTTCAAAAATCTGGTTCGAAATGTCCCTAAATATGGTCCGAAGTGTCCCAAAATCTGGTCCGAAATGTCCTATCGTCATTCCCCCTAACTTCGTGACTACCGGAAGTTCGTGACTTTTTTGTAAACGAATCCAGTGAAATCACGCGCGCACCTGCGAGATGTAAACAACTGTACGTAACTAGGTCATGTCGTCACAAATGTCATCGTGATATTTTATATGCCAAAATGCGCTTTAAACAGGTAAAAACCAACCTTTATACACATACCAGTAGTAAAAAATGTATTTTCTGTTATTCCCAAAAATGTCCTCTCTTAAAAAGTATTTTTTCCATGAAAAATAACATTTTAAGTTGTAAAAAGTTATCCGTCTGCTGTATTTACATTTAGATTTGACAGCCTCGTTTTGAAAAAATGTTTACTCTAAGGCTAACTAAAAAAATATTGATCAATTGTACCCCATGTCTCTTATCAACAAGCAGAAAAATTAAGTGTTTTTTCTTGTTGTTGTAGCAAAGCCTGTGCATTTGAAGGCCAAGTACAGATCATATTCACCCACAGCCTTGCAAAATGCATACAAGTCTGTTGTTTGAAAGTGGAACACCTGTTCTCAGGGCTAGTAAATTATTTGGTGTGCCTCAACAAACTTTAAGAGACAGAGTGTTAGGAAAGATAGACCCTGAATGTATCACTACTGGAAGAGAACCTGTTTTGAATATGTTTGAAGAGGCCAAAATTGTACAGCATATTAAAACTATGGCTAATTATGGTTATGGTTACACCATGCAAGAGTGTGTAGACATTGCAACTGAGTATGCAGTTAGTGTTTGGTAAAAGAACCAGAGACAATCCATTGACATTAAGGTGGATGGATGGATTTCGTAAACGTTGGCCGGAAGTGAAAGTTTCAAATCCCAGAAGTATTGAACATGTTAGAGCTAAAATGACAAGTGAAGCAACAGTCAATGCTTACTTCAGTAATTTACTTACTACTCTCACAAAGAATGATTTACTTGATAAACCACATAGAATATTTAATGTGGATGAGAAGGGAATTTCACTTAATCATATAAGCCCCTCACATTGTTTCATGTTTCTACTGGTCCACCTGCTGTGACTACTGGAAAAAGTAAAAACTATAACTATTTTAGGTTGTGGTAGTGCTGGTGGTATTGCTATTCCACCGTATTTTGTTTTTTCCGGGTAAGCGTATGCTCCCAGAGTTACTAGAAGGTTCTTCTCCAGGTGCAAGTGGGACAGTAAGTGATTCAGGTTGGTCTAACAGTGCAATATTTAGGACTTACCTTGAGGAGCATTTTTATTAAATACTTACCTGGTGGTACTGCAGAGCCTGTTTTACTTCTCCTTGATGGCCACAAGTCTCATGTCTCTGTAGACTTGGTAGAATGGGCTAAGAGTCAAAATATTTATAATATTTGTTCTTCCAGCCCACACCTCACATATCTTACAGCCCCTAGATGTAGCTGTTTTTGGTCCATTCCAGAAGATATATAACAATGAGTGTCATAAGTTCATGCGCATGAATTCTACCAATATCACAAGGTACAATGTCTGTCAACTGGCATGTAGGGCTTATACAAAAATCACTTTCCAGTGAAAATCTTCAGTCAGCTTTTCAAGAAGACTGGAATATGTCCATTTGACAAATTTGCTGTACCTCAGGAGAGTCTTGTTCCAGCAGTAGTATTTCAAGATATTGATATGGCTGAATGTACTGATACAGATAGTCAGGCTACTGTTGAAGGGGTATTGTAGTGGATAAGGATGCATCTGGGGATTTTTTATTGGAAAGGGAGATGACTTTGAGGAAGGTGAAGAGTGAGAAACCAAAGCAAAAGGTTAGGAATACCATAAGTAGAATTGTCTCAGGGAAGGATCTTAAATTTCAGCTCAGTCTGTTCTTGATTCTATGAAGCAACATGAAATAAATCAGAAAGGTCATAAAAAGTGTCAAAAAAAGGGTAGTAAATCATTCAAAATAAAAAAAGGATAATATGGATAAACCTCAGCCTGGCCCGTCCCATATCACAGTAAATGCTAGTCTATACTGTATTCTGACTCTGATACAGAAACAATTATTGACAGTGAAGTCGGAAGTCTGCTGTGTTTGTAATAAATTAGAGCCTGTTGACCTGGCTTAAAAGCAATCTGTAACATTTGTTCAGAGGGCACAGCGTGATGGTATAGATCGAAAACCATATCCCATGTAAGAGCCAGCTGGACTCATCTGGGATTCTGTACAGTACTGTACAGTACTAATAAAAAAGTGTTGATAAAACAGAAAAATTCTTCTGTCCTCACTGCTCTTCTTAGACACGAAGAGTAAATGACTGAAACACACAATAAAATAAATATAGTTAACAAAAGTTTTGACAGTTACTGTTATTTAGTTAAATTTATTAACTGTTGTAATTTTTTAACAAACTCACTGAAAACACTGAATTAGTGTACTGTCACCTATCAAGGGAGACTACTCTACATGTCACGAAGTTAGGGGGAAAATTTGAATTCAATATGGCGGATGATGACCTAGTTTAAAATGAAATTGAATATGTTTTGAAAAATGCTGCTTGTTAATAATTGGACTTAATGGAAGAAAATACATTATTTTAACAGGTTAGTGTACAAGTTTGATTATATATCTGTTATTTATTTATTTATTTATTTATCATTATGCGCTTATGGTCACGAACTTCCGGTGGGCTAGGATATTACTTAAAAATTACCCCCCTTGTTAACAAAGCTCTCTTTAAAGGAGGATATGTGAAAAGAGCGAATACGGGTAACCAAATTTAACTTCAATTCTTAAATTATCGTATATTTGGCTTTCTGAAAGCAGGTTACTGGTATACTGGTCGGGGACCATCAACCGGACACTTTTTGAACATTTTACCGCACATAATATTCATTATTTTTTAACCTAGAGACCAACAAATTTGACACATCTTCTCCTAACTAACAAACTAGTAGTTTGTTTATTTCTGATTGTATAGACACTTATATCCGAGGCTCGACAAGGAGGGTATCAAAATTACCTACTGGTCGGGGACCATCAACCGGACAACATTTTTCTGTACAGATTTCATAATCACTGATAATTTTTAACCTAGAGAGTAGAGACCAAAAAAATTGACAAGGTTCATCTAGGTTCTTCTCCTAACTAACAAACTTGTTTGTTTATTTCTGATTGTATTGACACTTATATCTGAGGCTCGACAAGAAGGGTATCAAAATTACCTCAATTGTCTACACTACAGTATACTGTGCTCCTCTTAGTTCACGGTACTTAACACTTTAAAACAGTAAAGAACACAAACAATAAACTTACACTACAAAAACTGTCATAAACTGTATCATTTAGTCATTTTTCTGCTATATGACACAAGGAAACAACAATATATTCAATCAAAATTAGTTTTAATTTGTCAGATGTAGACCGTGTGTTGGCCATTTTGAAAACAATATGTCATCATTTAACTCGCGGTAATGGTGTTTTATTTCAGTTTTTTCATGTTTCAGTTAAAATTTCTTTAAGTTATTTTGCATAATTTTAAATATTAAAAGTATCTTTACATTGTAACTCAAAATTTATTTTTTCAACAAACAAGAACATTTAGAAAATGATGATTGTTTCAGACGTATGCACAAATTTAATGGACTATTGTTGTTTTTTGCAGAAGTTTGTAAAATGTTGTTCAGTTTTACATAAAAATCTATAGATTTAAATTATTTTGCACAAAAACTTTGTTGTTAAGGTGTTTGAATAAAATATGTCAATTCTGACCAATTTTAACACTGGTAACATGAAAATATGCCATTACCGTGAGATAAGTGATGACGCGGAATTAGTGATGTTGAGTATACCATGTGTCCAGACATTTATGTACATGACGTGATTTAATTCAGATAAAAGCTTGGGTGTTTTGATTTTTATTTTTTAACATGATCAACAATATTTCAGCAACAAATGCTGAAGTTTTGGAAATTTTATTGTTTACTCTGCAAATGATTATAGCTGGTATATGAGGTCAGGCATTCTTTTCTTGACCCCCAAATTTCAACGTCAACATTCTTGAAAGAGCCATTAAAATATTACCATTTACGATGGTTGAAATAAATTTATTTATTTATTTTTAGAAGAAACATGCATTTATTTTTGATAAAAAAGTGACTGACAACCACTGAACAAAGAAAATACTAAATTAAAGATTTTCAGGGCAGTCCGGGTTTGGTTGTTGTCCGGTTTTGGTGGTCCCCAACCAGTAAATTGTCTACACTACAGTACCATGTGTCAGGACAGATATGTACATGACGTGATTTAATTCAGATAAATAGGCACAACTTCAAAACATATAAATCGATGTACTATGTTAACTGCCGTGTTGCATAGAAAACAACTGTCTCTCTGATTTGATGAAGTAACATAGATCTATGTCCTTTTGCCCCTACTGATAAAAGTACAGACAACACGGAAAAGGTTGGGAAGTTCTATTTCTATTTGTGTTATAATATTATTATATTTAAATCATATACTTCAGGTTTATTATAAAAGGTAATCATGAATGTAGAGGAACTCAAAGATTTGCCAGGATATAAAGCCATACTGAAGGCAGTCCTACAGCAACAGATTCAAGTGCTGGTAAATATAGGCTTAGTTAGACTTTAAAGGGACTCGACTGAGGTTTTTTTTGACATGATGGAACTGGAAATAATTTTTCGAGATATATGTTTCATTTTATGTATAGACTAATAACTTGTGTATATTGTCTCATTCTGTTTTTCCATTGTGAAAAATGACCCAAAAATTGAAAAGCGTTTCGATGCTGATCACTTAAATTGGGCTAAGAATAGCACAAAAATACAATTTCAGTTTACTTCTAATTTTATTTCTTAATACATGTATTTCTTTTACACATCTTTCTGGTTAAAGTGCCCAGCTGATCTATGTAAGAATCTCAAATTTTATTTTTTTATGGTTTTGTACCTCAGTGGAGTTCCTTTAACTTCGAGATGATGTTTTCTGTGAGATTTTTTTCACAAACTAAGATGATAAGATCTATGTTATTTTGTTTTTAATTTTATATATAGAGGCAACTGGTACTGTTTTTTTTAAATATGAAGAAATCCATGTACTAAAAGGCTGTTGGTTTCTATGCAGTAACTTATCATTGTTCAATGTTGCAACAACTCACTGTATTATCTGTATTTACATGTATACACAAGTTCAAGTTCAACCCTTTATCAGTTTTCTCTTAGTAAGAAACTATCTGTATTTCATTGAAAAAAAAATTGCGTAACATAGTATGATATAATGCAAGCTTTTGGTACCTTACTAATTTCTAATCTTTGCAAAAGTTATTATATTTAATTTCAGGTTGAGCAACTAAGTGAACAGACGGGTGAGGAGACAGTGGTGTTGTCTGCCAACATAACTGAAGGCACATTATCTCACCTTGGTTCAGAATATGGGAAAACTTTCTTGGAGAAAGAACAGTCTATCAAATCAAAGTTCCTGGGATTCTGCTTGAGAAGTATATAGTTTCTACTTCTTATTTTTGTTTCTATATAAAAAATATACTTGTTTTTTGTTATCTTTTTCTTTCTTTAAGGGGTTTGGAGGGGTTTACATGGTATAGAATCCTGATTTTCTAGAAAAACTTAACAAAAACTTGATTTACATGTATGTTTCAATAAAACAATTGTATGCTGTTAATTTTAACTTTGATTGGCCATTGATATAAATTTTTTGCAAGCATTAATTTTTTAGACCACAAAAACTATAACTAGCTTGCAATATTTCCTTAATCATGTATGACCAAACCTATTACAGTTTCAGTTTATCTTTGGTCTGAAATGTAAATAAAACTTTGTCTATAATGTATGTGAAACATGGATTATAAATTAATGTTTATAAAACATGATGGTATAATATAGTATGTATAAATTAATGAATTATCTTCTATAAATGTATTTGAAACATAGTCTATGATGTTTACGAAACATGGTCTATAATGTTAATCAAACATGGTTAACAATGTATATGAAACAGGATCTATGATACATGTACATGTATATACAGAACATGATCTATGTTGTATCTATGTGTTTGTATGAAACATGGCTTGTGACTTCATTTTTAAATACTTGTAGAAGTAAATTTGATTTCATACCATTACATATTTTATTAATCTTCAGAGAACATGACACCCACCAATGATGAAAACATTTTAAAGGAGGCTGTAGTTACTAAACAGAAGAGAAAGTTGAGTATTTCAAGTGACAGCAGCTGTAAAGGTTCTAAATCAAAATCAGCTAAACTATCACTTGAGGATCGAACATATAGTCCTGTAATGCAACAGCATGCTATAGGGATGTTCCCGGACCTTAGTCGTGCCACATCTGACTACCTGCACAAACTGAACGAAACTGTTGGTCAGGATGTTATGAGAAGTGATGCTTCAGACAATTTATTGCAAGAAAAAGATAGCAAAATAGGTCAGTTTGCATTAAATGACCATTCTTTGTCTGACCTTAATCCGTATAAAAATAACGTAAATTACGGTAAAAGTGGGACTGGTCTGGATATGTCTATTGTAAAGATGGAACCAAGTAATGATGGTATGTACTCTAATGACTCTACTTACTCTGAAAATGACAATGCACACAAGGTTACCTCTCATTTATCAGATTTTAACATTATTGATGCAAACAACAGGAACGCCAAACAATTAGAGTTGGACTGGAATCAAAGCTTTGCCAAAGGTTTCAATGAAAATGACAGCGCTTTTAATAATAGTCTTAGTTCTAGTAATGGAGAATTTTCCACCGGAGCTGGTCAGATGTTGGCACGTCCACATAGAACGTACAAATGTGATTTCTGCGACAAGTCATTCCGTGAAAAGACAAATTTGCGTGTCCATGTACGCACTCATACTGGAGAAAAACCTTTCAAGTGTTTTCTTTGTGGAAAAGAATTTGCGCATAGTTCAAACTTGAAACAGCACGAGAGGGGTGTCCATAAGTTACCTCCTACAGTACCTCAATATAAACAACAGTTTTACACAGGTTTAACAAAAATTCAGGAATTAAGCCAAAGTCAGTCAGAAGCCTCTTTCTTTGATAGTTATAATCAACCAATGTTTCCAGGCCCGCAAGGGATGGTTTCAGGTGAAAGGAACGGGACTGAAGGACATCTGGTAAAGGCTGACGTTAAGACTGAAAAAAATGTAGATGGTGAAAATTCAGGGCATCCTCAAGAAGGAGATGACATTCAAACAGAAAACACTCTGGAGGATGAAAATTCAAGCCAAAATATTCTGAATAATGAAACATGTGCAAGCTCGGATAATGTTGTCGGGGAATCTTCCGATGAAATTGATAGACTATAATAATATACAATAACAGCAAATAATTTCTAGGTTTTTGAAACAGTCTCTGAATATGCTTCATTTAATTAAATAACAGAAGTAAGTAAGAATGGTCAAGGAAAAGTACTTTTCGGAGTATTGTAACTGCATATTAAACAACATATAAAATTGTGCTCTTCAAGGGGACATTACCCTTATTGCAGTCAAACTTGATCTTAAGACCAGCATCAAGGAAGTATATATTAAAACATTCATCATGAAAGTGAAAACAACTGTTTAAGAGACCATATACATGTACTAATTTTTTTTAAATATTTCATTTCAAGAAAAAAAACATTAAATAAGCAATGGCAAATAAGCATGACGTATTGATTTAGAGATGTTTTAATATTTCTTCACATTTAAAAGATATTTGTATTTACCATTTGAATGGTTGATAGTAAAATCTGAATACTAGGTTTTTGCCAACCTTCGCAAGTAAACATTTTGCAGTGATGATTATAATAAGTTTATTTGTGTTCAAATTAGATTAAAGGGTATAATTCTATATCTTATAAAATATTTTAATACAATTTATCAACAGTAAAGCTAGCTTACGGGACGTCGGTGGTTCTACTCAGGTACCCGTTCGTGCCTGAAATAATGCACGGAAGGGCACCTGAGATCTTCCTCCACCAGTAAAGCTGGAACGTCGCGATATGACCTATACTGTGTCGATGTGACGTAAAACCCAAAACAAAACAAAAATCAACAGTAAAGTTATATTGCTTCCATTATTATATGGTTTATTCCTGAAAAAGTTGTAACATAGAATGTCTCTGATATTTAATGCACATGAATAATGTACGTAAACAGAATAAAATGTTCCAGGACAAAATATTATTTTGCTATTTTAAGTAGGGTTTTATCCGTTTATAATGATTTTGTGCATGCACCATTGGCTTTTAAGGCAATAAATTACCATATTTATTTCATACAAGCATTTTGGAAGCATACAGTTTTAAAATTCAAACAATAATTTTGCATCAGATATTATAGCTTTATACACTTTAAGATAAATCTTTTACAAGTCTGTTTATGTATAAATGTGCATGTTAAGAAGATTAAGATTGAGAATTAACTTATTAGCTACAAATTCACTTACTTGTAAATAAAACTGCATGTATAATTGAATAAAATTGATTTATTGATAAATGAAATTATTTTTGTTTGTTAGACATTTAAAGATATACTATAAGAAAATATTGATAATTGCTACACAGTCTATTTGTGAATATGAAAATAAGCATGTTTTGACTTCTTACAAAGTGCATTTTTGCATATGTCATGTTTAAAATTCTACACACTATAGGACTGTGGTCACAATATGAATATGTCAACAAAAAAAACTGGCAGTTTTTTTTAAAGACCAGCATTACTTAAGCTGTTAGATGGGAACCCAGCATCCTAGATATAGTTTACTCATTATTTTATTAAAATTAGACATATTCAGCAAGAATTTCATAGATTTCAATAAATTTCTACGATTAGAATATTTTACTTAAGAGCATAGTATATCTTTAATTGTGTTTATGTGTTCATTGATGCATGTGTGTATATAAACTATGTTTATTTATGATACCTCAAGACCTTATTTGATAACTGTTCACATAATCTTCATTTGTATATTTTTAAAATCAGCTTCAGTGGTAATTTGTCATAATGGTTAATTTTGTCTAATTAGGATTGAACTTTTCATGTAACATAATAATTATCAAATTAGTTTGTCTAGAGTTTCTGCATTTACCCAACACAGCTTTACATGTTTTTTTCTTGAATTGGATTTTATACTAGGTGCTTTTAATGATATACATATGAGCCGCGTCACGACAAAACCAACATATGTGTTCGGACCAGCATGGATCCAGACCAGCCTGCGTTGCAAACCCATTATGTCAGTTTTGTCATGGCGCGGCTCATATGTATTCACCATACCTAGGTACTTGAAATGATATATACACCATACTTGGATGCAGCTGCTTAAAGTGATGTGTAGAAACTCATGTGTCTGAAAATTAATGATTATGTGAAATTTCTTTCAAATATTTTTCTTTTGTGTTGCAACTTTTACAACTTATGTTAACTGTCAGTTGTACAGAAACAGCAAATGTTGCTAAAAGTCCAGCTGAAATACTTGCAAATTTGTAAGGCTACTTCCAGCCTAGAAGAATTATTTGAAGCCAAATTTTGTACCACTTAACTCAAATGATACTACTGTCTCGAGCTGTATGCTGGTTTTGACATTATATTAGATAGATTTCGAATCCTGACAGTCTCCAGTTTGGATTCTTTAATGAAAGGAAACAAGGAAATTTGATAGTTTTACTAAGGTCCTGGCTTGTGCCTGAAATAATGCACAAAGTTGCACCTTCATCCAACTCACCATATGACTTAAAAATATCAATGTTACTTAAAACACAACCCAAACAATATATTTTTAATAAGTATATTTTCTGTTAATATATTTTTTATATTTTTTTTTCTTAAATAGGTTTTAATGAAATTATTTAAAGGCCTGTTGCTATACATGTTAACCTTATAAATTTTTAATCCATTTTGAGATACATGTATATTTCTTATTAATAATCTATTCATTCTTAATTACATCAAGGTTCAGTGATAAGCTTTTGCAACAATTATAGAGCCAGGCCAGCCTGCATATCTGTAGTCTGACCAATTTTTAGATGCCAGTTTGAAAGAGCATATCTCCTACACACATGAAGGAATTTTAATGAAACTTCATAGAAATGTTCACCACTATGAGAAGCTGTGTCATCTGCATGAACCAGTTCTCTAGGTTAAAGGTTAATGTCACACTTAGAGTTCATTGAAAAATGCTTCTTGAGAGCCGAACTTCTACATTCATTGGGGGATTTTAATGTAACTTGGCACAAATGTTCACCATTGTAAGGCTTATTGCGCACATAATTCAGGTCTCTGCTACCAAAGTCAAGGTCACATAGATAGGTCAAAGTTTGTGTATGGGGACCATTTAGTCATCATTTTTTAATGGATTGTAACACAAATGATAACTATCATGACTACAAGTGTGACTCATGTAATTTAGGTTAATATTTGCAAGGTCAAGGTCACTAGCCATGATAAAATATCCAGATATTTTCCAGATATTGCTCAGCATATCTCCTATATGCATATCTATAATGCCCACATCTCTGCCAAAAGCTTTTGTGACAAGGTGTATTTTGCGATAATTTTGCCCCTGTTTTTATATTTAAATCCCTCATACTTTGAATGGACTGCTCCAAATTGAAAGCAGGGTAAATTCTGCAGGTTAATGGTTAAGTTATGAAATAATAAAGTCAGCAGTCCAAGATGAAATATAGTGACTACCTGTGCATGCACAATATCCGTCTGCTTTAATTCACCTATGCACAGCCTCTTAGCAAACTTGATAAAGTCCTCATACAATTTGTTTAATTGTCCAAACTTATTGTTAATTCTGAAAGTTTTTAGCTCACCTGTCACAAAGTGACAGGGTGAGCTTTTGTGATCGCTTTTCGTCCGGCGTCCGTCCGTAAACTTTTACTTTAAATGACATCTCCTCATAAACCACTAACCAAATTTCATCCAAACTTCACAGGAATATTTCTTTGGTGGTCACCTTTGAAAATTGTTCAAAGAATTTAATTCTATGCAGAACTCTGGTTGCCATGGCAACCAAAAGAAAAAACTTTAAATATCTTCTTCTAAAAAACCCAAAGAGCTAGAGCTTAGATATTTGGCATGAAACATCTTCTAGTGAGTGTCTACCAAGTTTGTTCAAATAAAAGCCCTGGGGTCAAAATTGGCCCCACCCCAGGGGGTCATTGATTTTCCCTATAGGCATATAGTAAAAACTTAAAAAATATTCTTTTAAAGAACCCAAAGAGCTAGAGCTAAGATATTTAGCATGAAACATCCTCTAAATGGTGTCTACCAAGTTTGTTCAAATAAAAGCCCTGGGGTCAAAATTGGTCCCGCCCCAGGGGGTCATTGATTTTCCCTATATGCATATAGTAAAAACTTAAAAAATCTTCTTTTAAAAAACCCAAAGAGCTAGAGCTAAGATATTTAGCATGAAACATCTTCTAGTGAGTGTCTACCAAGTTTGTTCAAATAAAAGCCCTGGGGTCAAAATTGGCCCCGTCCCAGGGGGTCATTGATTTTCCCTTTATGCATATAGTAAAAACTTAAAAAATATTCTTTTAAAGAACCCAAAGAGCTAGAGCTAAGGTATTTAGCATGAAACATGTTCTAATGGATGTCTACCAAGTTTGTTCAAATAAGAGCCCTGGGGTCAAAATTGGCCCGCCCCGGGGGTCATTGAATTTCCTTATATGTGTATAACAAAAACTTAAAAAATCTTCTTTGAAAAAAACCAAATAGCTAGAGTTTAGATACTAAGCATGAAACATCTTCTAGTGAGTGTCTACCAAGTTTGTTGTAATAAAAGCCCTGGGGTCAAAATTGGCCCCGCCCCGGGGATCATTCATTTTCCTTATATGTGTATATTAAAAACTTAAAAAAATCTTCTTTGAAAAAACTCAAATAGCTAGAGTTTAGATATTAAACACGAAGCATCTTCTAGTGAGTGTCTACAAAGTTTGTTCAAATAATAGCACTGGGGTCAAAATTGGCCCCGCCCCAGGGGACATTGATTTTTCTTATATGTGTATAGCAAAAACTTATAAAATCTTCTTTGAAAAAACCCGAATAGCTAGAGTTTAGATATTAAGCATGAAACATTTTCTAGTAATTGTCTACAAAGATTGTTCAAATAAAAGCCCTTGGGTCAAAACTGGCCCTGCCCCAGGTGTGTCATTGTTTTTAACTATATGTGTAAAGAAAAAACTTGACCAGCTGGACCTTAGATGTTTAGCATGAAACATCTTCTAATGGGTGTCTACCACGTTTGTTCAAATAAAAGCCCTGGGGTTTAAAATGGCCCCGCTCCGGGGGCCTATATACAGGTGAGCGACTTCAGGGCCATCATGGCCCTCTTGTTTGTATTTTTAATTTGAAATATTTTTATTAAAGCAAAATAAGACTTTTCCATCCATCCATGTTGTAGGTGTGGGGTAATAATATTAGAAATAGAACACATCTCTTCAAGTTGTCAACTGTCGTCTTGTTTTATTGCCACTGTCTTGTTTTATTATGTTCAATGAATGGTCTTAAATCAAAGTCATCAATATGTTAACTGTGTGTGGGCTTAATTCTTATGTAATTTTGTTGTGATTAATGCTTCCGAGGGATCACTTTGTTTCCAGATTTTAAAGGTCTGTCCCTAAAATGCTAGGAAGACATATGATATGTATACTTTAATTTTCTGTGTGTACAGTACACTGGTTATGATAAGTGTTGAAGATGGTTGACTTATCCACATACGTATGTCTCTAAATAACCAAAGATTTGACTCATTTTTGTAAAGCATGATGAAACCTTGATTTAAAAAACCCCCCAGATTTTTCATTTCCTTTTTTATATAAAATTGATTGTTTTAGTAATACATTCTACATGTATGTTTTATAAATATTTACTTTCTAGTCATTTACATGTACCATTCATTCATTTTATGTCCTATTTTTCTAATAAGGTACATATAACATGTATAATCAAAATGAAATGAAATTACAAATAAAATTTTCAAGGAGCAAAACTGTCGTTCTTGTTTGTTAAGTTTAATATTGTTAGCTCACCTTATCACAAAGTGTCTGATGGCTGCGTGTTTGTGGACCTTGTTGTCGGACATCCTTAATTGTTTTCAAATGACATCTCTGTATGTATAGAGCAATCTGTATAATATGAAAATTGCTTTCTGAAGCCCGCTGGTATATCTTGATCTAGAAACCTAAAATATAGTTTTGAATGCCAAGGATTGAGATACATGTATTTGTGTAGAATTGTCCAGTAGATATCTACATGTAGTTCCTTCTTATCATTATCCTCGGTAAAATTAGGCTCTTGGATAACTTTCACATAGGTTCGTAAATGGAAAGCTTTAAGAATAATCTTGTTAGAAACATTTAGGCCAAGTGATCCACTATCATATTTTTACAAAGTAAGACACGGGTTGTGAGCGTTCATTTGGCTTGCTTCAACCGATAAATTTTTCATATAGGCCTTTATAATTATATAGTAGTACTGATTGAAATTTAAAACGAATATGCACTTTTTCTGGATCCAGGATCCATTGGGTCAATGCCAACAACGATTAATATAAAACGAAAGTTTCCACTGTTCTTCATAAAGGCTTCTTCTGTTTGACCAACGTCATATATATTTGTCGAGGACGCTTGCGGAGATCTCAACATAGTTGTCGAAACGGCGGTGCGGTGTATGTCCTTCCGTCCGTATTAAGCTTGTCCGGGTCATAAGTTTGTAATTAGTAGGCATAATTTCAAATAACTTAGCACAATTGTTCCAAATAATGAGACGGTGTGTCGTGCGCAAGAACTATGTGGCTAGGTCAAGGTCATGCTTTAGAATTAAATGTTAAAAAAATGGTATCAAACAGCTTGTCCGCACCATAACTCTATCATTACCAGGTGGAATTTCAAATGAACTTGCATCATGAGACGGCATGTTCGCGCCCTAGGTCAAAGCTCAAGGTTACATGTGTGTATTAAGATATCACTTTGGTCAAGGCCAGGTCACAGCAAGAGGCTGAACGATTTCAAAAAAACGTTTTGTCAAAGAATTGTGATGGCTTTTTTCATGAATCAAAACTATCTGAAATTTTTTATCTTAGTATGACGTCTTATCTAACGTAGTAATCAACACATCTGTCCTTGACGTCAAAAAAATTATTGCATCAAAGCTTAAACCATCGTTGACTTAATTGCCTTTTTTGTGTAAAATGGAAATAGAATTACTATTTAACTTACTTTATAGTTGTCATTTGTGGTACAAGGGGATATCTGTTAATATGAGACGATATTTGTAGGAAAGAAGTGGCATTGCTGAAACCGTTAAATTATTTATATATGTATATGTATTGGTCTACCTTAAAACAATCTCAAACTAAACACATATAGGCCTGGATAAAGGGGTCATTTTTAAAGGTCAGTCCTCACATTGATAACAGAGATAAATGTTGTGGTCATCTAAGACGTTGGGAATTTTAACGAGTTATCTATGAACATTAATGATAATACGTTACTATATATAATATATAAGAAGAAATACACGTGTATGCAAGAATAGGACGATTGCAACATTGGAATTTGTCTGTCAATAAATACCAGTTTTGTTGAATGCATTATGGAAGGAAGTAAGGAAATGACAGAAAAGGTATGGGGTTAAGGTTAATCCGGATATATTTATAATTATAACTGACATATAGTATTTGTTTGTACATTACGTGTCTTATATATATGTACATGTAATATACCGTCACATAAACAGCCGAATTCTCAACATAACGTCATAGAAAACATCAAACGGGAAAAATTATCAATGTGAAACATTATTACACGGAGTATTGTTACATTTATATGAACTTCGAGTTTAACATTTTACAGTAAATTTACTATCTACAGTGATCTCGAGCATGTAACGGGGAAACGGTGGCCTAACTGGTTAAGGGGCCTACCTTCTCAATACCAGGAATGCTTGGTTGCAATCATATGGTCACACACACCAGTACTGATTAAGATTTGTTTTATCTGCATTATGACAAAAATTGACCGCGTGTAGATATGCAGAGTTAAAGGATAACCCTTATTGCTTTTCGCGAAGACTTTTAATTAGATTGTCTCCCGTGCACGTGAACATTTATTTAGAACGTGGGTCATACGTGTGCCGTATATACAATTTTCATAGAAATTGATGGATCATATTTAAATAGCATTATCTTTCTTTAAACATAATCACAAAAAGAAAATATAAAGAGTTAATTTTGTAAGGTACTAGTATATAATATGTGAACTATACGGACAGATGCTTTTATGCAAATCAAACCGATTGGAAGAAGTAGGCTATAGGCAAACCTCTGGTCAGAGGCCATTAAAAGTAGAAGTAATCTTTATTTTGCTGTTGCTGTATTTTTTTCTTATCCGCGAAAGGTTGTCAGAGAACAACTTAAAATTAAGAATGATCTTTTCTTGGCAGTGTTCTTTACCTCAGGTTTTTCTATGCATCTAATATGATCTCGATTTGAAGACAGGGGAGGCAACACCGAAAACATAAGGTTGGTTTGATTTGGGTTTATTGAGATCTATGTCTTATGTATACAGATAATTAAATCTGGGGTAAATGTCCTGGCGATACCCTTTGACATAGATATAGAAGTGCTATTTTAAATAAATTTTACTTTGCTCATGAAAACGTTGACACAAAGCGTTTTCTCATGTGATTATAGTGTTTGAAGATTATTTGGAGCGTCTTCTTTAAATTTTTAGCGGTTAAAACCAGCCTTTGTTAATATCTGAAAGCGTTATTGTATGCATAACTTAAACATTACGTATACTAGCTTCTTACCTAAAATGACAATCGTTTCACTTTTTTATATGCTCCGATTTGAAGTGTGGCTTGTTATAATTAATTGAATGATTTGCATCAAACAAAATATATATTATACTACATTGTGCATTGCTAATAGCAAAATAATCAATTATAATACACAATTACAATTGCTAAACATTTTCTGAAGTATTGCAATCAAAATAGGAACAAATACATATGTGTAACTTATTAAAGATGAAAATGGTATTCATTCTGGAAGTGAGCTGTTCATCATTATTAGATGTACATTGTGCGAAAAGCGTTGTCAAAGAGCATTCAACACCGACAGAGCATGACGTATTGTAGCGTCTGTTATACAATGGCTGACCAGACGACAGTTACGTCATAGTGTACATTACAATAGGTTATAGACCCTTTCTCTCAGCTGTCATTTCACATTGACCATTTGTATGTCAAATGTTCACCTGAACACCTTTAAACCACTTTCATATACATCTAAAATCAAACACGAGGTTTAATTATATGCAAATTATATTTATTTATGTGCTTTAAACATGAGGATGTTATTTACAGTGTAGAATTTAGATTATAATATATAAATATTTACATGTTGAGAAAAACTTGACCACCGTTATAAACACTCATTATTACAAGTTCTTGATTCAAGTCAAGTAACTCGGAGTTTACACGCAGAACAAAAAAGTAATCGATCGTCGTTCAGATATCCTGAAGTAAGTCAACTTTAACAAAATATATATAACATTTTATATGTTTTGCATCTGATAAAATAATGTTCTTAGATCGAACATCGATTACATACAAAATTTTGACTCCTAAATAGTAGACGTCGAACGTTATTTAGATCTACATCATGTACTGTAAACTTTGTTAACTTTAATTGTCTAAACGTAAAAAAACAACAGCACTAAAATATCTTACATTTATTGCTTGTAAGCACTCAGATTCATTTCATATTTATTTGAACATAGATTATATGTTAGTGATGACATTGATGATATGTAAATCGAACATTTATTGCATGTTAACATTAATTTACAGTGTAAGTTTTGTATGTTACAGGCACCATTTCTCGAGGGTTTTCCTGGTCCTGAAGTTAAGATGAAAGAAAAGGAACCAAATTTAGAGGAAAATGAAGCAGACGAGAAATATGGGTGTTTGACCTTCAAGCCGGGGTAAGTCGTGATAAATATGACGAGAAATATAAATTATTTGATCCCAATAAATCTAAAAAAAATTAACAACTATGTTGTATGGACATTGAAAGAACAAACTTATTTCAGCAGAAATAGTCGGACAAAAATTTTGCACATATTTCGTAAATGGCCGAAAACTGAAAAATAAATTAAGGAATTAATGAGGTGTACTTTAAATATAATTGTATAAATTGTAGCGAATTTGAACACAGACACTTTGCGTGTAGAGCTCCAAAGGCCTTAAAATTCAAATTAATTGTTTATTTGTCAATTATCTATCATTTTGTCGTATATAATTATAATAATTATTATTTAGACGTTGAAATATGATTTTTTTTTCAAATAAGCGGATATTAAGTTTTATTGATATATATGATAAGAGTATATAATAGGATTGACAAATATACAATTTATTTGGATTTTAGGGGCTTTAAACTCCACATCCCATGTGTGTGTGTGTGTGTGTGTGCGTGCGTGCGTGCGTGCGAACGTGTGTGTGTGTGTGTGTGTGTGTGTGTGTGTGTGTGTGTGTGTGAATTTGAAAAGACTTGCCACTTCTCTTTACTTATCTACAAGCTAATATAAACAGTTACTCTGCTTCGAAAATGTATAATGCCTAATTCTACGTATGCATGTATGAAAACTGTTTTTATTAAACTAGCATTTTGTTTTATTTTCTGATCTTTTTTAGCTGCCTTCAGCGCATGAACAACATCAGATGTCACGTGTTATGGCAATGTGTCTTCTGCTTCTTTGAAGGTTTTATTGTTAATGGTGTTATAAATGTGGTACTCGTTGCCCTCGAGAAACGTTACTCACTACCAAGCTCAAAATCAGGCCTTATAGGTTAGTGTCATTTTTTACAGAAAAATCAGGCCTTTTATGTTAGTTTCATTTTTACAGCAAAATCAGGCCTTACAAGTTAGTTTCATTTATACAGCAAAATCAGGCCTTATAAGTTAGTTTCATTTAAACTGCAAAATCAGGCCTTATAAGTTAGTTTCATTTAAACTGCAAAATCAGGCCTTATAAGTTAGTTTCATTTATACAGCAAAATCAGGCTTTATTTGTTAGTTTCATTTATACAGCAAAATCAGGCTTTATTTGTTAGTTTCATTTATACTGCAAAATCAGGCCTTATATGTTAGTTTCATTTCTACAGCAAAATCAGGGCTTATATGTTAGTTTCATTTATACAGCAAAATCAGGCCTTATAAGTTAGTTTCATTTATACAGCAAAATCAGGTTAGTTTCATTTATACAGCAAAATCAGGCCAGTCACATCATTCAGAACATAGAACATTAGAATATTTGACTAATTTTGATTATGCTGTGATTATAGCAAAAGCGGGTTTAAAAAATACAATATCTTTATAAGAACTTAGAAGGTTATATCAAGGATGTATAATTATTAAAAACATAAATTGTAATATTTTTTTGTTGAAATATTGTTGATCTCTGCTTAACATTAAAATTTTGTGAAAGTCTTAACAAAATGTTTTCCAATGTTGATTTGGTTAGTAGAACGTTTTTTTTTAAATATTCCAGCCAGCGCCAATGACTTTGGGTCAATTATATGCAGTGTTCTGGTCGGATATTTCGGGGAACAGCGGCACAAACCAAAACTCATGGGTACAGGGGTTCTCATAATGGCGGCCGGCTGTTTTGTTTTCTCTTTGCCACATTTGATAGGCGAAAATTATCGTTACACTTTGTCTGCAGGTAAATATGTTACACATAATAACTTACTGCTGCTTCATTCTTAAAATTTCATTTTAAGATTTTTATTAATCAAGAAGTACCATGAACTTACTTCACAAGAATTTGCTTAAATTTGAACGTGTTGGAAGCTATAAGCTTATCAAACCATTCCCAGAACCAACCAGTTCCGAGTTAAGTTTTTTTTGCTCATGGAAACAACGGCTTGCCTTTGACAGGGTTTGCACTCACGCGGTCAGCAATCATTAGATAACTAGTCTGACGCGTTGACCACTTGGCCATGCCGCCACAAATTGCACTTCTTGAGTGTAAAATACTAGTATTTGGATTGCAAGGACTACTGTATGTTATTTATAGATCTACTTCATAGCTGTATACTTAAGGAGTTTTTATTTAGTTATTTATTTCATGTACACATATTTCTGCTTCGAACAGGTGCAGACAATGTCACGCAAAACATGTGCGCTGTAAGTGGTAATGAAACAGGTAACTGCGGTAGCACGGAGTCGGATTACGTACCGGAAAGTTATACCGCGTCGTACGCTTTACTAATGCTTGGTAATGTTTTACTGGGTATAGGGGCGTCACCAATGTTCACTATTGGACTTTCATATATTGATGAAAACTGCAAGGCGAAACTTACAGCTTTCTATATCAGTAAGTTTATATACGAACTTCGTATGATAACAATTCCACAAAAAGAGAACATCCTCTTTAAAAAAACGACACGTTATAAATTATACACCGTATTGATATTTTTTCTCACTAAGTTAGAAAAGAATTTCAAATCTCATTATCTTTATTTCAAATCAGGTTATCTTTATACATATCGCTAAATGATTTGAAATTTTTGTATTGCTCAGTATAGAAAATGATTCAGGCTTTTCTTAATAATAAATTTTATAAATGCCAGGGATCGTCCAAAATCTAATTTTATTTATTTATCTTTTTTATTTTAAAATAAAAATGGTATACCGTTAAACTACATGTATATGCAAGCATTAAAATGAGTTATGGTTACTTTTTAAAAATTGTCTAAATATCTTTAATATTCAGGTTGGACATTTTGCGCTGCTGCAGTTGGAGTTGCTATTGGATATGTCGTTGGTGGTCAAACATTAAGCATTTTCGTTGATATTAATAACGTTGATCCTGCAAGGTAAATTGATTATACTTGATATATTGCACCTTGTATTTGTACCTTTATCTTGCCGGAACCGAAAGAGAAAAGAAACTACCACAAGTATAGAACAGAACAGAACTTTTATTTTCTAGACTTACAAATGAGTCGTGTCACGACAAAACTAACATAATGCGTTTGCGACCAGCATGGATCCAGACCAGCCTGCGCATCCGCGCAGTCTGATCAGGATCCATGGCATGCTGTTCGCTATCAGTTTGTCTACTTGTTATAGGGTTTGTAAGCGAACAGGATGGATCCTGATCAGACTGCGCGGATGCGCAGGCTGGTCTGGATCCATGCTGGTCGCAAACCCATTAAGTTGGTTTTGTCATGACGCGGCTCAAATGTACATTGTCTTGCTAACATGCAACGAATGCATATATAATCTCATTAATATATGTATGGTTAGTGTCTATAATGAAGATAAAGTGTACAATTAAAAGGCAAAAACTTCCTAAAAGGATAAACCACAATTGAGAGTTCAAAATTGAATTCCTGAGTTTCAAAGCTTCTTTGATATACCAATGTAACATCTATTAATACATTTCTATTACTTATATACAAAGTAACTCAATAATTTTAAACATAGATGGTCTGTTATAATACCAAATAAATATTACAGCACTGACAATATCTCTGTTCACAAGGAATGTTATTAGTGACATACCTTCCTGTTTGTATTGAGGGAGGATGAACAGATAATCTTAATCGGCAAAAATACATTCTAAATGTACGTGGTAAAATGTTAAGATAATATTTGAAACAAACACACGACTTAAACTGTTACATAAAACAAACAAAATAAACAGACAGGCCACACAAACACGAACATTCAGTAATAATAATTATTATTATTATTTTAATTACATAAAACAGAACTTCGAAATAGAATACTACGTATCGGAAGAATATATGAGTATCAGTATCTTTGGGTAGAAGTCCTCCACGCTTTCGGAAAAACATTACTATTTACCTTGAGACCCCAAGTTTTACAATATGAATATAAAAGACCTAAATTATTTTGAAGTTCTATTGGTGACTTGCCCAGAACAGGTCGGCTTTAAAAATTACGAGATTAGCAGCTCTTTTCTTATTAATATGTTAAAGAGATTTATATGTTAATGGTACATAATGTTAACATTCAAGAAAAAATAAGACTTGAGATTTGTTTTATTTCTGTATTAGATGAGAAATACCTTGTTGTGTATGTTTAATGAATTTATGATTCTAAACGTTATAGTAAGTATAGTCACCAGAATTGCAAACATCTAGAATTTCAATCTATTATTTCAGTGTTCCGTTGACCCCTGCAGATCCCCAGTGGGTCGGTGCATGGTGGATATCTCCTCTTATAGCTCTAATAGGCTTCTTTGTTGTAATCCTACCTCTATACGGATACCCACGAAGACTTCCGAGTAAGTTGTTAAAATTGTTTTAACTCGTTAAGCTACAATAAACCACGTGCACGTGGTCGTGAATTGTCAATAATGATACAAATATCGTTAAATATTCACATGTTTGATATTTAATATCCCTTAAATACCGTAAGCATTGGTAACTTATCATTTTAACGGTTACTAGTATTGTAAAATATAATTATTGTAACAAGAGAATGATATTATGGTAAACCGTACTTTAAAAAATTTTAAAAGATAAATAGTGACTGCATTAGGAAATACGAAATAAGGTCAAGTACTGTTTCGTTCAAATATCAATTAAAGCCATTCATTAATAACCAAGTTATGGCAAAATTTAGCAAAATTCAACAAATTGACTTTGCAGTTCAAGATTAAACTTGAGTTGCTCAACATGGCCATTTCATTTCTAAATCTTTGTTCAAGTATGAAACAAATCCGTCCATAAAAAATAATGCCAAATTTTGCAAAATTTAATGGTTTGATATTAAATGTGAAGGTCATTGAAATGTCAAGGTTAAACTCATTTTGACCTACACGAAAGTATTGTTTTAAGGATTTTTTATGTTTTAGTATGAATACAATTCGACCATTTATTAGTTATAACCAAATATAGTCAATTGCAGCAAAGTAAACAATAAGCGTTGAAAATCAAGGTTATTTATGGGTTGAGGTCAAATTCCTAATTGCGATAAATGCAAGTAGACAACTTACAATTATCCCTTTCAAGTTTCATTAAAGTTGGTTTAGCGGGTTTTAAGAGAAGAAGTGCAAACAGACGACGGTCAGACGGCAAAAACTGACGGACAGCCTCAAACTCGTATAAACAGGGGTATGATAAAAATTGGATAACTGCATTTACATTATGAAATAATTACAGGTTATAAAGAAGTACAGAAACAACGTGCCGTGGAAGCACATGCGGGTGGGGATGAAATCACGGCCCAGGCGAACTTTGGAAAGAGTTGGAGAGACTTTCCTAAATCTGTCTGGTTGCTTGTAAGAATTTACAATTTTACTTGTTGACACGAACAATACTTTAATTAAGCAAATTGACTTAATATGCAGCAAAGCTAGTTACATACGAAGCAAGGAAAAGAGAATCAGGTTCGTGTAGAATAGTCAACGAACTCTACCGTGGAAGATAATTGTTCTTTATATTTTTATTCACAACATCCTATCTTATATATATGCTTAGTTGTGTTACTTTTTAAACGAAAAGCTAATGTCTTAAAAGTGTACAATTATCTTAAAGTGTAAGAAACATAATATAAATCAAATTTGATTATTTCCCTTGTTCTTCCGTTTCTAAGGAAAACTCGTAATGTACAAAGGTCTATAAAATAAATTGTGATTTCCGTTTTTAAAAAATATTAGCCAATTTATTTTTACGAATAAAGTACATTTTATGCAGATTACAAATCCCACGTATGTTTTAATATGTTGCGGGGCAGCAGTCGAGGCGTTGATAATTGGTGGAATGGCAACATTTGGCGCCAAACTTATACAAGAAAAGTTTAATGTCGACATTACATGGGCAGGCACAGTTATGGGTTAGTTTTATAAGTTTTTAACTTACTGTAAAGAAGTAAATATATCGTTTATTTGTTTAACTGGCATAAAACAGACGGCAGCATAATTTAGATATAATTCTTATACCTGATTTTTTGGCAAGTCATAATGTAACCCAATGCTTAACTATGCTTGATAATATGAGACAATGAAATCAATTATATATCAAGTGCCCACCTATGTTGTTATTAACATGTTTTATCATATTAATTAACATATGGTGTCAAGAGAATGATTTTACTTGTTGTTGAAGGAAATCATAGAAATTCATCATACTTTGCGAAAAACTAGAATCTACTATGATGATCAAATTTATGACACGCATCTGCTTAACAAATAGACATCACATTACATTTCGTTCTCTAGCATCAATGCGTCTTTGTTGCTAAACTGCATATGGAGTAATGCACAAATGGAGTAATGCATATATGGAGTAATGCAAATATGGAGTAAATGCATATATGGAGTAATATATGGAGAAATGCTATTTATGAAGAAATGCATAATTATATGGAGTAAAGCACATATGGAATAATGCACATGTTTTAATTTCCAAGTTTGAATGTTCTATTGTAGGTATTATTACAATACCTGGATCCGGTGGTGGTATGTTACTTGGCGGGTATCTTGTGAAAAAGTTTAAGCTCAAATGTCGCGGCATCATCCGGGTGTGTGCTGGTTTTATGTTGGCAGCGTTCTGCTTTGGTCCATTCATGTTAGCACACTGTCCTAGTGACCCACTGGCTGGTCTGGACCACCCTTACACCGTAGAGTAGGTACTGGTATAAATAACATTTGTCAGGTACATTTTGTATTTATACAGATTGTTAGAATAACAACACTCGAATTGTACTGGCTGATAAATAATGTTGCAATGTTCATATTGCTACTATCATTTTGAATGATTTAAATCTGATTTTTTTATTATCTTTTGATAAAAGTAACATGAAGAAAGATTTTTTTCAGCGATTTTCATGGCGTCAGATTTGATGTTCGGCAACATCTGGCAACCTTCTGCTACTTCATTGCGGTTTAAAACTAAAATCTAGTTGTTATTGCGTTTAAATTGTGTATTTCTTAAAACAGGAAGTCAACTTCCGGACTGGTGTCAAGTTGCAATACAGACTGTGGCTGTACAACTGAAGGTTTCGAACCAGTCTGTGTCGAAGATATTGTCTACTTTTCTCCGTGTCATGCCGGATGTTTGTCGTCGGATACACAGAATGGTGTCAAAGTAAGAAATGTATAAATATACAATTTAAAACTGCTTGTATGAGTTTCAAGTACTTATGTATGAAGTGGGGCGTCCGTGGCCGAGTGGTTAAGGTTGTTGACTTCAAACCACTTGCCCCTCACCGCTGTGGGTTCAAATCCCGACAGGGACTTTGGATTCTTTCATGTGAGGAAGCTATCCAGCTAGCTTACGGAACGTCGGTGGTTCTACTCAGGTGCCCGTTCGTGCCTGAAATAATGCACGGAAGGGCACCTGAGGTCTTCCTCCACCAGTAAAGCTGGAACGTCGCGATATGACCTATACTGTGTCGATGTGACGTAAACCCCCCCCCCCCCCCCAAAAAAAAAAAAATGTATGAAGTCTTAATACCATTCATTTTGATAAACGTTTTATTATGTTTGAAAAGTTGTATATACACATTACCGTCACATACGAGCAATGTAGCCCGCAAATTCAACACTGGAGATGTGAAAAAATAACAACCTCCGTTTGGCATTTCCACTACTTCGTGGCAATAGTGTCTATGTAGTGTGTATTTTCATATTTCTTGTATTCATGTAATATGTATCATTATTAGAATAATTTATTGTTTTATTTGCTATTCACGTCCTCAACAAAATGTGAACAATCTCTGCTTCATGAGCTTTATGAACAGGCTTTCCAGTTATAAGGCTGATGGTAGTCTGGCGGGGGTTCTGTAACAATATCTTCCGTGTGCACCACCTACATTTCTTTAGAGATTTTACTCAAACTTTCATAGGATGGTATTTATAATGTACACTGGGTCTTATACCAGGAATTTAAGATCTGGTCATATTTGGGAGAATAATTGCACTTCAATTTATAACAGTTTATAAGTTGGAAGAAAAAACTTTGTTCTGAGTCAATTTCCTATCACGTCCTTCATGTGTGCTATATATAATAAATATCTTTAACGGTATTGTAATAAACGTTAGATGATCACATGAGGGCATATAATTCCCTATTATTTATTTGTATAATAAGTTTAATAACCTAAGGAAAACACAAAATTGCATGTTTAGAGTAACAGATATCTAACCACTTCCCGTTGCAGAGCTATTTTAACTGTTCGTGTGTGTATAGTGCTACAGCCAATATGACCAACGAGTACAGTGACCTAAGTATGATTCCAGGATTGTGCACTGGCAAGTGTGACTGGGTATGGGTTTTCTGTGTTCTATTCCTCGTCGTCATGATTCTAACTTTCGCCACGATGTCACCCGGGGTAACTGCTCTATTTAGGTATACATTTTTTCTTCTAATTCTTATATGTATAAAAAGGTTTAGGGAAATGATATATGTCTAAACGCAGCCGGTAAATGTAGTTTTGTTATATTTCCTTCGTAGATTTATTAGTATTTAAACTTTAATATTGTACAGAGCTAAGAATGGAGGATGAAACGACTTTAAATCACTTTAAAGTATAAAAGCAAAGCTAACATGTTGTTATTAGTTTTCTTGATCTTAAAAATCATTGATGTTTAATGAAGCAACCTGTATTTTATTTTGAAGATCAGAAGGTAGAGTGTACTGTCATTTTAAAACGTGATTTATTTGTTTCAGGTGTGTACCAGATAAGCAGCGATCTGTGGGTATTGGTGTTAATCTACTGTTTGTTAGGCTTGTAGGTATGTATATATATATGAGCCGCGTCACGACAAAACCAACATAATGGGTTTGCGACCAGCAAGGATCCAGACCAGCCTGCGCATCCGCGCAGTGTGATCAGGATCCATGCTGTTCGCTTACAGACCCTTAAACAAGTAGAGAAACTGATAGCGAACAGCATGGATCCTGATCAGACTGCGCGGATGAGCAGGCTGGTCTGGATCCATGCTGGCCGCAAACCCATTATGTTGGTTTTGTCGTGACGTGGCTCATATATACTTTAGTACTTACTGTTCGTGAGACTGGTTGCTGTATAATCAGATGTTATCAATTGTCCTTACGGCAAAATTTGTAGGTTCGATAATTTGAGGTACCATTGCGTCTAAGAAGCGGATCCATGACCGAGTGGTAACGCGATGATATAGTTATCAATGGATCGCAGGTTCAAACCCCACAAAACCACTAACAATATGAATGGTCTTCTGATGTGACTTACAAAAGGAAGACGCGTGTATCGGTGATCTTCACCGGACATGTCAAAGAACCAGGATAGTCTCTGGAATGGGACATCTGCAGATTCCGTGCACTTTTCCGAAAAATAAAAAAATAAAAATTCTTCAGGGTTTTTTTGTCACAAACGAAATACGATAGTTAATAAACCGAAAGAATATCATAACCTCAATTGAAATGAATACATACCCACCTCACTCAGCTCTAAAACATAATAAGGTAGAGTACTAGCTTATCTCTAAGAAAATTAGCAGCATTAAGGCGATACATTTCTAGTGACTTCTACACTAATGAACTATGTATCTTGTTACATGTATTACTTATTTATTTACGCATACATTCAACAGTAATATACCTCTCAAAAAACATACATCTTTAAGACTTTCAATTTAATTATTACAGGAACCACCCCGGGTCCAATATTGCTAGGAGCTATTATAGACAGCACGTGCACGATATGGCAGGACACGTGTGGAACACAAGGCTCGTGTTGGTTGTATGATAAAGGCACGATGGGAGTCCGAATAATGCTCTGGTTTATGATACTAAAGATGTGCGGATTTCTTCTGTTCGTGTTGGCCTCAGTTGTGTATAAACCACCAGCCGAGGAGAGTGTCGACCACACTGTGACAGTAGCTCATGTCAATATCTCAAACACAGCAAACGACAAGACAGAGTTTACAAGATTATAATAAAAACGTTGATAACTTCTATATTGGAGTTCACATTCAACTGTTGGAAGTTTTCATAGTGTTTGATAGTTTTTGTAGAAAATTGTCATAGACAACCTTACTTTATTAATACATTTTAACGACCTTATTGTAATATAGGCCATTCTTCGTGAACTACCATACTTGAGTGATATTCGTAACTACCTCATTTACAGACAATTCGTAACTACCTCATTTATTGACGATTCATAACTATCTCATTTGTTGGTGATTCGTAATTACCTTGTTTAGTGACTAGTCTTAACTACCTCTTTAATTATAAATCAAGTCAAAACTACCTCTTTATGTAACAAGTCTAAACTATCTCATTATGTTACAAGTATTAACTACTTCTTTATGTAACAAGTTTTATCTCATTATGTAACGAGTCCTAACTACTTCATTATGTCACAAGTCTTAACTGCCTCATTTTGTAACAAGTCTTAACTACCTCATTGTGTAACAAGTCTAAACTACCTCATTGTGTAACACGTCTTAACTACCTCATTATGTAACAAGTCTAAACTACCTCATAATGTGACAAGTCTAAACTATCTCATTATCTAACAGGTCTAAACTACCTCATTAAATGACAAGTATAAACTATCTCATTATGTAACAAGTCTAAACTACCTCATTAAATGACAAGTCTAAACTATCTCAATTTGTAACAAGTCTAAACTACCTCATAATGTGACAAGTCTAAACTATCTCATTATCTAACAGGTCTAAACTACCTCATTTTGTAACAAGTCTAAACTACCTCATTGTGTAACAAGTCTAAACCATGTCATTATGTAACACGTCTTAACTACCTCATAATGTAACAAGTCTAAACTATCTCATTACGTAACAAGTCTAAATTATCTCATTATGTAACAAGTTTAAACTACCGCATTATGTATCAAGTCTTAACTACCTTATAATGTAACAAGTCTTAACTATCTCATTATGTAACAAGTATAAACTACCTTTATATGTAACAAGTCTAAACTATCTTATAATTTATTAGGACGTAACTTCCTTATTATGTATCAAGTCATAACTACCTCAGTATGTAACAAGTCGTTACTACCTCATTGTGTATCAAGTCTTAACTATCTCATTACGTAACAAGCCTTAACTACCTCATTATGTTACAAGTCTAGACTACCTCAGTATGTCACAAGTCTTAACTATCTCATTATGTTACAAGTCTAGACTACCTCAGTATGTAACAAGTCTTAACTATCTCATTATGTTACAAGTCTAGACTACCTCAGTATGTAACAAGCCTTAACTACCTCATTATGTTACAAGTCTAGACTACCTCAGTATGTAACAAGTCTTAACTATCTCATTATGTTACAAGTCTAGACTACCTCAGTATGTCACAAGTCTTAACTATCTCATTATGTTACAAGTCTAGACTACCTCATTATGTAACAAGTCTTAACTATCTCATTATGTTACAAGTCTAGACTACCTCAGTATGTAACAAGCCTTAACTACCTCAGTATGTTACAAGTCTAGACTACCTCAGTATGTAACAAGTCTTAACTATCTCATTATGTTACAAGTCTAGACTACCTCAGTATGTAACAAGTCTTAACTATCTCATTATGTTACAAGTCTAGACTACCTCAGTATGTAACAAGCCTTAACTACCTCATTATGTTACAAGTCTAGACTACCTCAGTATTTAACAATTCTTAACTATCTCATTATGTTACAAGTCTTAACTATCTCATTATGTTACAAGTCTTAACTATCTCATTATGTTACAAGTCTTAACTATCTCATTATGTTACAAGTCTAGACTACCTCAGTATGTAACAAGTCTTAACTATCTCATTATGTAACAAGTCTACCTACTCTATTATGTGACAAGTTTTAACTACCTCACTTATTGACAAATTTTAACTACCTTATTTATTGCCAATTTTTTTAAATACTTTTTTATTGGGAATTCGTTATCTACCTTATTGTGCGACAGCTCTTAACTATCTTATTATTTTGACAATTCTAAACTATCGCATTTTTAATTTTTCGTGACATACGCATGCACGTATATAGTTTGTGCTTCATACAAGGAAAAAAAAGCTTGCTGATATGGAAACATTATCATTGCATCCAATATCAATTTGAACTTGAATGATCATTTATCAGGAAGTATTTCATTCAGATATTTGATAAATTAAAAAAAAAAAAAACAATAGAAAAAAAAAATATACGCACCATTGTGATCTTTAATCACGTAAATATCTTATGACGTAAATATCATATCATTGAATACCTGATCACGTGAATATCGTATCACGCAAATATCATATCACGTCAATATCTTACCAGTTCCCCAAAATACATAACAAAACACGAGTGGCTGATACATCATCAACATGGATTAGTTCTAATTCGTTGTTTGTAACATTTATATATGAGAACCATAATTTACAAAATTGCAATATTTTTGCTCAACGACGAACACATTAGCAACGCAAACGCGCAGAAGATATTAGAAAATCTGCATATCTTTTAAGATAATGAAATCAACGCATACACATTCAAGCCAAGCCAAGTCAATGTTTTTATTTTTTTATTTTCGATAAATCATAAAGGATAATAAACGTAATATATTGTTCTAATTAAAAACCGAAATTTCGTTTACTTGTATTTACCAGTATAACAAATAATCAGAATATAACCTAGCAATGTACATTTATACTGATTAATGATGTTTAAAACATTATTTAATATTAAAACATTTATACATCATAAAATGGTATTTAAAATAATAATAAAAATAAAGCAATTGTGTATAATTCGATTTTCAAATGGGGGTTTCAACTGTAATATGATTTAAAAGATATTTACTGTTTTATGTATGTTTTACTTATTAATACATATTAACTGAGGGTATTCATGAATGATTAAATGCAATTTGAATGCATGCATTAAAACGTGGTATAATCATATAACCGTGTCATGACAAAACCAACATAATGCGTTTGCGACCAGCATGGATCGAGACCAGCCTGCGCATCCGCGCAGTCTGATCAGGATCCATGCTGTTCGCTATCAGTTTCTCTACTTGTAATAGACTTGGTAAGCGAACAGCATGGATCCTGATCAGACTGCGCGGATGCGCAGGCTGGTCTGGATCCATGCTGGTCGCAAAGCCATTATGTTGGTTTTGTCGTGGCACGGCTCATATAAAGTTCTATCATTGAAATGAAATCCAAACAAGGAAGTATTTGCTGACATGTATAACAAATGTTTGAATAACAAAATGCATTTAATATACAAAATGTATATCAAATTTTCAATTCGATACGTACGTCTGTTTAAGTCACGTATTCCTTCCTATACAAATTATAAACATTACTGGTCGTGTCCGTTTATTATCGTTATTATTATTATTATTATTATTATTATAATTAGAAGCATATTATATTACAGTAGATAAGCTGATATACTTTATATAGTCGGTTCATAGACAAACAACGCAATAATTCTGGAATACAATATGGATCAAACAAGTGATATATTCTTCCTTATTAGTTTTTTTTTGTTTGTTTTGTTTTTCTTTGATCGGGTTTTACGTCTTATCAACACAGAATATGTCATATGGCGACTGTCTAGCTGGAGGTCGTCCTCAGATGCCTCTTTGTTCGTTATTTCAGGCACAAACGGGCGGTTAAGTAGAACCATCGACGTTCCGTAAGAATTCCAAGACACTTGCGCGGCTCCATCCCTTAGCGAAGAGAGGAAAATGGTTTGAAAATGGTTACTTTTCCGCGTCCTAATAATGTACAGGATCCACTGTGGATCATCAACGTTATATATCTGATGTTAATTAAAATATTAACATCGACTACTACCATAAACAAATGCATATTTTTTTAAAACTATAACAAAATGATTGTTGATCATTATATATAGTGCACATACCACAAAAAAAATGTATGGAAATTGATCACACGAAAGTAAGCTTCTAGTATTAAGTGACTATCCTACCATTTTTGCAGGATAAAGATCGTTCGATTTTATAGGTACACGGTTTGATTGCTAAACATAATTTTAGTAAAATTAACTTTAAATTGGTCTTCTAGCAATTTGATTAACCACGATTTGAATATCCACCCAAACAAATGACGGAAAGCCCGTGCACACCAAGATGCATCCATTGTTACGAGTCTGCACTATTACTTAAATGTGGCAACCGTTTCTTAATTTCCTCAGCAGCGTCTTCCCTATGTATATCTATCATTATCTGTTCTAACTCTTTAAATGTTTTTCCTTCTTCTAACCATTTATCTATAAGTATCCGTGTTGGACTCGACTGAGTTCCTAGCCAACGTATTCTGGCTAGGCTGCATTGCATTTTTTCTGCTAAGTTTCTGTAATCACCCGCGTCCGAACCAGCCTCGTTATGAGGGTCCAATAGAATTATAAGCTCGTTTATCAGCTCCTCGCGCGGATCCTCTTCTGGTGATGAAAGAGGCGAACTAAACTGGAATAAAAAATAGAAATGCGTTTTAAAAAAAGAAGAATTTTTTTGATAAGATGAATTCCAACAATACAGTTTTTCTCTGAATAAAAATGCATACTTCACTTCTTTTATTTTATAAACCTAGCCCTGAATGATATTTTTATATTCAGATGAAAATGAATGCAGTATCCTGTTAGAAAAACAAACCTTTTTTACCATTACATTATACATGTTTATTAATTAGAGTCTATTTAAAATATCTGTGAACAAATATAATTCACTGGATGATACATACCAATGACACTTGCTCGGCAATTTTTAGTTTAGCAGAGTTATTTTCATCATTGTTCTGGTATGCTTTAATTTCACAAACGATGTCAGTCATGGATGACCTGCTAGGTCTCATGATAAAAGTGCAATGAGGATGGAATGCGTGCCAGATCTGTTCAAAAGGTAACACCTGGAAAGTAAATAAACATACAGCAATGTACAAAAAAAACCCCAAAAACAACAGCAACATACAAACCTGTCCGGTTTCGGCTGACAAGGCATATATTAAAAAAAAACATCATTGGCCTGGCACTCTTGCATATGACCCTGTAGTCGGTATATTCCGTAAACGTGATAATTATACTTGTAAATCGGTATGAATGTAAATATCAATTTCGTTAAAATGGTGTTTGTTTAAAATCTTTCTTAGCGTAGTCTGTAAAGGAGCTTTACTTGAAGAATGTATACGTCATCTGGTAGGTTCGAATCCTTTTTCAGGGATTTCTTTTTTCTTTTGTATTCTAATTTTAGAATTGCCATTCTCTTTAAACTATTGCAAACCTTTTGTTGTATATGAGTGTGTATGTGCGTGCGTGATATCTGTGTAGTATTTTCAATTAATAACTACCTTTATATGTGCTAAAGGATATAGGACTGCATAATTACACAAAGAGAACCATTGAAAGATACTGTATTTAAATTAAAATATAAGTGTGTGTGTAGTAAAACGATTTCAAATTAATTCTTGCAAGCTGAGTTGAAAAAAAATCATACCATGGTGTTGGTAAGGAATCGAACCAGAGACATTCAGACCGGTAGTCCGACATCTATACCAATACACCACGCATCACTGACAAGTTAAGTTAGCAAATTTATCGATATATTCGATAGATACTGGTCAGTGTTTATTCAAATGACCAATACGGAAGTTAATGAAGTGCCAGGTCAATTTTGTTGGACAATACCAAGATCCACTTTTATATCAATACTCACAATGCACAGTACATTACAATGCGCTACACTACTGGTAGAGATCTATGCTGTTTTAAAAAATAAAGCACTGTGGAGGATGGACCAATATTTATCAAAATAAGCGAAAACATTGTCACTTGTAAATCCTTTACACTTCATAATATAGACTGTAATTTACCTCGGTCCTATCTCCATCGAGATTCCACCCGTCGGACAATTTGGCCATTTCGACCACAACGTCCTGTTCATTGTCTCGTATAATTAGATCGGTTGTATCGGAAATCCTGGAACGTCCGTCTGTTCTGTTGACAAAGTTCTCAACCTCCTAAATCAATGAAAAAGAATACGTTTTAGCCTGCTGAATAATAACCAAGTGATGTTTTGCCCAGCTTCAGGCCTGACTTTCACATAAACTGAACGGGTGCTTAGCTCGTAAATAGACTGCCCGGAGGAACATTCTGGCTAGACTATACACATATATACATATTTAAATAGCGCACAAAAATGATATAATTATTCCCGTAACCCTGCTGAACCTGTCTTGCTTTAGTCTACAGCAGTTCATCGTGAGTATTATTGAAGAAAGAAAGAATTAAAGAAAGAAAGTAAAAAGAAAGAAAGAAAGAAAGAGAAAGAAAGAAAGAAATAAAGAAAGACAGAAAGAAGGAAGGAAAGAAAGAAAAAAAGAAGAAAGAAACAAACAAACAAAGAAACAAACAAAGAAAGAAGACCAAGAAAAAAATACACGAGAAAATAAGTTAAGACCAGGAAGTGTGAATTTAATAATTTATACCTATCCCTTACCAAAACTTTATCTTATGTAAATAATTCAAATATTTATTACGTGCTAATATTGATCCAAATACATGTATCTATTACGAGCAGATCTATATTGATTCTAGCTTACTTAATACGTACAATGACTTTCTATCTCATGAAAATGTACGTATTTTATTTCACATCTTATAAAATATAACCACTGAACTTTCAGCGTTTGGACCACGTGATGTCCCATTAGAAATCATTATCGGACCCAATCTTATCAATTTAGCCTCGTTTCCATCTTAGATTACAAAACATCTCAACAATGTATAATAACCTCGCAACAAGGTTAGCTTTTAAAAAAGCTAGTAGCGGCTCGCTTCGTAATTTTTTTCCAAGGGTGCGTTTAAATGTAAAAATGACAATTCTGTTAGCTGAAGAGACTTCAGTGAACATAAAAATTAAAGTGACATAAAGTAATGGAATCAAGTTCTCTCAGTTTAACAAAGAGGAAAATGAGTATATATGAAGATGCATGTAAACAGATAAAATGAAGTCCCTATGTCTATGCACATTTACTGTATGGCCTGTTGACCTTGACCAAGTAAATGTTAGATAGGTAGAATTCATAAAGATGTCTCTTTATACGAAGTTAAGTTGTAATATGTTATTTAGTATTGGAATGAGTGACAGATACAAGTTCTAAAGTATACACAAGTTGTCAATCAATTCAGCCAGAAAAGCCGGGGTCCTATGAAAAATATAGGGATCCCGGGAATTGACCAGTTCAAGAATATAGTTTTCAGAAAAGCCGGGATCGTATTAAAATATAAAGAGATCCAAGGAATTGGCCAGTTCAAGAATATAGTTTTCAGAAAAGCTGGGATCGCATTAAAACATAAAGGGATCCCGGGATTTGACCAACTCAAGAATGTAGTCTTTGATTTTTCCAATAAATTAGGCAAATAATTAAAAGTATTGGGATTTCCGCATTTTAAGTTTGTTAATAAATAGCTCTAATTATATTTATATCCTAAGTTTAATTTATTTAACGTTCATTACATACAATAAAAAAATTAACGTTTAATGTCCTTTCATTACGACAATAATCAACACAAATATAGTTTATTAGTTTTTCCTCTATATCTTATACGATCCCGGATCCTGGCCAGTCCGGGCCTCCCGGACCCCGGTCAGTTAATATATACACTAAATACCGGAAAGGATAAAATGACCGGAAAAAGGGAAAAGAAAAAAATGCACAGAACCAGATTTACACTTATGTTAATTAACCAAACGAAAACTTACTACAGACGAACAGGTGAGATCGCTAAATCAAGTCAGTGTAAATATGAATTTTTGAAAAGAATTCATGAAAACAAACATTTTAATCATAATTACATCTTTGCGCAAAAAATAATAATTGCTGCTTTTTAAAAAATGGCGTGAAAAAGGTTTTTTGACGCTATGTAAGACTAAATTTGATTGGCTAAATAATTTTGGATCCTAGCCCTGATAGATAAATTTTGTAGAAAACTGGAAGCCAAGCTTCGATTAAATTTTTGGATGGATTCGGAGTTTTAGGTTGTTTTTTAGTAAAATCCTAACGTAATACCGGCTCGCCGTGGCGAGCTGGCATAAGCCATGTCAATCTTTTGATATGGTATTTTATCATTGGAAACATAACATAATGGTTGAAGTCCTTGGACAAGATGTAAAAAAATCACAGAGTAATAATTCTAAAATTTACAAGTAGACTTCTCAATGTATTAATATTAATTACAGCTTTGTAAGTCCGCATCTTTGCATTTTTTTCTTAATACCGGTATTGTCAAAACTTTCTCCTTAATGTTTGTATAGATCTACAGTCTATAAACATGTATCAATATTAGGTACAAAAATAATATCACTCCACGTGATTTTACTTTATCCCATGGCGTCATTTGTTTTCATGCAATAGATCTATAATTATCGTTAATTACGTGATGGGTTTAAGCTACAAACGTCATATAACGCCAACGTCAATGAGTGACGTCATTTTCAATATGGTGCGACATGTGGTAATTTTTATTAAGTTTCAATTACAGAATGTAATGATAAGAGTTTTACATATACGTTACCATTTCCAAAAATAATGATTAGCTCATCCCATGTTCGGTTACCATTACCTTGATATTATAAGTCTATATGACATGTAAACGGAAGACCTTTACTGTATACCTTGAACTTAATTTTAAGCATTTCCCTCCCATTGATAATCAAAAGTTATAAATAATTTTAGAAAAAGAGAAATAAAAAAAAAGAAAAGAAAACGTACCTCTAGTTCCTCCGCGTATTTATTCAGACAGTAGATTTTCGGTTTGAAGAAAGCTCCTCTCTGCAACTTCCCAGCAAATGCCACTATATGCACGAGTTTAGCAGCCATCTTGCCAGGTTTGGACTCTCCAATGCACGTGTAAAGTGTAAAATGATTCAGTTTTAAACTTATATGATGAGCATTCACGTCCCTTTCTTCATAATCTGCTAAAGTTATTGGTACCCAATCATTTGGTTGGTTTAATGAGCCTTCACGTTTCATGATTTTCGGAATCCAGTCTGACGTGACATTGATAGCTGCATGAGAAAATGTCAAGGTCACAGGAAGTCTAAATTTAAGACCGCTCGGTTGACATAATATTACTGGACTTAACAAGCTTTGTTTTCTCGACATGGTTGGCATTAACTTTTCGTCCCACAATACACCGACAGAAATGAACCTATCTTCTTCTAAAGCATCTGGTGGAATCACTAATGATACACCCGAAATGTTAATGGTCCCACCTTGAACACCAATTGTTTTATGAACAAATACACCTTTATTTTGACTGAATACGTCTTCAAAGTTTGTCGCAGCACCGTGAAACAGAATTGAGGTAGGTATACCTTCCCTCCAGTCTTCAGTAAGAACTTTGCTTACAGCAGATCGTGTATTTGTTTCTCTATCTACTATCTTTACACTTTCTATAGGAACGTCGTCATTTGTGTTTGTTTTGCTCTTGTAGTAATTCTGTGCAGTCATAAGAACCTGTCCTAAGGGAGGTGTACGGCCGTATATATTAGCCTCTTCCTTCTGAATCGCTATCGTCATCCTTGCTCGAACACCACTTCGATTTGATATCGCTGACGCCTGGCTCAAAGGACGTCGTCTTCCATCACCAATGTCAGGATTGACGTCATTAAGTTCGATAGCACTGTCCGTCAAACGTGTGTTGCCTGACGTTATATGTTCACGCCTTCCGTTTTCTATATCTTGTAGACGAGTGATGTCTTTTTCGTGCTGACGAAGTTTTCCCAATATCCAGAATATGATGATAGCACCCAAGATTGAAAAGGCAAGAAATAAGATTCCAAGAACAGCAAGTCCAACCACCTAAAATATAACATCAGGTATTTTATACCAGTTGTATTGTAAGACACGTGAACGAATGATAAAAACAGTCATAATTATGTTGACAACAACAATGTTAACAACCAGATCAATCTTAATTACAGAAAATTGCAATTCGTACACATTGCACGAAATTGATATAACATATACATGTATAGGAATGATAATAATATACAATTGGCTCAGAAGAGAATATTTTCACCAAACATGTAAAACTGAGGTAACTCGAAATGACATAATTCATACTCACCAATGATGTTTCACTCGCCATTCTTTGTGTTCACTGAAAAAAGGGTACAAAAATGAGCAAAATTATTGAGCAAGTATTGTAATGTATATGTCAACTTTTGCATATTGAAACATTTCATGATATCCCAAGCATTACGCAGTTGTTACGAAGTGAAATATCAACCCAGCACAAATTAAAAAAAATTGTCTTCTCTTTTGATTTTGCTTTCTTAACCTCATTGCGGTTAAGCAGAAAATAAATAGACGTGTCTCCCTTGAATAAATTTTTCATTTTGATAAAGAACTTGTAATATTTAACCTCAAAACAAATCCTTTCATGATGAAAACGTATCAAAAAATCGCCTGATTCTCGCCTGCGTCTTAGCAAACAAAGAATTCTAAAATAAGCAGAACATTTGCTGACGAATCTAAAACATATGTTTAAGAAATCACCGAGGCAGTAATAAAGAAATCATCTTGATGTAAAACTCTACATCTTGTGTACAAATCAACGACACCATGGTCGGGTCATCCTAACCGACCCTGACCGAGTCAATGCACTCGCGGCATTATGTTAGTAACTCGCCTACAAACAATATCTAAACCACTCACCTGTCTAGTTATAAACTAAATAAAGCATACTACAAAATATCTATGTTATCAAAATACAAATAAAGTTTTAACACAATATCTTTTGTTAACAGTTTTACATTGATCTGTAATATTACATGTCCCTTATATAAATAGCATATTAAATGCATAGTCATTTGAATACTACAAATAGTCAACTGTTAAACTAAGTTATTTTTATGCCAAGCTGAAAAAGGGTGCTTAAAACGACATATTTTTGTGCTGCTAGCAAAATAAAAAATGTTTTGTCACGATTTATTTAGAATGGCTTATGAAAAGTATATATGAGTAAGATATCTTACAAAAGTTAATAATATTAATTTGGAAAAAAAACTTACCTTATTTGTAGGTTTAAAACTCATTTAAACTTATTCCTCGACCTCTGTACAGTATACGTATGCCTTTACTAGCATTAAAATTACAACATAAAAGCCGTTTAATCAAAAATGAATTGACGACCCGATTTCGATACGGAACAATTCATGAATGTGTAATACCCTCATCTAAACTTCCTGGTTTAAAATCGTTTTTATTAAATAGGTATAGAAGTTTGATTTACGTATAACTGATACTTATCCAACCTTCTTCCTGAATGAATGCGTGGGATTTTGAAATATAGTTGATTTTAAACAAATCCCTTTTCAACGCTGTATTGCACTCGCACGTTAATTAATTCATGGTATTGCGTATTATATTTCTATATACGCCTTGTACCCTTTAAGGTAACAAGACGTAATACGTTAATGAATAATTGTTAGTCATGATACAAAAGTCAAATTTCTTTATAACAGGGAGTAAATCTATGAATGTCGAAATAATTTATAAATAAGAAAACTTACAATCACGTTATTTTCATATTTTAAACGAACCACGTCCCTTATCGACGTATGTTCGAATCCAACTAGAAGCTCGCCGAGCTCTTTGCCTGCTTATAATAATGCTTAAAAGCTAAAATACAGATTACAAGCCTTATCTATACGTTCAAGGTACAAATGGAAATTAAAATCTCAACTTTCTCAATAATGAAAAAAAACAACTAACGGCTATTTTCTTTTCCGAATCGAGCACTGTTTGTCTTGGAAATCATGCCGAAAATGACGTCCTGGTAACGTGGTTTTGCTACGCTGTTTAAGTTATGATAGTTTTACTCATTGTTCCCCATCTATATATTATAACCATTCTTCTGAAGTCTACTCAGAAATTTTTAGACGATGACTAAAGAAGTGTTTTAATGAACAGAACAGAAAAAACAGTTACACGATGAGATCCGCACGAGGTCTAAGAGACCCGACGTTCGCAGCTGGACGGCTTTTTCCTCCATAACTTTAGGTATTATCAGCAGATGTACCGGATACACCCCTACTAAACGGTGGCACTTTTACATTTTGGTGATCTGGATGAATGAGAGACTTCGACACTTCCATTGTAGAGCCATTGACCAAAACAGAACTGAAAAAAGGTAACCACAATATCAAAAGATATCCGTTTTAAAAGAATATGCTTGTTTGTTTTCTTGTTTGCTCTTTCTTTTCAAAAATCGAAGAATGCTATGCCACGTTGTATATTTTTTCATTATTTCGAATATAATTTCGGAAATACGAAATACACAAATATGACGCTGCTGGAGCTTTTATCAAATGTAAACCTGTTTGTTTTCTTTTACATGCAGACATATTTGTTTTTGTGATTTTTTTATTTTAATTTGAACCACTTTATCGAGTCTGGAACAAGATCATAACCACCCTTTTGGCTGAACTCACATAATAGTTCAAAAGATTTGGTTAAAAATAGAATACTTCCATTTATTAAAATGTGATTGAGCCATTGGCAAGGTAATGCCGATGGCGCCATAACCTTGTCTATGGCTAGATCAAATTTGAATAAATGTTAGTATTTTGTTTTTGACAAAGCTCTTTGATCTATTTTTTGTTGAACCAAAAGGGAGGTTGGAAATATGTTACATGCACGATTAAGTTAATAAACAATAACTTTGTGGAAGATGTGTCTTTCTTGTGAACGATAACACATAATTTGATATTTGGGATAGCCGACGGTCTGATTCCATGTTCATAGAACATATACATATACGCAACGGAAGTGCGTTGACTGGTGTGCTATTTTCAATTAAAAACACTAGTTCCCTATTCGATGAATAGAGACTATTGGCTAATACGGGTACCACAATTATTGACTATTTCGCCGTGGTACCCGCATCGACAATATGATTTAAATGGTGACTCGGGAGCCAGTTTTTTTTTAAATTGTAAACCAGTCAATGCACTTCCGTTGCGTTAAAACATGGCGGCTGCGAAACCTTGTAGTATTTTATATACAAACTTTAATATTTTTTAAAGAAATTTTAGAAGGTTGTTGAACCGAGTGCCTATGATTTATACCATATCACACGGCGTGTAATAAGGGACTACACAATCGTCAATTTTTTTAATTTTATCATCTTTCTACTAACCAAAGAGACAGAAACTTTGTTGTGTGTATGCGAGAAAAGCTAAAACATTTTATTGTAATATTTGTAGTTAAATACTTTACATTTCATATAAAATGGCAAAAGTTAGGTCATTAATTTGAAGGAACCATAAAGAATACACATAATATTGTTATATCTCCTCCCAATTAATGAGGAGGTGCCAGATGAGTGGCGTGCCTTAAAATGTGTCATTCAAGCGCATTTTATGAATGTTTATGAATATAACATCATTTCGGCGCATTTAAGAAAAGAATGAAACATGACATCATTTCGCCGTTGTTAGCTTCACTTACCCTGTAAAATTTGCAAATAGTTATCAATTCATTCGCTATTGTAATAAAATAGTTGACATTATTTATTTCATGAAAAATTAATTTATTGACGTAAACGATTTAAAATACGGTAGATTCTAGAATATGGTACCTAGAATATGCAAGGAAAAATATCTGATATGCATTTGCGATTCAGATCGTTACGGGCATTGTCCCTTGGGTACTCGCCCGTGGGCGGTAACTTGTCAATTATTTACATTAACATTAAATTGAAATTAAATTAACATCCTACATGCAGTGAAACAAGACTTCGGAAAAATGATAAGGTAGTGGTTGGACAACTCGGCTAAGAAATATAGCGGATAATAAGAATTTCAACCAAGTTTATTTAGAAATTGTAACAAACTCCAAGTGGAATGTAATTCAGATTTAAGTTCAACTAAATTATCCCAAGATCACTATTAAAGATTTACAAGTTACACACTAAATACAATATATACAAGTATAGCAAAAAAAATTTTCATTTCTAAGTGCTGTCTCTCTAAGTCAAAATGTAAATGCATGTTTAGTATCATAACTAATTTACGGAAATTCACAATGACAAACAAATCTGTTATCGTTACATTTATTGATTTTAGATGCAACAGTATCTGTCCCCCAAGTGCGCGCGCGTCATGGCGATGTTCAGGAGTGGAATCGATATCGGGTTTTACCATGGTGATTTTATCGCCTTTTCTGCCAGTGACGTACTCTGTCGCAGACATCTTGGATAAATTAGGAACTGGCAGGGAAATAAACAGACATCTCTTTCGCAAAGCAAAAAAAATTGGTAAGTCTTTTTTTTATTGAATTTAATATTAAAATGATAGTATGTATTAAGGTTACAGTCTTCGAAGACAGAAAAATCCGATATATTTTGTGCTATTAAATTCGTATTACTTTGAATAATAGAACTGAAGGAAGCAGGTGGAAATCAGCAGTATGGTCTCAAATAAACAGCTGAGTTTTGTTTGTTTTGTCAAAACTTATATCACACTGAACAATTTTAAGCATTCTTATGCACGTGAATAACGTGCAGTATATGAAAAGAAGAAAATGATATTCCACATATGCAAATTACTTTGACTATTAAGCATGGTAATTTTAGATTAATCTTACTTGAGCAAATATATACGTGGTAAAATGAATTTGTTTCATATTTATTACAAATTACATTAAATGTCGTTTATCATGGTGGTTTCGTTTAATACCATGTCCTAACCCCTTTTCTTTTACTGAAACTATAATGTTGTTAACATTAATTAATGCAAATGAAATGTTGTTGTTCTTGTACTGGAACTATGAATGAAAAATGTAAGGAACAACAACAAAACAATAACAACAGACTATAATTTAACAAGGTAAAAAAATGTATATTCATTTGTGTATTTCACTTTCCTTGACAGTGAACTTGACGTCGTGATTATATTTTCTTTGAGTTTATTAACACTAAAATATCACATAACTTTGTAGGAAGCAGCTTAACTTAAATTCAGTGTCGCATCATTATTAATTTTCTAAATTTCTCTTAATATTTATTATTTATCAGTCTAATATACAGGACTGAATAAACCGTTTAAAAGTAGTGGGTATGTGACTAGAATATGTAATATTAATATCTTAACACTTAAACATAGATGTAAATTAAATATTCACGCATTTATCTACCCGACTCAAGTGATACATTCAACATATTTATTGAAACTAGACTGTTTTTTTTTTTTCAAAATTTTTATTATCAAATTCGCTTCCTGTTTTATCACTTTATTAAAATCACATCCCTTTCCTGAAGATGAAAACAAAACACTCCGCCTGCCACCCTCACCCTGCGCCCCCATAAAACAACAACAACAACAACAACAACAAAACAACAACAACAACAACAACAGAAAAACACGAAAAAAAACTAACAGGAAAAAAGAAAAAGAACAAAAAAATACAACAATAAAATAAACCACCAACAAGCAAACAAAAACAAAAACAAGAACAAAAAGAAAAGACGACAGTATACAAAATAGGGATATACAATTTGTCATAATTTATACAACATAATCACATATGAGCCGCGTCTCGACAAAACCAACATAATGGGTTTGCGACCAGCATGGATCCATACCAGCCTGCGCATCCGCGCAGTCTGATCAGGATCCATGCTGTTCGCTTACAAACCCTATAATTACGGAATGCCGTTAGGGCCATCGCCTATGAATGTGTTGATCTAAAACGCGATAGTCGATAGTACGATGGTGAAAACGCGAAATCACGAAACTACGATGGTGAAAACGCGAAAGCACGATGATGAAAACGCGATAGTACGATGATGAAAACGCGACAGTACGATACTACGATGATGAAAACGCGATAAACTATCGTGTTTTCACCATCGTACTGTCGCGATTTCACCATCGTAGTTTCGTGATTTCGCGTTTTCACCATCGTACTATCGACTATCGCGTTTCAGATCAAACCATTCATACGCGATGGCCCAAACGGCATTCCGGAATGCCGTTAGGGCCATTGCCTATGAAAATGTTTATCTGAAACGCGAAAGTCGATAGTACGATGGTGAAAACACGAAATCACGAAACTACGATGGTGAAAACGCGATAGTACGATGATGAAAATGCGATAGTACGATGATGAAAACACGACAGTACGATGGTGAAAACGCGATAGTACGATGATGAAAGTACGATGATGAAAACGCGATAGTACGATGGTGAAAACGCGATGGTACGATGATGAAAACACGACAGTACGATGATGAAAACACGAAATCACGAAACTACGATGGTGAAAACGCGACAGTACGATGGTGAAAACACGATAGTTTATCGCGTTTTCATCATCGTAGTATCGTACTGTCGCGTTTTCATCATCGTACTTTCGCGTTTTCATCATCGTGCTTTCGCGTTTTCACCATCGTAGTTTCGTGATTTCGCGTTTTCACCATCGTACTATCGACTATCGCGTTTCAGATCAACACATTCATAGGCAATGGCCCTAACGGCATTCCGTATATAATAAGTAGAGAAACTGATAGCGAACAGTATGGATCCTGGTCAGACTGCGCGGATGCGCAGGCTAGTCTGGATCCATGCTGGTCGCAAACCCATTATGTTGGTTTTGTCGTGACGCGGCTCATATGTATATTTATTGTCTGACTTGCTTATACATATTAAATTCTTAACAGATTATTATAATAATGTATATTATACAGTAAAGATAGTTTTGCGATACAAATTAAGTCAGGTATAATAGCTTAATGATTTCAAATACATTCAGGGTCGCACGTGAACTTTATCAAAATCTTCAGTTTTGTCGATTTATTTTCTGTAAGGGTGGTGAAAGTTATTCTGTTATAACAAGATTATTTGATTGGCCACATCATATTTAAAAGGAATACTGGATAAAGTACACTTTATCCTGATTTTTCTTTAATCTTTAATACAAAGGAGGAATTAGAACACAGGATAAGATTATGCGTCTTTAAAAAATCTCATATAAAATCATCATGGAAAATCTTCTTACAAGGCCGCCATCGATTTTTTCTGTAATTCAGAAATTTGTCGCTTCTGTAAGAATCGATCACGCAATCTCAATGTTCACACTAAAAGTTTCCCCAACGTAGTCGTGATGCTTTTATGAAACAGAGAAGATAAACACCGCTCACTATTTACAAAATAGCGTGTTGTATTTCTCTTGCTCTGTTTAGATACCAGGGACCGGCCATATATTACACGTATTCCAAGATATTAATACAAGTACTTAAAACATATTTATAGGATGGTTATTGTCGAGATTATTCACCAAATTTTACAATTTACAAGGATTACTTGCAGGAGTGCTGCCACTATATTAACTAACTAAATATAAACTATTTTCACATCTTGAATTTCAGACATAATGAACAGTTTTCACGTCCTCGGATTCGCGACATTGATCTATGCAGTCCAAGCTTCTGGCTATGCAGATCTTCTTGCAGATCTATACATGTACAATCTAGACAACCCTTACAATGACAAAATGGCGACCGACTGGGATGTTGTATATCCGGACACTCTCTCTGACCCAAAGGAACCACGTGACTACGGAGAGACTGCGCTCAGAGATCAAGAATATATGAAACAGCTCCCAATTTCCGGTTATCAATTTATTTCAGGCAAGTTTATTGCACTTTCTATCGTCTTTTTGCGTTTAAACACTTACTTCCTAATTAATTGATCATGATCAGTCATATTTAAAAAGTAGGAAGTATTGAGCCCCTTTTGTTATTTTAGTCGGTAAATATAAATAAACTAGGTAAACAAACAACAGAATTAAATATGATAATTAATTTTTTATGTCCGTTTTTTAGGATATTATATAATGTAATATAACATTATAATTATTTGTATTAAAATTGATGCCGGTTTTCTTGTTTTGTTTATTTCTTTTTTCTTCACAATAATATTTAAAAAAATATGTTAGTCTGATACTGAACATAGAAAATAAAATGTTTTACCGCACATTGACTAACCTATCGCAAACACTGCCGTCCAATACTCATTCGCTCAGTGTTCCAGTGTCCATAGATTTATAATAAATCAGGTATCACGATGTTCCTAAATGTTCTTTGTGGATTACAAACCAACCAAGGAAACAAAACAAAATAACAAACAAACAAAAAATCATCAAAACGTCCATCCTTAAATTTTGACCGGAACCTGACCGCTTATTTAAATAGGCATGTACAAATAACAAATTTTGTTTACTTCCACACGGACTTATATAACTATTTTATATGTGCTGTTACATACACTTAGTTTTATTTATATTATCATTTATAAAATGTGTATATGTATGTTTCTACAGGCGGTACTGGAAGACAGGAAGATCCGTCTGAAGTGAAGACAGACAAAGTACTACCAGCGTATTGTACCCCTCCAAACCCCTGCCCATTTGGCTACACAGGTAACGTACAATGTACTCGTATTTGGGTCAAATGTGACTCAAGTTAGAGCTTCTGTCTGTTCGTTATAACGTGTAATTAAATGAAAGGAATAAATGACAACCGTAGAGCTTGGACTTCCAGTAGTTATAGCTCTTTGTCTTAATATTGTCCTATCTATAATTGCAAATATATGTAATATAGTACATTTTAAATATTGTAAAACCTTATAGTTTCATGAAACTTCAGGTCATCTTTGCTGTGGTAATAGGGGACTTTATAACTCGTGACAGCAAGACTTTAGTTAACATTTTATGCACCATATTCTATCAAGATATCTGAATACTACTGAAATAAACAGAGTTATAAAACTCTTTTGGAAAAAAATGCCAATATTCGAGAATCATTTTTGCAGGAGAAGATAACTGCGTAAAAGACTTTGAAAACACACCTGAAAAGAATCGCAAAATTCTTGAAGAACAAGACTGCCCTTGTGATGCTGAACACATGCTAAGCTGTCCACCTGGCAAGAAAACTATCGACCCGAAATCCGGATTTGTAAGTGACGGTTTGGGAACGGGAGATAACACCGATCTTGACGCTCTTGACTCGCTTGGATCAATGGAAAATATCGACCTGGTATGTTCAGTTCAGTTCAATTCATTTCAAACGCAGTTGGATTTTCTTTATCGTTTTTGCTTAGTAATGCTAATTAAAAACGAAAATATGTAATTTGATCGAACAGCAAAGCAAAAGGCTACTAAATGAAATTAATTGATTTCATATATATTTTATAAATATACTGTTGAAGTTGAAATTTTATTTTGTTTTAAACCGTCATCAAGTCGTAATTGAATGACCTTGAAATTCACAAATTCCATGCATTAAGCTTAAATTTACTCTTGACACTGACCTTTGACCTTGCTGTATATTTCACAGTCTGAAAACCCATACTTCAGTATGGACACAAAGCGACAAAAACTTGTTGCCAAGAAATCTCCCCATTTCATAAAGAAAAGGGTGAGTGTCTCATATTTGTGTGCACTGTTTATATTAATATTATTTTCACCTTTTTTCTGTTCATACAGCACGGAATATTATGATTATTGTATGCTTATGTGCCACCTATCTAGTTTTATTTTTTAGAATTAGTTAATTGCTTTGGTTAACTTTCATTGTTTTACTATAAATAAATTTGTAATTTGATACAATGTAATGGCAATGAACAGTTCTCTGTTTTATTAACATACGACTCTATGTTAATTAAATCGACAATGACAGTTTATCTTTCGACTTCACCGTGAGGCTGAATTATAGATTTGCGTCAATCTTAAAGGGACTCCACTGTTTTTATCACTTAAAGGGACTGGACATATTACTTTGAGACCCGTGTACAATTTCATGTAGGTCTCGACTATAAACTTCCTAAATGAGTATTTTTTGCACAAAATGACCAGAAAAGAATTGAAAAGGATTGGAACGCTTTTCACTCAAACCAGGCTAGAAATCTTTATTATCTGTAGCAAAATTTTCTCTTTTTTGTTGTTGTTATTTTTTTTATTTCAGTGAAGGTCATCATTTTCCTGTTTATTATTCTGATTAACAATTCAAATATATTTTGTCTTGCTATTAATGACGAATGTATCTCACTGTCACATGTTTTCATTTTTTTAATCTAAAATATTACTCTTTAGTTAGACTATAATACAAAGTTTCAGTATTTCATGATGATATAGGCTTTTTATACTTCTTTATTAATAGGAATGATTAATAGTAAATACGAAAAGAAGTATAAGAATAAGTTTTCCGTCTTTTTTCTCATTTCTGTAAAGAAGATTCTATTGTTATTGTTTGACGTGTGTCTTCTTTTCATTTGCCTCTTAGCGTTATCAATGTCACCTATGTATAGACGTGGTCACGTTACAGAATTCTTTATACTTGACGTAAATCCTGTACACAATGACTTTTTGTTTCATTTTGATCACACTTATTGTTAATAGGCAGTCATTGATTTGAAGGAAACGTTTAATTGGCATATATGAAGTTTTTCTTTTTCATGTTAAAAGTATAAAAAAATTTAATACTTTAGATAGATACAGTACGCAAGCGTAAAATTCCAATTTTACAAACTCCCTGATAATTCTTTTATACTATAACCATAAAAGTGTTTTAATAATTACTGAAAGGAAATTCATTCGACTGCTAATAGCAAAGCTTTGGAGAAAGTTTAGGAAACTAGATACTTTTCAAACAAACAGATATGCATACATGAACTCGCTTATTGACAACTGATCACAAAAAAGTTGAAACGAACAAACGCCAGAACTCTTATATTCTTTAACTGTTGAACATTTTTTGTGAATGTTGATTCGAAGTTTTGTGCATCTTTACGCATGTTATACCAATTAAGATTCAGCTGTAATATATTATCCTGATACTATATTTGAATATAGTTTTATCAAAAAAATAGTTATGTATGTAACTTTTTTTCAAAGAAGCCTTGACATTCTGGTCTTACATTCTCAAATTGTTACTAACTTAATAAAGGTAAAACCATTCAGTAGTTCCTTGGCTAAAACCACCACGAATAATTCTTTGGCTGGAACTCAGAAAAGTATCTTTGCTTAATCCCTAAGAAGAGCCTTGGCATAATTCTCGTAAAGGTCTTTGACTACATTCTCAAGTAATGCACATGCTACCCTAACGTAGTTCCTTGGGTAACACCTTATAAAATTCCATACCTTGGCTATAACCATTACTAGAACCTTGGTTAAACTCTCAAAGCAATACCACGATTAAAACATCAAGGTCTTCCTAGGCTTTACCCTTAAGTACGAGTATGTCCATGGTTGAATCCTCAAGGTGTGCCATGTCCACCCTGGCTTTACCCTATAGAAATTCCTTGGCCTAACCCTCGAGCAGTTCTTTTGCCATTACCAGTTCAATTGCTTTTAATTCAAGTGTCCCTTGCTTGTTGCTTCTTTTGTCTTTAGTTTCGTCTTTTAATCATATGTTTGTACATCTGTTTTATGGATTGATGTTGGCTTTCATTTATGTGTACATTTTCTGCATTAAATGGTTTTGAATGTAGTGTTCTATTCTAAGTTTTGTTCCTTAAGGACCTTTACAATTACGTCATTGTTTACATTTATGTTAAACTATTTGGTTAAAAGGAGATAAAAACTTATGTCATTTAATTAAATTCATAGAACGTGTATACATATTAAAACTTTTAAGTGATTTTCACAAATCAAATTAAATAGATAAGTTTTAATAACAAATGAATATAATTTGCAAGAACTTGTTTCGCAATCAAGCTAAATTAAATATGTTTAAACTAAAATATTCATAAAATTTTCTCTGCGGGCGCTATATATAGCTTTATAAACTACTAGTATATATTAAAAACAACATTTAATACTCATGAAATTTTGATATATTCCTCAACTTTCTATGATTTTAAAGTACAATGTAGAACAGAGCTGATTAATTATTCACTAAAAATGAACACCACCATATTTCCGTAATTTACATAGCTCTTTAATTCTTATGTAAGGTACGGAATGTTACGGAGTTTGACGAATTTACACGATCATTTAGTGACCATTAAATTTTAATAGGCCAAAAATATGTTTATGTTAATTCGTCAATAATGGCAATATTGATAAAAATTGGTTTTGCAGTTGTACAAATTAGTCAATATATTTGTTTCATTATTTTCAGGATAGCCCGGAACGCATTGGAGACATTTTCCCTTTCAATTTTGAGGAAACAATTGAAAATCCATATTTGTACGGACAGAAGAAAAGTGTTGCCGCCAAAAAGCAAGCTCCTGATCACATGATCAAATAAAACTCCTGTGAAAAAAGTGAATGTTTTGTTTCCGTATATTTTTGTGATAAATCTTATTTTTAGAAGTAGGGATACAATCAACTTTTTTTTGCTGATATAATGTTATAAAGTGTTTTAAGGTGCGTTGTTTTTTACTTGTTTCTGATTATTACATAGATTTTAAAAAATGTTACGGAGCTCTTACTATATCTTATTATGCATTTAATTTTCTGTCTGTTAAGAAAGGAGAAACAAATCAAGTGATGATTTCTTATATTTTTATGAGCATTTCCTTTGTTCATTCGATTGAGTGGGCTTGTATTCGTTTAACTTCTTACCTGTGCATTTTAGTTCCGATGATTTCAAGGATCAAATTATAATTTTGAGCACTGGACAGTATATAATATAGAGTTATTCAGTACAGTGCTGGTTTCAGAGGTTAAATAAATGTATGATTTTTCTAATTTTCCAAAAGAAGTCAAAATCGATATCTAAATTAAAAAAAATCATCCCAGTTAATAACACAATTAAAATGACAACAACTTATCTACAATCAATGATACAAGATTACTGAGTGACCAATATATCAGACTGAGAGATTTTTCCCATTAATAATTTTATTGATATTGGTCACCCTAATAAAAATTTAATACCCACCATTCAGTTTTGATAGTGTATTGACATTTACATTAAAATTTTAATGACACATGCTTTCTTCTGGATAGAGTAATAACATTTTTACTCGGTTGTAACTTTAAACGCTAATTTGAACTTATTTAACCCGACCATTTGCCGGGTATTTACTATGTTACAATGACATGTTTGCACTAATACCACGCGAATTGCGTCTTCAATTACCTCCCTTGCCAAGAAAAAAAACAACAACAAAAAACAACAACAACAACAAAAACAACAACAACATCTTCGTACTATTTTTTTTCCAGAATAAACGTAAGAAAACATTGTTTTCATACCATTTTCTGCAATAAAGAGCAAACAATCATACAGTCATTATCTTTTTAGATTTTTATTATTGGTTGTGTTATTAATGATGAAAATATATTTATGTGGTCTTGTTAAAACAAAAACAAAAATAAACTGAAAAAGAAAAAAAGAGTTGTTTCACTTGTCTTAAACCTTTGATTGATTATTGTTTTATTTTACACACAGTCGAACAATGCCTTTATTTCTTGGCAAATGGTTTTGTAGCCGATCAGTTCATTTCTTTTGTTTAATCAACTTTTTCACTATATACGGATCATATCATAAATGCTACCATGAATTCCTTCCTTTTATTGTTCTTTACCAAAAGAAATGATCAACAAGGGATTATGTGTGTGTTTTAATTTTTTCTCAGGTAAGATTAAAGGTGTTTTGAGTCACTGTTTGTGCATTTTGCCTCATCAGCATGCTAGGTGTTTGACACACCGGAACCAACAAGAATTTCCGAAAGAAAACTGTATCAAATAACATCATAAGGTATATTGCGTCAAACAAGTTTGAATTTGAACCAAAGTAAATTTGGAAAACTCACCATTTGATTTTAGTTTATAATTGCACAACCGGAAACCCACACATTATTTAATCGAAAGACATTTTGGTAACCCATATCAGGTTGGTCCACCGCCCCTCTTCCCCGTGAAATAAATCAATGAAGAATGGATATATACGACTCACATTTTTTAAATGAAAATAAGGGAAACTGTTTGCGCGAAAGTATTTTTTAAGTATATAATGTAGAGTGGTGGTCTAATACCCAGGGTTTCTGTCTCTCAGCCAAATGCACTAAATGAGCCGTGCCATGACAAAACCAACAAAATGGGTTTGCGATCAGCATGGATCCAGACCAGCCTGCGCATCCGCGCAGTCTGACAGGATCCATGCTGTCCGCTTACAAACCCTATTACAAGGAGAGAAACTGATTGCGAACAGCATGGATCCTGATCAGACTGCGCGGAGGCGCAGGCTGGTCTGGATCCATGCTGGTCTCAAACCCATTATGTTGGTTTTGACATGGCACGGCTCAAATAATGGATCAGAGTCCTCCCAGATCTCTTTGCTGATCCAGGAACAGGCTTTATATTGTTTAATATAATTTAACACCTTGAAAATATCTATCTTAAGTCAAGCCACTATACCATTTGTCATTCATGTAAATCGTTATCTCGCCTTGTAAAAACAATGATGTTTTACTTACATCCGGCAAGTTTTCTAGGTATTGTTTTTATATTAAATGAACCCAACAAACAACAATGTCACGCTACTTGAGGCGTACTCACGCGTTCAGTCATCTCGTGTATAACCGTCGAATTGAGAGTAAATGTACTTGTGAATACTGCTTACAATTTAAACATCTTATTTTACAAATTAAAGCATTCGTTTACATAATTATTTAAAAAAAGTTAATATTGCAAATTGTGGATATTTTTACGGCTTACTTTTTCTACTTGTCTTTATTCTTGTTAATCGGACTCTGGCGTCACGAAGAATGTTTAATTTTCTATTGTTCTGATATTTTACGATGGATACACTTTCATAACAACAATCCTTCAAGGTAAGATGTCATTCCGTAATTAATTTATCTTTACTTAAAGGGACTCCACTTAGGTTTTCTGGCATGACGGGAAACGAAATAATTTTTTGAGATTGTTGTTCCATTTAATGTAGGTCTAGAACAATTAATAATGTGCAGAATTACAGATCATTCGCTCTCTCCGTATTTTTCCAGAATCATTAATCTAAATGTGGAATTGACCGAAAATTAAAAAAAACGTTGCAACGCTTTTCTCACAAATCGGGCTAGAAATAGCACAAACTTACGACTTTCAACTTGTTTTTGAGTACATCTTATATTTCCTCATTATCTTTTGCACATCTTTCTGTTTAAAGTGTTCATGTCGATATTTGTAAGAAATTCTTTTATTTTTTACTTTAGACCTCGCTGAAGTTCCTTTAATATACATACTCGTGTCTATGTATTTATGTATACAATGTACGGTAATGATATGCATGTAAAATACTACTCCACATTTTAATGACTATTGTTAAAGGCGCAAATTTTCTTACGAAATCTCATAAAAATGCCCTTGTTAAAATTCATATCCGTTTGAAATGTACTTACTAGTGTTACTCAGTGACAGTTGATTTCGAAATTGTAATTCGTGGGCAGAGATTAAGAAGGGCTAGAGGAGGATGCGGGTGTTACGTAATTTCCCAATCCCTGTAATAAATTTAGATTCATTTAGAACAATAGTTAATCAATGAAAAGATATTCTATTAAAGTGAAAACTAGATCATTCTTTCTTTTCTTAATATGAGTGTGTGTTAAGGTTTGTTTACCCTCGCAACCGGAATAATTACTGTATGCTTTTATAACATGGATTTTTAACTTTTTTTGGTGTATTTTTGAGAAAGTTAAGGCCGTGGCAAGAACCTTGTGTTGTAGTATTATATTTGAGAAATTGTTTGACGTTTGCTCACACTTCATCAGATAATTAAATGTAACTCTTGAAACACAACATCTGAAAACAGAACAGGTAACCTTCTCTTCTAACTTAATTTTGAATTTTTGAAATTTTTACAAATTAGGCTTCTCAATTTTTAAAGTTTTTATTATTTTTGAATTTTGAAAAAAAAAGTTGCTTCTCACTGCCAAAACACAATACATTTTCAATGAATTATATGCCACTTTTTTTTGGAAGAACATACTGCTCATATATCTAAGTACGAAACACGAGGCTATCTGATTTGTTCGAGGCGACGTAACCCCGGAGTATAAATCTTCATAATGTACTTTCTCAATTGTATCATAGGCAAAAATGAAAAACACGTTCACTGTTGTCACAATATGAGCCCCAGGAAAAAGTAATCAATGCAATTATATTTCTGTCACTACCCCTTTTTCTGTCGTCACAATAAGTAAACCCCAGACGAAATGAGCCGTCAATGGGCATGCTGTGGAGTGCGGACAACCAATACGTGCCTTCTAGTTATAAACGCAGTATACGATTTAACTCTGACACATTTTCAATAGAAAGATCCCCTAACTATGATACAATTTCCCTATTGCATGCACAACCAAACACGTAATAACGATACTCTCAACTAGGTTAAAAGCATTGGGTAACAGACATAATTGTTACTGAGATTCTTTAATTTCCTACTTGGTTAGATATTGTAAAACAATATGTTTCACATTTTCTTTAAAACAAGGGTAATGTATAAGCTTAAACCTTTGTGATTTGCGTGTGAAAAAGACACGGTAATATATTATTTTTACGTTTGATATCTTCCGAAATTAAAAACATAGCAATCTTTTATGTGACAATTCACTTGTGTAATAAACAAAAAAATCATGCTCTTACATTGCGGTTACCATAAATATTACATGGTGGTCTGTACTTGTAAAGATAATTAAAGCGGCTTTTATATAACCATTGTAAATAAACAAGAATTACTGCACATTATTTTTCATAAACACGTCATGTATGTCAAATATCAGCAATTATAATACTGCACGTTTGTAACGTCATTTTTCATTGGATAATCGTGACGTTTATATAGTTTTATATTCACGGCTGCTATCGATTCACGAGGAAATCTTACTTTTTCCTCTAAAAATGATGCTTGCTGTATTATAAATCCGTTATAAAGATTGTTGACAGGTTATATGGCCGTATGCATATGTAAACGGCTGTTTGCAATATAACCATCGCCTAACGGCTCGGGTTATATTTACAAATAGCCGTTTATATAGGGCCATATAACCTTTCAACGATCTTTATTACTAATAATATACAGAGGAATCGAAACATCTTAAACGTTTGTTTCAGTTTTCCCCCATTTACATCCTTACACATGACGTTTCTAAAAACACTAAACACTATCCACTCCTCCTATGCATAAACGTCAAATTTTCAATGATAATTGTTTACTTATTGCTGTCTGCTTCCTCTCAAATGTGTTTCTGTCAGCTGTTCATCTGGAATTGAAGCTAATGTTCAAAGTGAAACAATTCTTTAAGACAACATGTATTTATCAACAAAGCGATTTTCTTCGTTCATTTAATAAATTGCTCATGTTATAAATTATACAAGCTTATTTATTTCAAAGGTTTTTGAAAGATTAAAATCTTAGCATATTTAAAATTATTTATATGACGAGTTCAGTAATTTCTCATTTATACAACCATAAATGTAAAGATATAAAATGTTACTTGTAAACTTTACTCATGAAAAATAAATTCTCCATTGCATGGTTAATAACGAATTTATTCAAGCGTTTGAAAAGTCTGTTCACGAGCTTTATGTTAAATAAATTTAAATGTAAAAAGTTTTTTTTCAAAGTTTTACGATTTATTTATTAATCAGTGGTATATCAATAGTTTGCGCTGAATTACATTATATTACATAATACATAAGATAGACAATATTGACATAATAAATGAGCTTGCAAATTGAGAAATAAACAACATTCCATGATAGTCTCAGGCTTTCAAATGTGAACTTTATGGTAGCTGTTGGTCTAAAAGACCATTATCTTCATGAAGTGACATTATTAGGGCTATGGAATATCCACGGACAGAAGGAATATATATTTTTCCTAGACAATAACCTAAACCTTCTTATATAAATCGTATTTGTATATTAGTTGCTAGTATTTAAAAAGTCTGGATTATCTCCTTCTTAATTGGACAGACTGTCAATAATGACGTGTTTAACGTAAATAATATTATTGTCTCTTGTGAAGTATTTGTTTTACACAACATATTCAAGAACATCGAGATTGTGCTGCCATTGAATACCTCCAAGTACAGTGTTTTCCTACAAGGTATTTTCGCATGTCGGTTTTATCAAAATATACATTGTATTTCAGTTAACAACTCTAGAGCATAGATAGAAAGAGCATCGGAACACCAGGCTATCTGATTTGTACGAGGGGCCGTAGCCCCGAGAATAAATCAGATTGCAGAGTGTTTAATGTTATTTCGGCAAAAATAAAAGCACGTTCCC